TAGGATACTTTTTACCGCGGGAAAATGTCTCTTTTCTGAGAAAAAATACAAAAACTGCAATGTAAGAGTATACTAATATGTAAAACCTAAGAATTTGGTTTTTGGTCATCTGAACGCGGGCGGAGCCGCGGGCAATGCTAGTGTTAAATAAGAGTGGTCACGCCTTGCTATTGACATATTAAGACAACTTGTAGGTACTGCCGAATATATTTATCTATATTACGTATTATGTCCTTATAGATAATTTGTACTTAAATAATTAATAAAAATATACTTAATAATTAAAATTTTGTGTTTGTTTGTATCTTTGATATCATTCAAACGCGGTATTCTCTTCAACCAGTCCAATTTGAAAAATTATTTGTGTTTTGTAGCCTATTTATTCACGTCATTTAATATCTCGATACGACCTCAACGGTTTAGTTATTACAAAAATAAATGCTTGTCATATTTAGGTACTAGCAATACGTAGTGTTTCGGATACAAATGAAAAATACTCTTTATTGTCAAAACAGTTCAAAAGAAAATTTTGGAGAAACAACAGCGATATCTGAATATTGCTGCTAAGTGCTAAGTATGTAATAAATACTCAGAAAACTTACAAAAACACTCTTTAACATCATTTCGTCAAAAAATATGTCAATAAAGCAAGTAATTCGTAATTTAAAGAAATACGAAGAAAGAAAAAAAAATAAACTAAGCAGGACTATATGTATTTACTAGCTGACCCGACAGACGTTGTCCTGTCTACACGTCTTTAATTTGAAAATTTCAAACTTTTTTTAATAAGCTAAAACATTCTGGACCATTTTGATGAAAATTATTATTCAAATTGTGAATCTAAACCATTCTCAGATCCCCTTGAACACACACAAAAAATTTCATCAAAATCGGTCCAGTCGTTTGAGAGAAGTTCAGTGACATACACACTCACAGAAGAATGATATATATAAAGATAGTAAATTTAAAAGCATTAACAAATTTCCCATAAAGGATTTTTTTAATATGTCAGGACATTAACACACAACACCATCTAGTTCCATGGTAAGCTACGAGGCTTGTGTTATGGATACTATATAGTTGATACATTATACATATATAACTTTAAATGATGTGATGTTCTCCTAGCCGATTCCGGCCACGGCGGCCAATCTCATTGAGACTAGCCAACTGCGCAGGAGATATTATAGTGCACAAGTGTACGCGCAGACACAACGTGCACTCTCTATTCCTATCACTCTCATACTCCGGTGGGACGACCACTCGACACGACCAGTGAGATTTAAGGCGCAGGACCGACGTCTTTACGTGCTCTCCGAGGCACGGGGGTGAAACACCGCCAACTTCCCAACTCCGGGCTGTTACTGGACTTACTATACAGAAAGACTCATTAACTAAACTTGGCCCGACCCGGGACTCGAACTCAGGACCTCCGAGTGTGCAGCCGTACATGCTAGCCACTACACCACCGAGGCAGTTACAACTTTAAATACATACATATTAATTGGACTTTGGTCTATTTTTCGACGTAAATTGTAACCCATGTGACCGTCACGGCCGTGCACATAATGTGCATAGAGAATCGGCTTTCAATGATTACACTGGAACTGATTCCATTACTTACATGATTACGGCGGCACAATGAATTTCCTACTAAAAAGGTTTGGTATTTGATTATTATTACAAATTCCCAGCGATCAGTATTTTTAGCGTTCGGTAGCCAAAAAGCACATACGGAACCTTTATAATTTTATTTATTTTTTCCATCTATCTGTCCGTATGTTACAATCATTTTACTCGAAAGCTATTGAAGCTATATCGCTGACCCACCGGTAGCTTTAAATCAGCAGTCAAATTACTTATATATATAATAAATAAAAAAAATCGGCACTCTATGTCTACATGAAACTGAACGTTAAAAAATAATTTCAGTCCTCATAAGCGTTATATGGTAATACTAATAAAATATATACTAATAAATACTAATTAAATGGTAATTCATAAACATTTTCAGACCCCAAATAGAACATATTGAGAAGTGCAGTAAATAATAATTCTTTGATAGGTAATTAGGTATTTTAATATCAATTTTAGTACCATTGTTTCCGATACAAAAATTTGCTCGCTGATCCCACGCGTGCAATTAAGTGTCTGTACATACATCATACATTAGAGTTGGAAATCAGAATAGTATTGAATTGTTTTTAACCGACTTCTAAAAAAAAGGAGGTTCTCAATTCGTCGGAATTTGGTTTTTATGTATGTTCACCGATTACTCGAAGACGCCTGAACCGATTTGGATTTTTTTTTGTTTCAAAAGGTACACTTTCCAAGTGGTCCCATATAAATTTTATCGAAATCGGTCGAGCGGTTTTTAAAAAAATCAACAATAAATTATTTTTTGTAAATAAATTATTTAATTGAATATGTTATTAAAAAACTTCTTACAAAATACCTGCTTATTACGTCTATACTAAAAATGGATAAATAAAAACTTTAAAAAAAGTTAAAAACCGACTTCCAGGCACTAAAATGTAAAAAATAACTAAACGGATGTTTTCATCTAGAATAGATACCTAATCAGATATTTTCGAAGTCGGTGCCAGCCGACAATATTTTAAGATATGAACATCTAATAAGTAAATATGTATTTTACGTATCGAAATTATTTTTTTTTCTCGCTTTGCATCGGCTGGCACCGACTTCGAAAAAACCCCCGTTTAGTTATTTTTTACATTTTAGTACCTGGAAGTCGTTTTTTTTAAGTTTTATTAATTACTAGCGGCTAACCCCACGCTTCGCTCGGGGCCATCCCTAGGTTGCTTCCCCGTACAAACTTTCATCCCTATTTTTACCTCTTTAAGGGATGATTTCTAGGATAAAAAATATATTATGTTCTTCTCAGGATCACAAACTATCTTCTTACCAAATTTCATCTAAATCGGCCCAGTAGTTTTTGAGTTTATTCGTTACAAACATACAAAAATACAAATCTTTCCTCTTTATAACAGTACCTATAGCGTAGACTTATGCCAAATTAAGTCAAATATTCGTATTCTGTAGGTACACCTAACAGAAACAGAGAGCTTTGTAAATATGCATTTAAAAAAAAAACCTATTCATTTTTTTAGGTAACCAAATGTTATCGCTCATTAGCTAATAAGTCCAATCGGAATCCGGTTTGGAAAGAAAATATTGAAAACCTGAAAAATGTTTTTTGTTTTCAATTTCCGGCGTACTGTGACGGTCTATCGAAAAATGTTTTCTACAAAAGTTGTAGGTCTAGTAAAAATCTAGAGCTTTTATAAATATAACTTTTTACAATAACCTCAAAGTTTTCGAGATATTTGCAAAATAATAATATATAATCGGTTATTAACTTTTTCTTGGCTTTTCTTTATTTTTAATTTCTAGAATAATCTTTTGATTTTCATGAAACTAAGGGAAAATAATTTTCAAAATACATATAAAGGATAAATGCTTAGCCATTTTCGAGAAAAGTATGTTTTATGGTCTCGAGAGGCTGAAAATCACCCCCAACTTCAAGTGGACGTTTACGTTTAAAATAAATTTCGTTCAATTTTCAGATAGGGCTCATTCTTCTCATCTTGAAAATATAAAAACATTATATAGTCATCCTGTAGAAGCATCCGTAAAAATTAAAAAAAAAAATGGAGAAATCGATAATTTTTATTTTGTAAACTACATTTTTTTCAATTATCATTGAAGAAGTGTAATTTATTGACCAATTTTTTATGAACTGATTACACCAATGTATTTTTCGGGAGAAAAGAAAAAAATGGTGTCCTTAAGTAAACATTTCAACTACGCAATTTAACGAGTTATGGAAAAATAATTAAAGTTAGAATTCACGTAAAATATACTACTGCTTTTGTACTTTTTGCCGTAGAATCTATTTATGTTATTATTTTTCTTGAATTTATCGATATTTTATTAGTTTTGATCAATTTTGAAATTAAATTAATTGATTTTTTCAAAAATATAGTTGAAATTAAAAAAAAATGTCATAGTTTTGTTATAAAATCATTAAAAATGTAAAAAATTAACAACAATTTTTTTTTTATTAAACTCTTTACGTCGATTTTTTCCTGAGATATTCGACTTTCAATGAAAAAGGATCCTTTTCTTTTTTATCATCAATATCTTTTAATGGATGCACAGTAGATTAAAGGGTAATTTTATAAATTTAAGTCATATTTTTATATAATAAAAATATTATAATATATAATAAAACATATTATAGTTTTTTAGTCCGGTTTCTAACCACCATTTATTATTTCACCTATTTCACGATAACGTCGAATGTAAGATGTTGGGTAACACTCTCTAATTCTAATTTGTAGGTATATTCAACCCAGCTATACTATCGATGAAGCAAATATAAACTTTATACTCTCACATAGAGAAACAAATTGCCACTAAGTCAGATGGTTCAATCATGTTAATTGTAGATACTTGTACATACATAAAGTGTATAAAGACGAAAAAATGTTAGCAAATACGTGTATAAGACTTGTGAGTTGTCGGACCGGCCATTGTTAATAGCTTCTGATCGTTGTAGCAGACCTTGTATACACTATACAATTTTTAATAGTAGTCTAAAGTGATATTTAAGAAATACTTATTAGACTATAGTAGATATACAAATGCTTTACGTAAAAAAATATATCTTATGTTCTACAATTTTGTTTCAATCAAAAACAGCAATCTTACAAAGGCTGTCTTTGATTGAACAGATGTTTGCATATAAAGTTGTTTACGAATATTTAACTTTTTAGTTTTAATATTTATTTCAAGTGTCGCGAGCGAGCGAAAAGTAATAAAACCGGACACGTGTCTATTATCAGTAAAAGTAATATTTCTTCAGAAATTGCTTATAAATATCATGAGCACGATCCCTTATAACAGAGGTGCGCGATTCATCCACATCACGGCAATTGGCGGACAATAGGCGAGTCAGTCTCGCGCCGACCGCCCGCATGCCCACAGCGCGCAGCTTACTCTCCGCGCGCTGGTTGCGCTCGCGCCGTCCTCCGCGGACAGACGATACAGATGACTCCCCAAGCCCAAACATGGACCGAAGACCCCGCGTCGCTCGCGTCCTCAGCTCCCCGGCCAGGGCCCAGACCACGCCCCTCGATGAGGAGTCGCTCGAGAGAGCCTACCCCTCCATGGGCCACTTGGAGTATGTCCTCGCCGGTTCATCACCCCCGGCAGAGAGCGCCCCCAACATGTACGACAGCTTCGAGGAACCTCCCCTCGACCTAACTGCGCACATCTGCGCCGACTCGCTACGTCAGAGCGCCTACGAACAAATGCGAGCTGTCGGCGGCCGACTAAGACTCCTCGATGAATTGGAATCCGGCGTCATAACAATTGAGACCGTTAACACATTCATAACAGCATCGGAAGCCGAGAGACATGTCTGCTTATTTTGGGCCGCATATCTCAAACTCGATCATTTTTTGCAGCCTCTGGTTGAAGCGGGCGCGGATCCGCTATACTTCGACGCGCTAGGCCTGTCTCCCTTGCACGCGGCCGCGTTCAGCGGGTCGACGGAATGCGCCAGTTACTTACTGTCTTGCGGAGCGGACCCTAATTATATGCCGAGATGCTTCGTGCCGCTCCATTGTGCCGCGTTCGGAAATTCTGTACAAGTGGCTAATTTACTAATCACTCATGGTGCTTCAGTCCATGCCGCTGTCAAATACGTGAATTGTGAAGGGGGTCTACTACATTGCGCCGTTCGAGCCAACTCGATTGATTGTTTAAAGCTGTTTATATCTCATGGTATTGACGTCAACCAAATAGAGCCTGGCGGTACAAATGCAATCCACCTTGCTGCCGACTTGGGCATGATTCAATGCCTTGCGATCCTTCTCGAAACACCAGGGGCGGACCCTAACGTTAGAACGAGAGTAGGCGATAGAGAATCTACGGCGTTACATTTGGCAGCAGATGGTGGTTTTGTGGAATGTGTTGATCTTCTTCTAACAAAAGGTGCGGATGCTAGTTTAAAAAACCATAGAGGATTTACTGCTTTACATTTGGCAGCACGTTCAGCAAGCTTAGAGTGTGTCGAATCATTACTCAGAAAAGGAAACGCTGAGCCGAATTCAATGGATTTCGATAAGAGAACACCACTGCATGCCGCAATCGGAAAATCTGATAGTGCATGTGACATAATCGAAACATTAATCAGTTGGGGAGCAAACGTCAATCAGAAGGATGAATATGGCTTTACACCTTTGCACTTAGCCGCTCTCGACGGCCTGTCCGCGTGCGTGGAGACGTTAATTTATCACGGTGCTGATGTAACGACGCGATCTAAAAAAGGAAACTCGGCTCTTAATGTCATCGCCAGAAAGACGCCCGCGTCACTCGCTATGATAACGAGGAAGCTGGACTGCGCTATCACGTTGCACCACTCGCAGACGAGTAATAGAGAGGTCGAACTTGAACTCGACTTTCGCAGCATACTCCAACATTGCTACCCGCGTGAAATTAGTTATCTTAATACTTTCGTTGATGAAGGCCAAAAAGAGGTACTACTTCACCCGTTATGCTCCGCTTTTCTTTATATAAAATGGGAGAAAATACGTAAATACTATGTGGCACGACTATTTTTAAGTTTTATTTTTGTCCTATGTTTAACGTTATATGTATTGACTGCGCTGGCGCACAACTGTTATAATGGAAGTAAAGATATGGAAGAGACAATACAGGAACAAGAGTTATGTCAAAAGCAATCTATCTTAGGAGACTTACTACGCAAAAATCCATTTGTCATAGAAATGCAATGGTGGGTTTTAGCGGGAATAACAATTTTTGAAATATTTCGAAAGGTTTATGGTATCGCGGGCTACTCCACCGTAAAACAGTATTTGATGCAATCAGAAAATATTATTGAGTGGTTCGTTATAGTGAGCGTGTTTCTGATATCTTATATTTACACAAATATTACATACACATGGCAAAATCACGTGGGAGCGTTCGCAGTGCTCGCGGGGTGGACGAATTTAATGATGATGATCGGTCAGTTGCCTGTCTTCGGAACATATGTGGCGATGTACCAAAAAGTGCAAAAGGAATTTGCTAAACTCTTAATGGCTTACTCGTGTATACTTATCGGATTCACCATAAGTTTTTGTGTTATATTTCCCGATTCCTCCTCTTTTGCTAATCCTTTCATGGGGTTTATCACGGTGTTAACAATGATGATTGGTGAATTAAATCTTGATTTGCTGCTAAACGAACCAGATGGAAACGACCCACCAGTTCTATTGGAATTTTCTGCACAAATAACATATGTTTTATTCCTCATGTTTGTAACAGTTGTGCTCATGAATCTACTTGTCGGTATAGCAGTTCATGATATTCAGGGTTTGAGGAAAACCGCGGGCCTTTCCAAACTCGTCCGACAAACTAAACTAATCTCATACATGGAACTGGCATTGTTTAACGGCTATCTGCCTAAATGTCTATTAAAAATACTACACAGCTCAGCCCTCGTGTCACCTCAAGCATATAGAGTAGTATTGAGTGTCAAACCATTGAACCCAAGCGAGAAACGTTTACCGCGAGACATAATGATGGCAGCTTACGACATTGCTAAAATGAGAAAGCAGTATGGACACACGATATCGTCTAACGGATCGACAACAGGGGCGTACTCGTGCTTTAAGAAATATGAAAATAATAATGATTCGGGATACCGGGAATACGGTTATTCATCCGGTCTGGGAAGTATTCAAGGGAGGCTGGACGAGACGTCTGAGAATGTGCGGCAATTAACACAGGAGGTGAAAGAATTGAAAAAGCTTATAAGCGCACAACAGCTTGTGATACAGCAAGCCCTCGCGAGCGCGTTGGACAACCGTTGATGATATAATAGACCGTTTATTTTCAATGCCAACGGTACAAGTCAATAAACTATAACGCTTGTTGTATATTTACACTCGTTTAGATTCTATTGTAGATGGGTACGGACTTAAGGTGTGAGGCGGAGTCGTTTTAGTATGAGCTGTGATCGTAGATGAGTTAGAGTAAGCTTTTGTGATATAAATTATCATGATAATAAATTTATTTTTCAATTATATCTATTTTTATTTATTAATTCCTAAATTAGTAATTCTATTTGACTTATGTAGTTTAATTAAAATTAGTTAATGTAATTAAAAATTGTTTTATATTTTAACATTATTAATAATGCTTCCAAGTACTCATATTTATTTAAAAGCAGTTATTTTACTTAATTATTTAAAATTTAATCTTGATTTCTGTTTCCTCAGTACTTTTAGCAGCTTCTTATCTGTTGTCAAAATCGACAAATGAATAATGATAAAATAAACTGCTTGAAATGCTGTCCTTTAAATTTTAATAAAACAAAATATTTAGGTATAGATCATAGCAAAATGTTAAATGTAATTAATTTAATTATCTAATAGAATATTATTGCACTCTACATTAATAAACATACCATTTCTATTCATAACTTACTTTAACCGTAATATGGTCACATGGTGTACGTCATACGTGAGAGTAAATATATTTTATCACTTTACTTTTTTTATATTACTCTCATTCAGCATGAATTATTTTAAAATCATTGATAAACTTGTAAGTATATATATATAAATATATATATATATATATATACTATACAAAATATATATATATATACATATTTGTAAATAATATAATCGTATATTTCATTGATAGCCCTTTCTTATTAAACTGTTTGAATTTTAAGGATCCAAAATTTAGTAAGCGTAACCACGATATTTTTGACCTGCCATATACTAGAGTGAAATATGCTCGAAATATGCATATTATCTTCTGAACTAACTCTGAATATATACTTCGTTCATGTAATAAGTATAATAAAAAAATTACAAGTATAGACATATTTTCCAATTCACTTATATGCTTCAAAAATGGTATTAGTCACTTATTGTTTGATTGATAATTTTGTGTTTTATGTATTTAATTTTTTATCTTTATTTTTTCCTTATTTTTTATTATTTATGTAATATTGTACTCTTTGTTTCTAAATATACGCCCGTGCGTGAGTAGTACTTATCTTTAGTTTTTTGTATAGTATATTTATTAGCGAGACATATTTGTAGAGAAGAATGTTTTCTTAAATAATACATCACTAGCGACTTACCCTCCTTTCGCACGGCTTCGTCCCTAGCTTGCTTCAAAATACAAACTTTCATCCCCATTTTCACCCCCATAAGGAATTATTACCGGGATAAAAATATCCTATGTCCTTCTCCGGATCTCAAACTATCTTCTTACCAAATTTCACCTTAATCGGTTCAGTAGATCCAGAGATTACCCCCTACAATGTCACAAACTCACAATCTCACTTACTCACAAACTTTACCTCTTTATAATATTAGTATAGATTAAATTAAATGAATTTTATATGTTTTGAAATATTGTAGTCCGTACTTTGAATAATTGGCAAAATATAGAAATGTTGTATGTTTTTTATATATCAAGCAAAAACAAAACTTTACACATGACAGCTGTCAACTTTTTCGCCAATGCAATTGGCAACACTGCACACAATTCACGAGTTGCGCGCTAATATCAAATTTGATAATGCGATCGATTACTTGAAGAGGCGAGAAAATCTAGATTCAGGTCTCATCTCTTTCGCCCAGGCAGACTGAGAGCGCTTAACCCGATCTGTACCTAAATTGGTGTATTGATTACGGTTTCCGACCATTCCGCGTGTGTCACTCAAATGCAGGGCAGTTTTAAGATTCAGCTGATAAACATGGGGACTCGGGCGGCGGCCTGTAAGTTCATTATTAAACGCTTGACCGCTCATTGATAAATACGCCGCATGCATGTCGATTAACGCGTTTCTTTTTCAGAGGTAGCTCGATCAGCGGCCTCGCTCTTAGTGAAAGCTTTTTGTGTGTCCCTAATGCAGTCCACGCAGGCGTTCGATAACATGCAGCTTGTTTTGGAGCCGCTGAACCAGAAAGGTGAGCTCGTGAACGGGCTAATGTTGAACTGTTGCACAGTTATACCCTGTATCACGCTATGCTTTGTCTCAACCTGACAATAGACGTCTTCTAACCCTGTCTATGTCTTAGTATTGCCATCTCATCTCGAAGGCCTATATTTCTTATAGCTTAGATGCTGAATTTCTGTCGCTTCTTCTGATTACCTACTAGTTGACATGTCACCCCTTAAATTAAAATTTCATATATAAAAGACTAAGACTTTATATGAAATATAGCTGGTTATATCCATAGTTTAACGAATTAGAAAATAATAAAGTCCAGATGGCAATTCTAGCTTGTTTTGGGTGTACCCTTTTGGCGTTTGACTCCAAGCTGCACGTACATCCCGAGGTATGTCAGTGTTGACCTTTGCTCTTTGATGTTTGGTGTTGACCTTTTATGGACCCAGTTGGTGTTGTATTGTTAAACAAAATGTTGATGTCGTTCATATTGTTGTTGCAGCGTGGTGTACTTAGAATGACATATTTGTAGAATGTTTAAAGTGTGAAGTCAGTGTATTTTTTATTTCTGCCCAGATTGTTCAGAGTAATTTTATAAGAGCATTCAGCTTTTTTATAGGATTTTGGCCATTATTACATTACAATTCAAATGTGTGATATAATTATGTAATAAGGTGAATTTGTTTACAAATATTTTATAACAAGGAAGTTCAATATACGAAGTACTTAAAATAAACTTAAGTTTTAGTTATTACAAATATACTGCTATATAATGATATACAATTCTAGCAGTACATTAGGGATTAGATGTCAAAAGTATAATAATGATTTTAAACATATTTTCAAATAAAGGGAAAGTACTCGTATCTGATGTAAACATTTTAGAATAAAGTTGGTAAATATTACAAAAAAAAAAGAAAAAAGAATGACAATATTTATATTTTAATAATAAAGTATTATTTTGAATAACTATGATGTTATTACTTTGATTAAAAATCAAATATTATAATTTGAAATTATACATAAAATAAATTAAAAGTATAAAAAATGATTAAAATTTGTGGTGTATTTTTTCTAGTTTTCTCATATAATATCTGGAGTACATGTTAATCAGTAAAATTAATAGTGTTATTATTTATGATGATTAAAATTATATTATAAAGATATACATGTGTATAATAAACAACTTTTTTAATATTAATAAATACATTTTAAAACAAAATTTTAGTTTATTTATTTCCTTCGATATCTTTTTTAATAAAATCTAATATATTAAAAACTAATTGTTTATATACTAAATATTTAAATTTAAGTTTCTTTTGCAAACTTATCTTCTTTAATACTTATAATAGACTTTAATATGGAATAAGATCAGGTATTAATACTGAAATTATTTACACAAAAAATTTTTTATTACATATATTTCGAAGAATAACATTTTCTGCTGCATTTATTTCTGCCCTGTTACCTATGTGGCCTCTGCATTGGGACATCGATAAATTATTTATATTTTTATTTTATGAGCATGATTAGTATTACTTTTTAATATTTTTTAAGTTGCTCTATGCATATTTTGAGATTTTTAGCTTGTTCTAATGTTTTATAGTAAAAAATAATGTTTTGTAGATTGTCTTAAAATAGTTAATTAGTACAGTTTTGAATGTATGTACCAATTTTTGGTTTGAGATTGTAAATTTTAGGTACCTATCTAGAAATTCACGGTAAATATTATTTCTTAATTATTGAAGGTCTGATAGCAAAATATTTTTTTTAGAAAAATAATATATTTACCATTTACATAAACAGCAAGAGAGATATCAATATTACCTAAAAAATAATAATAAGAGTGGATCCCTCTGTTGTAGAATTTTCTTTTAAAATTTATTCATCTGGTTTATTAAAAAAAAACATTGAAATTGGTTGATTGTGGACACAAAACAATAATTCTGAATTGAGAACATCTCTCATTTTTTAAGTCATTTAAAGTATAAAAAAATAGTTTAGTATGTACTTTGTATAAAATGGATGAGTAAATAATAATAACCGCACTAAATTTATAATTGTGAAAGCCCGTATGTATATCTGCGTGTGTATGTTTGTTGTTTGTTACCTACTGGCTACTCCTTCATGCTAAACGGCTGGACGGACTTGTGCACAGGTAGACTATGACCTGGAGTAACATATAGCCTAATATTAGGTATCTAAGGCCTAGAGACTCGCCCGAGCAAAGCGAGGATAAATCGTTAGTATACATAAATATTTATATATAAAATTATTTTATTATCTGTTATATTAAAAAAAATTATGATCTATATGATCTAGGCCAAAATGTAGGTAGTGCTAAGTATTAACAAGTGATGTTACAGTCACGGCGAAAATCCGGAGCCTATACGACTGCCAACTGCGGCTTATGCACAATATACAGCCGCTTCCTTCCGGGACCGACATCGCCAACACTGTTAAATACTTTTCACAAACATTACTCAGTAAGTACAATATTTATATTATAATAGTAAGCCTACAATATTTTAAGATATGAATATTTAATAGGTAAATATGTATTTTACGTATCGAAATATATTAGATTTGCTTTGCATCGGCTGGCACCGATTTCGAAAATACCTGATTAGGTATCTATTCTAAATGAAAACCTCCGTTTAGTTATTTTTTACATTTCAGTGCCTGGAAGTCGGTTTTATTTTTTGTTAAAAAGTTTTTATTAAAATATTAATCATTTAGCCCATTCTGCGTCTCACTGCTGGGCACGGGCCTCTCCACTTCGGTTCCCTCAGTCATGCAGGTTTCATCAGGATGCTTTGCTTCATTTGAAGTCAATTTAATGATAATCATGATGATTGGCACATAAATAACTCAGAAATGTGATATCCGAATTTGAATTCGTGTGAGCGTATTACCACTGAGCTACCTCTGCCTTTATTAATATTTAGGCATTAGGAGACTGAGATATTGGCCATATGATTATGAATAAATCTCAGACTTGATGAATCCATAAAGGATATAGTTATTTATATTAAAAAAACGTATTCTATAACTAGCATTGCCCGCGGCTCGCCGCCTAAAACGAAATTCTTAGGTTTTACATATTAATATACTCTTACATTGCAGTTTTTGTATTTTTTCTTAGAAATGAGATATTTTCCCGCGGTAAAAAGTATCCTATATGTTGTTGACCCGGATAACCAGCTATCACCATACCAAATTTCATCGAAATCCCTCCAGTGGTTTTTCTGTGATGCGGTAACAGACAGACAAAAATTCAAAAAACTATAGATTTGGCTTCTGTATCGATAATAATGTCTATTTCAATAAGATTTTCCAAAAAATATTTAATGTACAGATTCAGCTTAGTTACAATTTTATTATATGTATAGACGAAATGCTGGCATACTATCAATCAATATTTTTCAGGTGTCCTAAAAGATGTTCCCAGATCACCCTTAGAAATGATCCGCGATGCTGATAACGATTCGGAGAGGATGAGCCTGTATCCCAACTTGGATTATAAGGGACTGTTCAACGCTATATCTCAGCTCGTTGATTCCGCTCCACATTTGCAATATGGAATACAGGGTAAGATCCTATAAGGTCACAGGAAAAAAAATTGTGATTGTTTTAATACTCATGTTATAATTATTCCATGAATAACTATTATATTCTCTTTTTTTCCGAGTCTTTAAAGTTAGAAATATTTGCGACAGCATTCGGGCAAGCAGTACTGCAGTGCTTAGGCTGCCTGTTACCATTTCTGGAGTACGACATGATCGACAACTTGCCATATTTAGTGGCATACTGTGTGGCGGTGTTCCCGGCCAACCTGCACCAGGAGATATTGCACCTTCTCTGTTACTATATACTGCCTTTTACTATCAGTAAGTATTTTTGTTTATCCAGTGAACATATTTACTTATTGGGAATTGTAAAATAAATTGTCGAAAATATAAGATTTTTGAGCTGATATTATTTACTTATTATTAGCTCGTCGATATTCTGGACTTGAGGAAGAGAGCGAAGCGTCTCAATCTGTGGGAGCCATTATTATGATGGTATTCCAGCATTCCAACAATCCAGGTAACTTATTACAATTTATTTTTATCCTAATCACTTCCATTTTTTTCTTACTTAAAGAATCAACATTTTCTGTGATTTTAGCTCATCATTGCCAACTGCTTGAATGCTTAATGTCTATGAAGCAGTGGGTTGTGAAAGACGTTCTGTGCGTCATCGCGTATGGAACGTGCGGCGCAAGAGTTTCAGCGGCCAAGTTACTGTTCTATTATTGGCCGCCTTTTGATGCTAAACTCTTCGATCGGAAAGGGCTCTTGTGCAAATTTTCAAGTAAGTTATTATGTTGGCTTTTATTTAATTTTTATTGATGTGGTTTTTTTTTATTTTGTTCTTAGAAGTTTTATGTTTACATTTCCTTGTCTCATTAGCCATGAAATATGTGCTGGTTTAAAGAAGATAAAGGGCGGTGGACCATCGCTCCAGATATCCGTTCGCTTATAGGTGTCGTAGTGGTAAATTTTTGGCTTATTTTGTTTTATTAATTAACAGCTTCTAAGTTATCTAGCTTTAATGTTATAAATTAATAAATTAAATTATTACATTATAAATAATTTTCATACGTTTATGTATCTATCAATATTCATATAAGAAAGCTTGCAAATGTAATGGGTCAATTTGTAAATGTATTGGGTCATGGCTTAAGCTTTCAATAAGCACAAAATATATATATATATATATATATATATTGAATTTAATAACTTTCACGCGTAGGTATCTCTTCAATTGAAGCAAGTGTAATGCGTAGCTTAATATTTTTAGATGACTTGGTACCGTTTTTTTGTCAACGGGACATGTGTCCGAACGCGGGCTCGGCTGAGGCAGCCAAGGTGTGCTACGACCACTGCATCAGTGTGACGTTCGCGTCCGACACTCCGCCGCCGCTGTATCTCTGCATCGAGTGTGCTAATGAGATCCACAGGTGAAGTCATACGGAAGTCATACACTTAGAACTACACTTACAATGCTGCTATAGCTTACTAATCTATTCAGTAGTCTAAAGACGGCGTCTAAATAGGGCAATCGTGCAGGGATTGCGGGGGGAGACAAGATTGACGCGTTCCCGATTGTCATACATACTTTTATATAAAAATCGGGAAAAACTTTACGACTGACGGGTGTGAATGTGACTTGCCATGAGATGGCATTAAAGTACCTACTTTAATTTCGAAACCATTCGCCTTGAAGATATTTTTTGCCAACTCTTGCATTTGGCAGGACTTCTATAAAAATCAAGGGCTACTTTATTGATTTTTATACTGTGATGTACACTAACCTTGCGATGACGCCAACACGTTATTCCACAAATAATTAAAATAAAGATACTTATTATATTTGTATAACAGTGATGTACTCTGTTGCACTAAGTTTTTACTTATTCATATAATACGATCTACAATTTTTATTTATTTTGTCACTTACTTAACTATTGGACAATTATTTAAAACTAACCGATCTTTTATTTCAGGGAACATCCAAATCAACGTTTCTTCGACATCTTGCATCCTCAACAGCAGGTGTCGATGGTTTGCGAGAATAAGGTACGTTGTGAATGTATATATTGCCTTTGGTCAAGTGAAACACATTTAACTCCTCTATACTTTTCAGAACTGCCGTTCGACAGATAAAGCTGCGTACTCTATTTGTTTTTCTAACGAATGTGCGAGTTATAATGGCAATCATCCTATCAGGTAAAATTGTCAATCTACATCCATCATGCACTGGCGAAGACATCCATATTTTCATCTCATATCATTGTGTCGCAAGTCATTTATCATTATAATTTTTTTACGATGATGTACTTACGTACATATTGTAAAAAAATAAATAATAAAACTCATAGTACATCAGTCATACAATGGAGTCATGCAACACACAAACAAAAGCTACTATTGTAAAAGAAGAGATATATCCTATGTCTATCGTTTAAGATGAAGGGCAAGATTGTTCGAAAATGAGAAACAGAAAGTTAATTTTGGGCAGTGGATAAATTACAACCGAGCTCCCAGTGTAGGTGATCGCCATATTTGGCTTGCACAAATGGCGAACCCTAACCTGGGAAATCGGTTGTTATGAGCAAAGCCTATTCACGGAATCATCACTTGAAAATAATTCCAGGGATAAGTCAGAAGTCTCCCAAATTTGGAGCCAGAGTCACTGGAACTTACATTTTTTGGATCGATTAGCTTTATAATCTTATAAATTATAGGGAATTGAATGTAGTTATTTTACAAATTATATAAAACTTTAAAATAAATTGTGAAACTTTTCAATCTGTCAATTTCTTTGGAATTAACATTTTAATGGATCAATTAATTGCTTAATTATAAATGTTTGTAGTTTTAAAATGAAGACAAAAATATGTAATATTTTATCCGCTATTTAATAATCTGAAAACAACGTTTTAAGACTGTTAGATAATGGATATAAATATTACACTATAACCACATGCCAAGTTTGAGCCAGGGTGTACTGCTCTTCGAATTTATTCTACTCTTTCTAATATTGTACTTATATTTACAATGTGTGTAATGGCATGAAGATGGACATTGAAGGATTCGTAGAGCAAAACGAAAATTTTTATTATATTCTGTATTTAAAATATATTGTTCGTGACTACCATTTATCACCGCATAAACCCATTAAATCAGTGTTGTGGAACGAGAGATAGGTAAGTGTTAATTATATATTTGCTTTGCGCTGTAATTGTATAGTTTTATATTTTGGTCCAGTCTTTCTATACCATTAAAGTTGCATTTGTGTCAAGTCTGAAACTCTACAAAATCGCCGTACATAGATTAATTTGGCAGAATAGACAAGTAAGACTTTCTTCGATTCATACGAATTTTGACATTTTACTTGTTTCCCGACTATTCAAATATTTTGAATGAAAAATTTGTTACGAGAGAAAAGTCGGGTACCAAAATAAAATCACAAACAAATCCGAAAATATTAAAATATCAAGAATATATCACTTTTTACGTATAACTAATGACGGAATTTCAATTGACTGCATAAAGTACTATTGTAAGTGAACAAAATTTGTAATACCCCATCCCCGTCCGAAGATACTGCCAGCAGTGCCACGGCAACCGCCACAACAGCCGGCGCGGCGGCGACCACGTGGTGCACACGCGCCTGCCGCCCGCCTGGCAGATGGACAGCGACATGCAGACCAACCTCGTCGAGGCTATCATCAGGTAGCATGCCTGATACACCTTTTTTGGGTTCTGTAGCCAAATTAAATTCTTAAAGTCACAATTCTTAAAATCACGACCATTTTACTAGAAGATTATTGGAGTTACGTTCCTGATATTTGGGATTTGTCTCATAAGAATCGTTAGACAATTTCATAGTCAAATTATAAAAAATAAAAGATATGGCACTCCTTACACATATGTAATTGAGGGTGAAAATTTTTTAAGCACATAAACATATGGGATATTTCTGTATAGATTATTAAAAGTTTTAAATGTTTTGAGTGACTTTTTTCTTTAAGCTTAGCTCGTAGAGTTATATGCTAAATTTTATTTCACAGCTTACTAAAAGAAGCTAAACCAATTAACATGGAGGATCCGGACAGTTCTGCGGAGCAGATGAAGTCACCGCTAAGCGTCAGCCTGCCAGACCCCATCAGCGTGGAGGACAGACAGTTACTTGGACGGTGAGGGCTTTTCATGGAAAGTTATTAACAATTTCTTTATTTATAAAAAAAAATTTTTTTGTACTTGGTTTTTATTGTTTTGATGTACTTGGCAGTACAATAAATTTTTTTAGCCATAACAAAATTCTTGTATTTGCAACCAGAACTTGAGTATTAAAAGTTCAGTTTTAATGAAAAAGAAATAACGAATGCATTTCATCAATACCTATATTTTTAGATGTTATCTTAGATTTTTCTGAATACATTGAATTAGACATGATTTTTTTATTAGTTATGGAGTATGGTTAATGGTCGGACTCTGTACACCGAACCCCGACACCCCGGATGAAGTGTTGGGACGATTATTATCCGTTCTCTTCCACTGGTTTCACGTCACGTCCTTCTCATATACTGGTAAGCAATAATAATGAATATATATAGTACTTATTGTATATTGCAATAAGATTTAGAATTTATTTCAATGCGATATTGCGAAAATCGATAGGATTTTAATTTTAGTTTGGTTAATTATTATTAGTTATAGTCCATCATTGTACCAAACATCAAAATAAATCCGCGAAAAAACCGCGAAGAGAGACTGGAAGTTTCTCCCATAACCATGATTGCTGTAAAGAATTAGAAACGTTGCAAACCCAAAAATTAACATAAATCACCGAAAAAGTCCAAACAAATAATAATAATTAGTTTTATTTAAAATATCAAATTCCTGTAAATCTAAGAAAGTATTATCGTATCACTTAATTTACCAAGCATTGGTTTATATTACCACTGGGCTACCATTGCCTTTATCTATACTAATATTATAAAGAGGTAAAGTTTGTGATCTTGTGAGTTTGTGAGTTTGTGGGTTTGTGAGTTTGTGAGTTTGTGAGTTTGTGACGTTGTAGGGGGTAATCTCTGGATCTACTGAACCGATTTTCAAAATTCTTTTACCAATAGAAAGCCACGTTCTTTCTGAGTGTCATAGGCTATATATTAACCCGAAAAATGAAAAGGCTTTTTCGTGGTAGTCGGATTTGCAAAGTAAGTCGGAGAAAAAACGGTCGAACGAAAAAGTTTCTTACGAACGCTGCCTTAACAATGAGAGATATATGATTATGTTCTAGGGAAAAGTTGTAGAGCTTAATAATGCCTACAAAAAAGTCAGCGACAGCATATATCTAACTTTTATATTTATGTCACAAAAAGTAGTTTTTTATATTAAAAAAATAATTTAAATCGGTAGATCATGTTTATTGGTCATATTATCAACAATTATGAATTCTTATCAAAATAAGTAAATTTATCGTCTAAAATGTTTAAAACAAAAGACTTTTCCCTTTTACTGCATATAATTTGGACAAATGGTTAAAGAGATAATACAACATATTCGTAGGTATGGACGAACCCGAGCGAGCTATTTATCTGTTTTCCTGTTTGTACGGGCTAATCTCCGAATCTATTGGACCGATTTAAATAAAATTTTGCATGGTGGTACCTTATATCCCCGTGCAACATCTTAGATACTTTTCATCCCGGAAAATTAAAGAGTTCCCGTGGGATAGTTAAAAAACTATAACAACTTATACAGCTTAGTACACAAAAACTACTGATTGGATTTTAATGAAACCTTACAATAATATAGTTCATACATGACTAAAACAAATCAGCTACTTTTCATCCCGGAAAATTAAAAAGAGTTTCCGTGGGATAGCCAAAAAACTATAGTAACTTATACAGCTTAGTACACAAAAACTACTGATTGGATTTTGATGAAACTTTACAATAATATATATAGTTCATACATCAGAATAAGAAATAGGTTACTTTTTATCGCGGAAAAATGTACTGTTCCCGTGGGATAGATGTTTTTGTTTATTTGTAACGTATTATGTACACAACATAAACCCCAAAACAATAGTTATTAAAAAGTTGTCTGTTTGTCTGTTTGCCTGTATGTCTGTTTGTCTGTTTTTGCGTGAGCGTTTCACGCGAAAAGTAATGTACCGATTTCAACGAAATTTGGTGATAACTTATTACTCGAGTCAACATTTAGGATACCTTTTGTATGTATTTATGTATGTATTCAGCCCTTTTTAACGTCCCACTGCTGGGCACGGGCCTCCCTTCAGTACGAGGGGTTGCAGGTTGGCGGACTTCACATGTCTTTTGAAAACTTGCTGGGTTCTCTCAGGCATGCAGGTTTCCTCACGATGTTTTACTTCACCGTTAAGACAAGTGGTAATTGTGTTAGAAATGATTCACACATGAAAATATCAGAGGTGCGACACCCGGGATTTGAACTTGCTTCACTCGGTTTCCCAAGCGAGCGCGTTACCACTGGGATACCACTGCCTAGATACCTTTTACTTCAAGAAAATCTTTCTTTCCCACGGGCTTTATAGAGTCCTCCTTAGAAACCTTCCGCTGGCTAAGCCTTAAGACATACATACATTAAAACAATATACAAAAAAATTGTAGGTCTTGAAAAGTCCTACAGAAAAGTTCTGAATTGTATATGTCTATCTCCTAAGTTACACTCGCAATATTTATTCTTATCTATACGTATAATAAAACTAACTTAGTCAAATCGATGTGCGCGTTTCACGCAAAAAGTACTCAACCGATTTTAACTAAATTTTGTAGTGATAAAACTTAGTACTCGAGTCAACATTTAGGATACCTTTTACGACAGGCAAATTATTGATTACTCGAAAACACAATAACTGGTTCTATCGAAGCAAAGGCAAGAAATTTATATGGCTAACGTTGGCTCAACCTTTAGAGATAGATCAAAATATTGTGCAAGAAAATTGTAAGTCCTAAAAAGGTCTATAGAAAAGTTCTACATAGTATATGTCTTTCTCCTAAGGTACACTCGCTATAACTATTTACATTATTATATATTACTGTTTTATTATACGTTATTTATTCTATTCTATCTATACATATAATAAAACTGTAGAGGTTATTTCTCTTCTGTTTGTCTGTTTGTACGGGCTAATCTCCGAAACTATTGAACCGGTTTAAATTAAATTTTGTATGGTAGTACCTTATATCCCCGGTCAACATCTAAGATACTTTTCATTCCAGAAAATTAAAGAGTTTTCGTGGGATAGTTAAAAAACTATAGTAATTTATACAGCTTAGTACACAACAACTTACGCACCTAATTTCGTAAAATTTGGCATGCTGATACCTTATAATGCCGGTCAAATAACAGGTTACTTTTCATCTCGGAAAAATGAACGGTTCCCGTGGGATAGATCTGTTTGTGCTATTCTAGAGGTGAACCCGAGCGAAGCGAGGGTGAGCCGCTAGTAAATAAATAATTTAATTAAATTATTAAAATAATAATTACTAGTTGAACATTGTTGATCTACGAGTAATATATGGACTGAAGCAAATTCCCACAAATCGAGCGGGACAATTGATCTTCTCTTCTAATTCCTGTTACATTTGGTGTAAAACGGTTGCAGGCGAAACAGCAGACACAGTGGAGAAGCTGAAGTCGTCAGCGGTGTGTCCGTGGCTGCGCGGGCTGCCGGCGCGCGTGCTGCTGAGCTGCCTGCTGCCGCACCCGCCGCAGCACACGCGCCAGGCCGGCCACTGGGACACGCTGGCCTCCAAGGCGCACCACCTGAGGGACGGGCTCAACAGGTGACAGGACATCTCTTCAATCATCAATCAATCTTCAAAATTCTGTACATTAAGACGTGTTCCAATAGAAGTTATCTAACAAAAGCGTCTAAATAGAGCAATATATCTCTAAAGCATCTTCGAATTAGTTTTCAAGGTTCTGCATAGTTAGTGTTCAAATAGAAGTCGTCTAACGAAGGAGTCTAAATAAAGCAATCGTGCGGGTGACGCGCTCCCGACTGTAATACATACTTTTATATGAAAGTCGGGAAACGGCTTTAGGGTTGATTTCCATCAAATTCAAAGGCTATTGTTGTATTTTCTATGTTTATACGATGCTATTATAACGCTGTTTGTCCATCCTTTTGTGTTATATACCTTTAAATAAATGTAGAGCTATGCTATATGAAATTCTAAGTAATTTTTCCGAGATAAAAAGTGACATTTGTTCTATTCCAGACTAATTTCATCCAGATCTGTTCAGTAGTTCTGGCATAATTGAGTAACATACATCCATTCATCCAAATTTTCGCATTCATAATATTTATGGGACGCATTCATTTCAGATTATACTGCTTAATCCCATACGGTATCATCACTCAGTCTATCTGGGACACCATCATGCCGGCGTGGATGGAGGCCATCTGCACCGATGTTCCTGAAAAGGTATTTCGTCAAATCAATTTTTATTTGTATAGTTTAATACTAGAGTGATATGATTTTTTGATATATAAAGCTTTACACGAAAAAAATATATTAGTAAGTCTAAATATTTTCCAGTCAAAATTCTAAATTTTCATATTACTTATAAAAGATAAAAGTTTTGTTTCAGAATTGACATGTATATTGTATAAGCTTTTATTCGATGGGACGTATTGAAAAGAATGAATAGATTATGTACATAGCAAATAATAAGTATACAAAATAAATAAAGCTAACGGACTAATTATACTTCCTCGTATTTTTTTTAAACTTTGACTTTAAAACCATTACATACACATAATAAAGCAAAAATATTATAATATTGTGAATCTATACATATAATAAAATTCTAACTGAGTTGAACCTGTACAATAATTTTTTTTTAAATCTTATTGAAATAGTCATTATTATCGATACAGAGGCCGAATCAATAGTTTTTAGAATTTTTGTCTGTCTGTCTGTCTGGGAACACATCACGAGAATACCACTGGACAGATTTTGATTAAATTTGGTACGACGACGATGATGATGATGATATCTGCTTATCCGGGTCAACATATAGGATACTTTTTATTGTGGGAAAATATCTCATCTCTGAGAAATCTATACTAAAATATTTCAGGAGTTGTTAGAGCTGAAGGTGCCAGTGGCGAAGATCTTGGAGCCGGACGGCAGCATGGTGGGCGTGGACGAGAGGAACCTGTACAACTTCGCCACTCTCAAAGTGACGGACAAGCCTCGTCCTGACACAGTGTTGCCTGTGCTCGAGTGGTTTCAGGTTGGTTTTCAACGGGCTGAAACGGGTTTTCAAAATTTATTTGGAGAAATCCTTTAAGAGAGAAACATCAATAAAAAAGTGCGTGTTTGAATGTGTACACGCGCAAGAAATAAAACTTCTGTAGGTTATCGGTATTCTTAATGAAATTCAATTTATGATTAAATAAATTAAAACGTATTTTTTGCTTATTCAAAATCAACCCCTTCAGGAGGGTGACAGGAGGTAAATATCCCAAAAAATCAAACTTAATGCGAGCAAAGCAGCGGGCAAAAGCTAGTTATTTATGAGGTAAATAAAAGTATATAATTTTGTCAACAGACTATATCGTTGCTGGAAGTAAAGATCCCGCTGTCCACGTTGTTCGACCTGTTCAGTTTCTGTGTCATCAATATGCCTGAAAAAATATGTAAACCACCCTCTGGTATGTTTTGTATTTTTTATTTTATTCTTATGTTAATTTAATATTTTTTTTAAATAAACTTATTAGAAACGAGAAATGTTGGTTGATTTTTTTTTAATATAAAAAATATATATAAAATGATATAAGAAAATAAAATGTTTTTAAATAAAGCTAACAAAATCCTTCATTTTAGACTTATTGTGTTATTTTCCACTGTATGAAATTATAATAAATATGGTTGCATATTAATTATTAGGTTTTTATACAATGTTATAGTTTTCGCTAGTTTTTCATTTATGTTTCAAATTTCAGATGAAACAAAGCCAAAGAACGCTGAAACAAAAGAATCTCCCCCCAACAATGAGAAGGAGAAGGAAAAGGAGAAAGAGAAAGAGAAGGACGATGAGATGAAGCCGCAGAACCTCACGTGCTGCATACTCATGTTAGATATACTTTTGAAGCAGGTAATCTAAAAACTGACACTAAATCTAGATTCTTTTTTTCTCTGATATCATATCAGAGATCTTGCAGATTTTAATTATTATGTTTTGAAGCGTTAATGATTAACACAAATTTAAGCATTTATTAATGACTTACGTCCCAAGAAACCTCTTTTGCCTTTTAAGTATTACGGAAGCTCTCAAAAGACATACATTATTTGCTTAATTAAGAAATAGGATAATACCTATCCTACGTGGCCTATTTTTGCGAAATATTTTTAAATTATGGCCCTAACCTTACCAGATAGTCAATCACCACCACCACTATCTGTTAGGGAAAGCTATAAAAAATCTTTTAAGTGGGGTCTGAAATATTAGTTCGTACAGACACAAATTCAGCGTGGTGGTGTTTTCTTTTGAAATAAGTTTATTTAATACTTTCTTAGATTTACGCGAATTTTTGACATTTTAAATAAAACTATCTCATTTTGATTTTCGATTCCCGTTTCGAATTGCTGTAAAAGCAACCGTGGTGACGGGAGAGACTAAGGTTTTAAATGTCTCAAAGACGTTATATGTATAGTTGTTACAGACAGTGCTTATCCACAAAATTATACAATGATTTTTAAAAATACAAAAATGGCACTAAAGTACCTTACAATATTTATTAATTTTAAATGTTTATTACAAATAAACATTTAAAATTAATAAATATTGTAAGGTAAAAAAAGGAAAAAAAGGCAGTGGTAGCCCAGAGGTAACGCGCTCGCTTGGGAAACCGAGTGAAGCGAGTTCAAATCCCGGGTCCCGCACCTCTGATATTTTCATGTGCGAATCATTTCCAACATGATTATCACTTGTCTTAACAGTGAAGGAAAACATCGTGAGGAAACCTGCATGTTTGAGAGAACCTAGTAAGTTTTCAAAAGACATGTGAAGTCCGCCAACCCGCACTTGGCCAGCGTGGTGGACTATGGCCTGATCCCCCTCGTATTGAAGGGAGGCCCGTGCCCAGCAGTGGGACGTTAAAAAGGGCTCAATACGATACGATACAATACGATTACAAATAAGTTTATTTAGTGACTAAAAATTTGTATACAATTTTAGATGGAGCTGCAACAACACCGTATCAACATCCAAAACGTCAGCAGTGAAGCCACCAGACTGCTTCGTCTCATGTTGAAGTCTAATCAAATGAATACCATCGAACATGGTAGGTTGCATTATAAATAAACATGTTGGGACATTAACACACAGCGCCATCTAGTCCCATGGTAAGCTACGAGGCTTGTGTATGGATATAGATATATATGTGTAGTGTATATTCTATACACTACACATATATAACTTTAAATACATACATATTATAAATGCAAATATAAACATCCATGACTGCTGTACAAATATTCGTGCAAATGAATGCCTCCAACGGACTCGAACTCGCGACCACTGGCACAGCAAGAAGGGTCACTACAAATTGAGCCAAACGTGTTGTCAAATACACATTACATAATACTTATATATTTTTTTTATATTTAATTTGTTTAAATAGAGTTAAATTTGAAACGTCGGAAACTAAAATACAAAATAAAACCGAAAAAATTCATTTCAAAGTGTATGTATGTGTGATTTGCGTAGATCTAAGCAGGTGTATTATTAATGATTGTATGTGTGTGCAGCGCAGTGCCTGGCGGCGGGCGCGTGCGCGTACTGCGAGGCGGCCGCGCTGTGCCAGCAGCTGGCCGTGCGCCTCGTGCGCGCGCTCGTGCCCACGCGCGAGGTACCCCGCCCGCGTCCACACCGTGCACCCTACACACTGCACCCTACACACTGCACCCTACACACTGCACCCTACACACTGCACCCTACACACTGCACCCTACACACTGCACCCTACACACTGCACCCTACACACTGCACCCTACACACTGCACCCTACACACTGCACCCTACACACTGCACCCTACACACTGCACCCTACACACTGCACCCTACACACTGCACCCTACACACTGCACCTTGCATCCTAAACCCTAAACCTTACACTTTGCATGCGTGACTTTCGAATTTCGATACCGCTTAAGACATATTTTAAAGACATTTTTATTCACACATACCTAATCTGATATACTGGAGACTTAGATTTACAAACATTGTATACTATCTAAAATTCTAAAACCTAGTTTAATATACATATGTAGCTGACTTATCGTTAATTAAAGAAAAGTGGAATTTACTTTAGTAATTTAATGTGTTTCAAATATTTTTAATTTTTTTTTTTAATATAACGTCTGTTTTTTAATATAAAGTTGTCTCATTTATCGTGTAAGACCTTGTTTTAATAAATCCAAATTGGTCCAAAATAAAGAGTAATCTATACTAATATTATAAACGTGAAAGTTTGTTATATGTATGGATGTTTGTTACTCTATCACGCCGGAACGGTTGAACGGATCTGGATGAAATTTGGCACAGAGATTGATTATAGCCTGGAATAACACAAAGGTTATTTTTCATCCCGAAAAATTTACGGTTCCCGAGGGATAGATTTTTTTTGTGTTTCTACAGCCACTAGTTTATTATAATACTGTTTTGAATAATATAAAAAAAAACTTTTTATAATTGAATTTAATACAAACCCCTCACCGGTGGGTGCAGCCGTCGGTGGAGGAGTGGTCGGAGCCGGCGCCGCGCAAGCCGGCGGAGGACGAGCGCAGCAAGTCGGGCGGCACGCCGGCCGCCGAGCTGCTGCCGGCCGCGCACGAGCGCGCCAGCGTCGGCGGCGTGCTCGTGCACATGCCGCATGTGAGTGTGCGGGGGGGGGGAGGGGGGAGTGGGGGGATGGTGGGGAATGTGTGTGGCAGTTGTGAGGTAAAGAGCTTTAAGGAAAAACGTGGAAATTCTGACATATGTATAATGTTTTCGATGTAAGGCATAGAATCTGTGTTAGTTTATTGCCTTTTAATACTTATATTTTATTATAGTTTTGTATGTTTGTATTTAGTTCAAACATACATACATACAAAACTTATATACATATATATAAGTATTAAAAAAATATATAAAAAAAATACTTTTACATATATATTTAAAATATCCAATTTGCAAGTCGAGCTGTTTGCGTCGCAACTGCCCTTGTTGTATACAGTGATCGTAGGAATTAGTTGCGTCTTATCATTGTACAGTATAAATACGAACATTGGCATCGCTTTATCCATTCTCTGTGTGTTATAAATGATTTCTTTATAAATATCTATATTATCTTCCTTTCGTACTAAATTTTATTATGAAAATATATTTGTAGCTTATACGGCTGCATGTTTATTGTTGGTCGCTCCTGCATTTATGTTTATACTGTGGTTTTTAATTTTGAGATTTAAATCCATTGATTTAAAGTTTTTTTTTTTGGATTTTTAAATACGATTTATAAAATTTTCTTATACTAAACGTGGGAGCGATTGTTTTAAGAACGCTGCTAATTTCTTTCTATAATTAATTCTGTGTGATAGATTTTTTACTATCTAGTTAGAGATACAGCTATCTTTTGTCTCACTCACACTACTTTTTTTTAATATTTCTAATACTACCATTTTTTTATATATATCTTTATATATAAAGCACTCTTTTTACCTCACTGGAAGTTTCCATACTTGAGCTGTGTTTCTATCTATATATATGTTCCTATAAACAAAATATGTTCAATAATGAAAAAAATATATATGTATTGAAATTTTAAAGCTTTACATTACTATTCTGTTTATAGAGGACATTTAACAAATTTGTAACATATAAATACAGTGTTTGAGAACGACAGTAGTATTTATTATTTGGCTAACTTTGAATTTGTTTAGGAATTATATAAATATTTGGATCGTTCACAAAGCCAGCTAGTGGCCCGCGGTGGGAGGGGTGGAGGAGGGAGAGATGGGAGGGGAGGGAGTAGCTTTGGGGAGATACGGTGGGGTACGGAGGGTAGGGGGGAAGGGAGGGGGGGGGGAGCTAGTATGCATATAATAGATGTATAGTTTGTTCATTTCATGCAACTGTCACTAATAAGCGACGTGGGGTCGGACGCCACCCTCACTAAGTCGTCGGGCGATACGCAAGTACGTTTCGACATTTAGCATTATTTCGCTTTTCACGTGATTTTTCATTTTTTTTTTCTTTCAAAAAATTGGTGTTATTCTAATGTATTGGTTTTATTTGTCTGTGGTCGCCTCTATGTTGTCTATGTTTTTGTGATCATTGGCTTTTATTTTTTTTATTTGAAGTGATATCTCAGTGGGAGCGCACTCGCTTTAAAGCAGAGTGTATCGGATTGAAACCCCAGGTCCCTCATGTCTTGGCAATTTTATGTGTGAATGTTATATGTTACTTCATTACATTCATAGATTTACGCGAATATTTGAAATAAAACTATTTTTTTCTAATTTTTTCGTGCTTTAATTTTGATTTTTTGTTAAAGCAGTTTCGATGCTTTCCAAATTAATTTCAAATTGTAAAACTAATGCAACGCTTAATAAAATTAAAAAGTAAGAAATTTTGTTGCCATTTCACTTTTGTTCAAAATAATTGTATTATTTTTTCGTGGCTAGCCACAGATGAGATGGTATCTAGATACCATCTGTAATAAGTCAAACTTTTGAGAGGAAAAAACCTTTCATTGCAATCGAATCGTTGGAAAAAATTAATATCAACTGCAAAAAAAGTCGAGAAAATACTTTTATTTAAATCCAATACAAATAACTAATGGGGGTGAAAAAATTCAATGGGAGGAAATTTGCATGCCTGAGAGTACCTAACAAGTTTCTAAAAGACGAGTCTGAATTGATATTATTATTTTATTTAGATTTTTACTGTTATTATTTGTATCACCTATATTGAGTGTTTCATATGCACAAGCTTTTTCATCAAATTTTGTTTTAATTTTAATATCTTTATAGATTATATAAATTTTTGTATAACATTGTATATATTTTTGTACTGTATTTCTTCTTTTCAGTCTTACATTATGAATAACACTATTTTATGACTTCACTTTGATGTACTAACAAGTTTTATTGAAAATTTAGCATATTAAGCATTAACTTAAAACTCAAATTAAATAGCATCAGTGTTCTTATGAAAATCGATTTTTTTAGAAATATATTTAATTTAATTTATTCGAGTGAAGTCATTCTTTAATATTAAACGTGAATGAATTAAAAAATTTCTTTTCCTATTTTATTTTTAGAGAAATATTTTATTAAAAAAAAAACTAAATCTAAAACCTGCCTTATTTAGATTAAAGCAGTAACTAAAGCAATTCTTTTTTATTTTAATGTACATATAAATTATGTATTACTTACATTTTTAAATTTAACAATAATTATAATACGTACAGTTTAAGATAAAATTATTAACAATAATTTTCATGTATTATAAAAGACATAAGTAATCAATTATTAAAAAAAATTACGTTAGAAATAAATTGACCTGCAAATAAATTAGTGTCATTCAGGAGTATGATAATAATTAGTTCCGAGGAAGGCATTCTAATAATTCTTTTGTTTTTTATAAATATACTAGCGGACCCGACAGACGTTGTCCTGTCTACACGTCTTTAATTTGAAAATTTCAAACTTTTTTTAATAATTTTTTTGATGAAAATTATTATTCAAATTGTGAATCTAAACCATTCCAGTGAACACACACAAAAAAAATCATCAAAATCGGTCCAGTCGTTTGAGAGAAGTTCAGTGACATACACACTCACAGAAGAATTATATATATAAAGATTAGCATTGCCCGCGGCTCCGCCCGCGTTCAGATGACCAAAAACTAAATTTTTAGGTTTTACATATTAGTATACTGTTATATTGCAGTTTTTGTATTTTTTCTCAAAAATGAGATATTTTCCCACGATAAAAAGTATCCTATATTTTATCCTCCTCTATCCTATTTTTGTGTTGCGGGATTCGGCCTCTGTATTGATAATAAAGTCTATTTCAATAAGATTTTCCAAAAAAAAATTTTTTTTTGGAATTCGGCTTAGGCACAATTTTATTATATGTAAAGATGAATGTAAATGCACATTCACTTAGTGCATACAAGTTTTAAAGTGCCATTTCACGCACACATACGTTTTTCTTTTTAATCCAAGTTAGTACTATAGTTTACTTATCGATACAGAAGGCGTCTAACGAAGGCGTTAAGGGGAGACGCGGGCGAGTTGCTTCCAATTGTCATACTTTTATATGACAATTGGGAAATGACTTTAGGGTTGACAGATAAAACTAGAATTTGTCAAGAGATAGCACTATAGTGCTTTAACTTTGAAACCGTTCACCATTTTAATTGGTATTTTTTGGTAACCCTATCTAACTACCCTACTGTGTGGATTTTTGTACTGTGCTAGCCCAAACTAAGCTCACATTAATTCATAAGCTTGGTATGTCCCAATAATCGAACCGGCACCGCACTACACATGTGCACTAGATAATGACGGCGACGGTGGAGACGATCACCGAGCAGCTGGACATGGCGGTGTCGCTGCCGCCGGCCGAGCAGCCGCCCGTGGCCACCGCGCACTCTGTCACGCTCACCGACACCGACGTGGCTACGGCTACGGCTAATGTAAGGATTTGACTATTAGTATTGATGAGTTTTAATAATTAGACCTTATAAATTATGTTTATTTTGTCCGTGGTAACATATTTTCGCATTTATTGTATTAGGTATGGACTTGATACTGTCCGTAATTTCGCTTGTGTATGCATATATTTTTGTTTAGTCTAAAGTCCTTAACAATGTCCATCACTGTGTTACTAAATCAGTCGTTTTGATTCCTACATAGACCGTATTGACCATGAACGCACATATTTATGTATGTTTGTCTCAAACTGGTCAACAAGAAGTGTCATTTTGTATTAGCTTAAATATGGAGTAGAATCCCAACAAAAGAAGTTTGTTAGAAAAAAAATGGAGTCTATGGTAAAAAAATTCTTTAAATTCTATTTATCTATGCTTAACGCAGGTATCTACACCAAATCTTCTAGGGGATCATGAAGGAGAGTGTATAGAAGAAGACATTGCTAACTTTTGGCCCACATCTGCTGGAAAATTTCATTTTTGTATCGAGGAACTGCCTCAAGAGTTACAATACATACATCAATTATTACAGGTACCGTATTATAATAAAATCCACTATTTATCGAGCTGCTATGTATATTAGTCTTTTAACTTAACTTGCCTCTGAATTCTGAAATTCATATGGTGTCTCAATTATCCCATCACCTCATGTAAATATGATTTGCATTCAGCCTTTATAGCGTCCAACAGCTGGGCAAGTGAGGTTAGGCTGGTGATCATGTTGGAAATGATTCGCATATGAAAATATTAGACGTGCGAGACCCGGGAGATGAACCCACTTAACTACCTAAGGGAGAGCATTACCACTAGGCTACCACTGCTTTAAATAAGTAAATATGATTATTTCTTTTCAGGAATTGAAGAATACGAAACGTCCAGACGTTCTTTATAATCTTCTACAATGTCTCCAAGTCCTGGTGCTGAACACTGACGCGCTGGCCGAACATAAAGGCTTCTTGATATGGTGTCAGGAGAATTTACTTATTGAAAAGTGTGTTGAAACTTTATTCTATGTTTTTTTTTCAAGTTTTTGAACGATTATTTTAGTTGTTACATTAACATCACAGTAGAAACTGAATTGAGATTAGAATTTTTTTTTAGCTTTATTTAAATCATGGATTAAACTTGCCCCTAAATAATTACATATTTAAAATAATATCCTACTAAGTCTTAATTAAACTAGTTCCTCGCTAACAATTATTATTATATTAAATCTATTGGCCATGGACTAACAAATACTTTTTCAATGACAACTTTACTAGCCAGTGGCGCCCACTGGTGCTGACAGAAACCATAGCTCTAATTGAAGAGTGATTTCCTCGGTACAGCCTGTGGAGCGTGTGCGACGCGGCGCAGTCGCACATCAGCTCGGTGGCGGCGCCCGTGCTGCTGCACTGCGTCACGCTGGCGGGCGGCGCCGACGTGTTCTGCGCGCTCGTGCGCGACGCCTTCCATCACGCTCACCCCGCTGTCCGCTTCACGGCCGTCGAGCGCGTCACCGTGCTCATCAGGTTGGCGATACTGTGACATCATCAGTTATGGCACCAAAATAACTAAGTAATATCGATCTAATGAAGTGATGCGAGTTTTGTATGTTCACTTGTTACTTCTTTTATTTCAAAATAATTGAAAGCTGCCTCAGTTTGCAATTATTTTTAAATAAAAGAAGGTGGTCGCTCGGGCTCGGGCAACGTTATTTACTTGTCAAAAAATTCTCAGTAATAGCCCGGAGTTGAAAAATTTTCGATATTTCTCTTCCGTACCTCTCTACTTCCGTACCTCTCTCACGGTTCGTGTCGAACTGACCCACTGGAGTTTGAATGTGACAGCAATAGAACTTATATAGATACTATCTCCTGCACAAATGGCTAGCCTTAGTGATTTGTTGTCGTAACTAAAACTGATCAGAAGCACTTTTTTTGTTGTTAGTGATTTGTTGGCGTAACTAAAATTAATCAGAAGCACTTTTTATTATAGAAATAATTGATTCGATCAATCAAACCAATTATTAATATACCATGTAACTAAACCATCTCAATAGATTCATGGACGGGTCGCCGATCAAGTCGAGCCTGGCGCTGCAGACGGCGCTGGCCACGGCCTTCTGCTACCTCATCTCCAGCATGGACGACATCAGCGTGTACGTGGCGCAGCGCGCCACGCTGTACATCGGCACTATACACGATAACGCCATTCAGGTAACTTGGGAAAGCACTTGGAAATACTATAGTATTTCCAATTTTTTGTATTATAACAATAACAACTATTACACAAAATTGCAACAATTATTAGTATTATAACAATAACAATAATAATAATCTTTGTTGTACACCAAAGTAAATGAATTAATTGAAGAGGTAATAAACAAGAAAACTCCTTCAAACAATATTAAGGCATGGGAAATTGTAAGAGGGAAAGGATGTGAATATGTGTATAAATATAGTTATTATTACTAAATATATATTATAGTGTATATTATATGGTATTATATATATTATTTGATTAGGAATTTATTTTTGAGTATCTATATATTATTTATATAACTACGACTGCACGAATTTAGCCCGATTTGTAACACTATTTCTCACTACCATAGGTTGGCTGAAAGAGATCTCTTCTAGACATAAGTCCGCCTTTGTCAACAATAACAATTTTTAAATTACTGTATTGATTTTTAAGTAACAGTAATAATATATACAAAAAAATAGAACATATTAATACATAAAGATACACGTACTATTTAATATGGATTCGTGATTATATTCTGATATTGCAGCCAATAAAATTTTTGGCGAATACTTCGATAATTGTTAACTCTTTGGTTTTTGTTTTCCTGAATCTATTTCTTTCCATGTATTAAAGAAAATTCTATTTTTTTTTAAATTACGTTTGCAAAAACATAAAAATCGAAGTGTTCAGCCCGTCAGTATGTTTCCAGCTCCTCCTCTACTGCCTGGAGACGCAGTTCGACCTGGTGATCGTGGACCGGCCCATGATCCTGCAGTCGGTGTACCAGCTGCACAACACGCTCAGCGACCGCAAGATCCTCACCTGGGACTTCTTTCTCAACCGATTTGAAGCGCTGTTCTTGGAGGCCCAGATCAGCGCTGATAAAACTGTGGATTATACTAATTTGAGAGGTCTGTTTGGTAGTTATTTTGTGTGTATTAGGTTTGTGGTAGGATAGGACATTTTCGAGTGTTTTTAGATATTTAATATGTTTCTTTTTAAGTAATCTACATAATAAAATAAAATGTTGTTTGTTGGTAACCGCAACACTTTAGGACCGCAGGGCTGATTTACCTTATTTTTAGTTCGAGTAAAGTTTTTAGATAAGTCTAATAAAAGTTAGGAAGTTTGGGAGAAACTGAAAAATCATAAATGTTATTAAAATTGGGACTAGACAACAAACGTGATTTAACTTAATGTTAGCCAAAAAAAAAAAATATAACAAAAAAGTGTTTAGATATGTAATATTGCCTACTATTTACGTATTACTGGTTAAAATGAAAAACAAAACAAACAGAGCTAGTGCTGAACTGCGGCAGCACGGAGCGCGCGGCGCGCACGGCGGCGCTGGCGCGGCGCGCGCACAGCGCGCTGGCCGGGCTGGGCGGCGCGGGCGCGGGCGCGGGGGCGGGCGCGGGGGCGGGCGGCGCGCCGCGCTCGCTGGCCGCCTCCTTCGGCGCCAAGTGGCCCTATAAGCGCACCGTGTCCGCGCCCGCCGCCGTGCCGCCGCAGCACCAGCCGGGTACTGCTCGTCTCCTTATTGTTTCTGATAGCCTGGTACACATGTATGTATGAATGTACAAAGTCCAGGAAAGATACTAGAAAATTCTGAATTTGGTACACTCACTCTTTCTCGCTTATGATGGCCCGATATAGTCCACACTCGCAGTGCGAACTCTTGACTCTTTCTTGCTTATAATAAGCCTTATGCATATACATAGTATAATGGCATGCTCGAGATATTTATTTATATATGAATGCAAAGATATCTAGGTACATACACAGTGCACTATTAGACTTATGATAGATTTCAATAATTAATTTATCTTTGGTTATCCTTTCTAGATATAAGAATTTGACATAAGCTCTATAGAGCTTATATCATATTTCTTTCCAAGTAGCGAAAACTTCAGGTAACTGGAGGTAGCTCATAAAGATAGTAAACCGCGCACCTTCTGAACCACAGCAACCAATTTTTTTCTTGGCCATATAATTAAAAAGACTGACAAATTGAACATATTTGTTTTTATCCAAAGCGGCGAGCAGCACGGTGGAGCGCGAGAAGGTGTACCCGCGGCAGTACTCGGCGCCGCTGCTCAAGCGCAAGACCTCGCGCTTCGGCCTCGGCCTGGGCCTGCAGCCCGCCGCGCCGCGCACCAACAACGCGCACGGTACCCGCACACACATACGCACACATGCACACACACACGTACATGCGCGTACACGCTCACGTACGCATGCACACGCACACATACTCATACACACACGCAAGCATACGCACGCACACACACCGACACACAGCACTATGCCCTTATGTACCTATTCTCAAGTATATGTAATACTAATAGAAAAACATATAACTACAACAAAAACATTTTTTAGATAATTTTCCTAACTACAGATGGTATCCATTCTCTGTCCGGACGATCGACCGACGACACGTTGACGACTGTTCTGCCCAAAGCAGTGGACGTGGAGGAGTCTGATAAAGAAACAACCAATTTGCTAGTATTTCTGTTGATGCAGTTCCTTTCTAGGTTTGTTGTGTTTATTGTTACTTATATAATATAGCGTTACAAAATGCACTTTTACCACCAATGACACACACAGATCTTCTCAACATTTTTAAATCGCTTGTAACAAGTTTTTATTTTTAATTACTACGTCTTAGTCTAATATCTCTACTCGTTTATCGTGATATTTTTATTTTTTTATTTTATTTGGGAAACAAATTGTTCAATATAGGTAATATAATTAAAAACAAATTATAAAAAATAATATCTAGCGACACGTTTGGCTCAGTTTGTAGTGACCCTACTTGTTGTGCCAGCGGTCACGGGTTCGAGTCCCGCTGGGGGCATTTATTTGTGTGATGAACATGAATGTTTGTACTCCATAAAGTTATATATGTGTATGTAGTTATATAATATGTGTGTGTTGTATGTAAAGTTATATATATGTGTACTGTATCAACTATCTGGTATCCATAACACAAGCCTCGTAGCTTACCATGGAACTAGATGGCGCTGTATGTTAATGTTCCAACATATTTATTTAATATATTGACCGATCAAGTTTCCACAATTAAATAATACATAGAGTAACGCGAGTATGTTAAATAATTAGTCATGTAATATGTATGTTATTTAAACCAAAGTACCGATGAGTAACCAATATTTGTTCGCAGCGTGCTCTCGCGATGTGTGAATTGTAGCTTATACAGTAAAATACTATTAAGACCTGAGATAGGCTGTTCATTCAGAATTTCATTCAAATCGCTTGAGTTGTTTCAGCTCTAAAAAGTTACAAGCACATTCACTCATTCATTCACAGTCTTTTTCATTTTTTATAATTGTATGATTTTTATACTCCTGCATATCGGTATCGAGCAAAAATATATTTATTCACTAAACAAAAGTAGTACTATAAAATACAAATAATATGTACTCGTATATCTAACAGAGCGGACCAAGCGCATCCAACAGAGGATAAAGCGACGTTAAAAACACAAGAATTGGTGTTGCGGCATCTATTTCTGCTGCTGGGATATAACTCTGTGGAGAAATATTTCACCATATCACCTCATACGTTACGGTGGGTAAAGATTTTTATGTCACTATAATGTTAAAGTTAAAAAAAAAACTCGTTTTTGATCAATTATACACTCGCGTACAACTGAATCGACTCAAGCCGTATATTGGTATAAAAGTTAGATTTTTAGGAAAATGGCTTATCCGATTTTCTTGTTTTTTTTTGTTTGAAAGCCTAATCTTTTCTCCTAAAAATGCTATCCTAATGAGAAAAATCGGTTGAGTATTTATTGATAAAATTTAATTTGACAGAAATGCATAAAAAATGAAGAAAAATGAAAACAACAACATACTGAATAAAAAAAATATTTTCGATGAAAGTAAAGAAAGTTAAAATTTTCAATACTTTTTATTGCCTCCCCTAGCTTTTATAACGGCTTGTATGCGATTTTTCATTGATTTTATCAATTTTTCGATAAAATTGATAAAATCCATCAGAGTCTGTCCAAAATGAATCAGATGATTCCGAATGATTTTTTTTCGGCTTTATTTTGATATTTTTTTGTCCAAATAAACCCGCGAAAAAATCCGAAAATATAGTTTTATTTAAAATGTTAAATATTCGCGTAAATGTAAGAAAGTATTATGCTTATGTATTTATTGAAAAGTTCCACTATTTATCTCTCTCCAGCATGAGTTTTAACTAGAAGAATACTGAAATATTACATGGTTATTCCAGTGTCGTCTGAATTTCACATACTTACAAAGTTTGATATCGATACTTCCAAGTTTAAAAAAAATATATAAGTTTATAATTTGGGGTAACTTCTTTTATCTTAGGTTATTTATTAATTTCAATAGATGAATGGAAAAATATAGGACAATCCAATTCAATATGTCGTCAAATAACATAACTAAAGAAGTAATTTGGTGGATTTTTTGTAAGTCTGCGGTATAGAAGGAATTTTGTTTGGTAATGTTTTCAGGTTATCATCAATCTTCAACGCGTTCATGGCGAATTTGCCACAAGTGCTGGATCAGAACCACGTGATGGGGGCCACCATGGTGGAGCCCACGCTCATGCTGTTGCAGGTACACAGCTGGGCGACCATAAATATATTATTAGGATTTTCTCAATAGTTTTGTTTAGTTTTATTACTTTACAGTTAACTAGCAACTCACCCTCGCTTCACTCGGGTTCGTCCCTAGGTTGATTTCCCATACAAACTTTCATCCCATTTCAAGGGGGTGAAAATGGTCACCCCCTTAAGGGATGATTTCCGGGATAAGAAGTATCCTATTTCCTTCCCAGGGTCTCAAACTATCTTCTTACGAAATTTTATCTAAATCGGTTCAGTAGGTCCAGAGATTACCCCCTACAACGTCACAAATTCACAATCTTACAAACATTACCTCTTTATAATATTAGTATAAATTAACACAAAATATTTGTTATGATTATTGATTAAGAGTATAACGTAATATTTCATAAAATTTAGGTTATTTTGAATTTTGTTTAAGAATTTTATCTAAATTATTATAATATTGTCTGTATACTTCAATTAAATTCAACTCAATTGTTAATGACTTCAAAGCGTACCAGTTGAGTACAGATTACTTCGCCAATAGCCGGTATACTTTCATTTCTATTATAATCTATCACATTTATAATAACATCAGCAAGAAAGTCAGCTACGGCATCATCCCCTATATCCCGTGTCCGGATGTCCGCAGCACTGCATCCGGCCGGCGCAGAGCGGGCACGGCGGACACGGCGGGGACGACGCCGTGCACTCGCTGGGCGCGCTGGCGCCGCACGTGCGCCGCCACTGGCTCATGGCGCTGCTGGTGGTGCTGTACAAGTACCAGCAGCCGGGCGCCGCCGCGCCGCTGGTGCGCGCCGTGCTCGCCTCCGTGCAGGCGCAGCACCACCACTGCAAGCGCATCCCGCCCGTGCTGCTGCTGCACCACCACACCCACCACCACCAGCAGCCGCACCACCAGCACACGCACCACCACCAGCAGCAGCCGCACACCCAGCAGCGGACGCGTGGTGAGTTATCACGTAAATAAAGCTCGCAACTATTACCACAGCATAAAAATTCATACATTAGACAATCACCTTTAATTTTAACGGAAATACTGTCGAACGTATGATAATAGAGTGCCTTTGTATTACGACTGTATCGAATAATACACTGTATTATTTGATACAGTTACATATAAAATATATCGCAAATTGAGAACGAATATCGTTTAGGTTTTTACCCATGCATTTTAGTCTTAACTGTGATACAACTGATACGGATTTCATTTTCGAAAAAAAAAACATAGAAATATTAGGCTGAAATATCAATATTGTATACCAAAGACGGAATATATAAAAGATGGTGTTGATACGTTTAGCTCAGTTTGTAGTGACCCTACTTGCTGTGCCAACGGTCGCGGGTTGAAGTTCCCCTGGGGGCATTTATTTGTGCGATGAGCACAAATGTTTGTACTCCAGTCATGGGTGTTTATATTTATAATATGTATGAATTTGAAGTTATATATGTGTAGTGTATCAACTATCTGATATCCATAACACAAGCCTCGTAGCTTACCATGGAACTAGATGGTGCTGTGTGTTAATGTCCCAACATATTTATAAAAAAAGGTCATTCCAGACACCCGCGAGGCGCCGCCGGCGGCGGAGGAGCCGTGCGCGAAGTCGCCGGCGCACTGGCCGGACCCGCCCGAGCCCGCCAAGTCTGTGATCACTGTTGCTATTATAACTTAACTGTCCCAAAGGTGAAGTGACTAGCACTTCTGGACGTTTTAGATTCGACTCCCGTGTCCCGCCGTGGTTAGTCATTGACCTCCTTCTTAACAGAAACTCAAGAACTAAACCTGGCTCGACTCGGGACTTAAACCTAAGACTTCCGGATCTGCAACCGTACATGCTGGCCACTAGAACTACGAAGCATTGAAATATGTACATATAAACGTATTAAACATTTTAATTAAATTCATAACATACTTTAACTTCCATTGTAACTAAACGTGTTTGACTTTAGCTTTAGATTAACAAAGAGGTGGATTGTGAAGTTTTTCAATAACAAGACTACTAGTAAAAACTTTTGAGTTCTTTTATAGTAGTTACTACATGTAGTTGAGATAGTATAAATATAAAATAAGTAAGATGCTCTTTTATAATAAGTAAACCCAAATAGACATCAGACATTATCCATTACGCCACAATTAGCATCACTTATTTTTTTATCTGTGCAAAAATTTTGGTTAATGCAATAATTTTGTTTATCTGTACTTGTCTGTATGTGCTGTGTGTGTGTCGGCAGATATCAGCAGTGGAGCTTGGAGCAGGAGTCGTCGGAGAGCGAGCTGATCGCCATCCCGGAGACCAGCGACAAGTCCGACACCACAGTGCACGGCAGCACCGCCCCTGTTAGTTGTTATATATATACTACACTAAATTCCGTCTATTTGTGTGTGTGTGATTGTTCTATCCCAAGAAGTGGATTTTATATGAAACCACCTGAATCGTTCACAATTAATGAAGTAATCACATAGTATACACAAAAAAAAAAACAAAATTGAGTAGCTCCACTTTTGTTAAAGTTGGTCCTATTATTAATTAATTAAGCTACTAATATCAATGCGAAAGTTAATATGTGTGCGTGCGTGTGTGGGTGTGTGTGAGTGTTAGTGTGTGTTTGTTTGTGTGTTAGGCACTAAGAACGCACCCAAGCAAAGTAGATAATGAATTTGTGCTGTATAATAGGGTTCTTTCGACGAGCCTTCCCACTACGAGGAGATGCCGCACGCCATCTTCCCTTCGCAGAGCGGCGTGTCACCCTACCAACACCTCAGCAAAATTGTAAGTACTTGGACAGTAATAATAATAGATAAATTACACAAATATACTTATGATATTCTATCTCTAGGTAAAACTATTATATGCATATACACACTTATATGTATATAGTTTTAACGATGTTTTAGCTTCTATTTTAATTTGTTTATAATGACAATAAAAATGTTCTCCTGACTGATTTCGGCCAGAGCTTAATCAGTTGCTAATGTCTAATGGCTGGCATGTATGGCTTCAGATCGAGAGGTCCTGGGTTCGAGACCCGACTACCGGTAGGTTCTAAATGGTTACTGTCACAAAATTCTTAGTAACTTAAAAACATTACTACAATATAAATGTCTCAACAGTTGGCTAATCTCAGTGAGATTGGAAGCCATGACCGAAATCGATCTGGAGGACATTAATATTGTCTTTATAAAAAAAACTAACAATAGGAGCTAAATCATCGTTGAAACAATTCCTCTTCAATATCTAAATTTATCCTAAAAAATATAACAAAATACTAACTGACTCACTCCTTACGCAATTATAATATTACTACATATAAACTTACTTCTCATATTTTACCCGCTTATGGGATGAATTTAGAAAAATGCTAAAACACGGTATTTATTTAATTGTATTGAAGAGCAATAATACCAAGTTTCAAGTAAATCTGATCATAAATATTATTTTTTTGGGTTGTATTATAACGTATTTTCCCGTGGGAATGAGATAATCTCCCGCGGCAAAAAGTAGCCTATATCACTCTCCAGCCTTCCAACTATCTTCACACAAATAATCACCCCAATCCGTCACTCCGTTTCGAGGTGAAAGAAAGACAAAGAAACAAACTCACTTTCATATTTATAATATTAGTATGGATTGTTTATATATTGCAGCAAACGACAGTGGGGTCTCGCTCTGGACAGCAGCTCTCCACCAGCTCCTCCGTGTCCATCGGCAGCGACTCATCCAACTTGTATGTATTTTCTTCTTGTCCTTACCTCACGGTGTGGGATCTACTTAGCATGTTTCCATCTTCTATCTCCCTCTATTCAGTTCTATGTAGTGTGTATTTCAGTACACACACCTGTCATATAAATAACCTCTCGAAGAGTCCGTATACGAAATTTTGCGGACTTCGCTGATGTACGCGATTTTATAAACGCTATTTCACAGTTAAAAAACAATTTTTCTATAAGTTTAAATACATAATTTGAAAGGTCATTTTAATTATGATCCAATGAGTGGACTCCTTTTTTATTTTTAGTATTTACTTTTGAATTATCGACCTCAAACCCGTGACTGAATAGTGAATTTCTATATATAGATTATTATTATTATAACACTTTATTGCACAAGAAAATAATACATTAACATAAAAAAATGCTGTATAATTAAAGAGATGTGCAAAGGCGGCCTTATCACTAAAAGTGATATCTTACAGGCAACCGATAGAAAAGGCTATAAGAAAATAAATTTAATATAAATAAACATACATTAAAATTTACATATATAGAATACTAGTTTTACCATAAATTATTTAGAAAATCAACCCCTATGAGCGGGCAGTCGGTGGAGATCTGGCCCGACCAGCTGCACCAGCAGAACTCCCCCCGCACTAAGATACTCGGCAAGCAGAAACGGATTGTGGGTGAGACATGTTTTTCATATTATTTATAACTAGCGGCTTACCTTTGCTTCGCTCGGGTGCGTCCCTAAGTACCTACGCAAATTTTGTTCAAAATTTTTGAGGGTTTTAATTTATTGCGCAGAATCATATATTTTTTTCTTAAATAAAAGTAGCTTTAGTTACTCCTAATAACATCAGCTGTTATCAGTGATAGTTCCGTCAGAATCAGTCCAGCCATTACGGATATTAGCCGGAACAAACAGACAGACAAAAATTAAAAAAAAATATATTTTGTTCTTGTACAGTGCAACCGTAACATATTACAAATAAGCATTTTACTCGACACGTGTAATTCATTGTTTTTTAATTCATAAAAATCGAGTCAGTTCGCGTACCGCTAGCAAGTAAGCTGCGCGTGCTCACATATCCATATCATTTTCATTCTCATTTTATTAATAAATCTACAGACAGTAAATAGTATCAAGTGTTAATTTCAAACGTCTTTCATTTCAACAATCTAATAGTGTTTTAGTTAACAAGATGTTAAGAATCGGTACAGTTCTTATAAGTGATGTATATACTTTTGATGTTGTTTTACTGCCTCGGTGGTGTAGTGGCTAGCATGTACGGCTGCACACCCGGAGGTCTTGGGTTCGAGTCCCGGGTCGGGCCAAGTTTAGTTATTGAGTCGTTCAGTATAATAAGCCTCAGTAACAGCCCGGAGTTGGGAAGTTGGCGGTGTTTCACCCCCGTGCCTCGGAGAGCACGTGAAGCCGTCGGTCCTGCGCCTTAACTCTCACCGGTCGTGTCGAGTGGTCGTCTCACCAGAGTATGAGAGTGACAGGAATAGAGAGTGCCCTTGTGTCTGCGCGTACACTTGTGCACTATAATATCTCCTGCGCAGTTGGCTAGTCTCAATAAGATTGGCCGCCGTGGCCGGAATCGGTCAGGAGGACATCATTTATTATAATTTTATATAAAGGAATGATTATGTGCAGCGGGCAGCAGCACGCCGCCCGACACGGCGGCGTCGTCGAACGGCGACGCGCTGCACGCCGCGCTGCTGCGCAGCCCCGGTCTGTGCAGCACTTACTTGTTATTCTATTTACTCTATATCTATATAGTCCATTGAAAAGTTACATTTGGGGTTGCAATTGTCAGAGGACGCAATTTTATTTTTTAGATATCAAGGAGGGGTTAGTGTAAAGTTAAATCCAAGTTTGTGGGGTTGCAGCCCTTGTCCCACGGCCGCCATCTTGGAAAAAGGGGAACGAATGGTTTTTATGATTTATCTGTCAAACTATAGGTCTCACAAAAATGTTGTTAAACCATTTTTGGTTGCAAATAAAATTCTCTACAACTTTGGTCAAGTAACTTTTAGTCGTAAAACCAAAAATAACAAAGTTATAAGCGAAAATCGGTGAAAATTTATGAAAAAAAATTCTATTTGTTGTTATAACTTTTTTTCTGATCATTTTACAAAAAAAGTATATCAGACCATTTTTATAGAAGCGTTTTTAAGGAATAATTTTCATTATAAACTTTTTAAATTTTATTCATTAATTAAGGTCTTATAGAGCTGCGAAACGAATATACTATTCTTCAGTGGACAAGGGCCGTGGGACAAGGGCTGCAACCCCACAAACTTGGATTTAACTTTACACTAACCCCTCCTTGATATCTAAAAAATAAAATTGCGTCCTCTCACAAATGCACGCTAAGCCCAAAAAAATGTAACATCTCAATGGACTAATAACATGTTCTTCAATTATTTTATTTTTATTTCATTTCTATAGCTACAGAAATAGAATACAAATTAAAAATTATAACTATGTATTTAGCGGTAAAACTAGCATTGCCCGCGGTCCCGCCTGCGTTTAGATGACCAAAACCAAATTCTTAGTTTTTACATATTAGTATACTCTTACATTGCAGTTTTTGTATTTTTTCCCAGAAATAAGATATTTTCCCGCGGTATAAAGTATCCTATATGTTGACCCGGATAAACAGCTATTACCATACCAAATTTCATCAAAATCCCTCCAGTGGTTTTTCTGCGATGCGGTAACAGACAGACAGACAGACAACAAAAATTCTAAAAACTATAGTTTCGGCCTCTGTATCGATAATAATGATTATTTCAATAAGATTTTCCAAAAAATATTTAATGCACAGATTCGGCTTGGTTACAATTTTATTATATGTATAGATATCGTTTTAAATTTGCTGTCCGATTAAATCTGTACACAGCATTCAAATAAATTTTATGTATAAAATCATATCGTATTAGATTTGTGGAACAGGAGTATAAGAGTGAATGAAAAAAAAAATTTTTCGCCACTTACGGAATTTATTTGCTTCACCTTTCATGTTGTAATCAGAAAATATTTTTTAAACAATCTTAGTTATTTTCTACCTTATCAAAAAAAGTCCCAATGAATTTTCGATTCAAATATAACTCTGAAAAATACTTAAAACTATTTCGATAAATTGAACATTTATATTACACTTCTGTAATAAAATCCTTTTTATTATTTTGTACATTTTATTTTATGAGAGGAACCCTAATTCTTGTACAGAAATAAAAGTAGCCTAAGTTACTCTTTATAACATCAACCACCTGCCAGTGAGAGTCCCGTCAAAATTGGACCAGCCGTTTCGGAGATTATCCGGAACAAACAGACAGACAGACAAAAAAATGTGTTTTTCTTATAAATACCATATATAACTCCATATGCATTTAGTAAAACGCTGTTATTTTGACATTACAAACAGACATTTCAATTTTATTTATCTGTATAGATTTCACACGCTATTGAAAGTACATAACAAAAGAAAATATTGTACTAAAGATTGTATTTAAACATACAAAAAAACTTGCGCAGGCGTGGCGTACGCGTCGCCCGAGTCGCCGCTGTCCAAGATGGAGGTGGCGTGGAGCGCGCCGCCGCCCGCCGCCGCCCCCGCGCCGCCCGCGCCCGCCTTCCACATACACCCGCCCGCCCCGGAGAGGTACACTACATAGTCTCAGTCATTACACTCCAAACATCCGGTTTACCCAAACTTTTTTAAACTTAAATGCCAGTTCTATTGGTATTAACTACACATGTTACTTTAAAACAGCCGAGATGTATTTTGTTTATATATGTATACAATAAATCTTAGAAAAAACCTTTGTTTTTAAAATATAGAGCAAAAAAACTCTACGGTAAAGTACAGCTAGTATTGTTAGCTTAAACAAATAAGTACTAAGGCGACAACTTATATCTTTAGTCTTTTCTTTTCGCCTTGTTTTATATATCTCAAAGGTAACTGTTAAATGTAAGATCATTGTTAAGTGCAAATGTTTCTTGTTTCTACATTTTTTTATATACACTACTACGTTAATATTTATATTTTATGATTTTCATATTTTTTTTAAATAAATTCGAAGGCAAACTAGAAAAAGTTGAAATTATGAAAAACGAATATATAATTTCAAAAATATATAATTAGAAAAATTACGTTGTTGAAACCATATTTAATAGTACCTGGGCAACCGAGCTTCGCTCGGAGTTTTTGGTCGAAAGTACAATTTTCTTTTTTTTTTTTTTAAAACAAAGAAACTTGTATAAGTATTAAAAAAAACAAAAGTAAAAACTTTGTATGCGACCGAGATTTGAACCTGGACACCTGTGGTTGTCAAACTTGCGTCTTGGCCGCTTGACCTCGATGCTTATGTCCTAGCGTGCGAATTAACGACCATATTTTGCGTGGAATAATACGAAACAAAACCGCATGAAAACTCGAAAACACGCGTTTTCCCAGACATAAAACTAATCTAGATCGATTTATCGCCCCCGAAACCCCCTGTATACTAAATTTCATGAAAATCGTTGGAGCCGTTTCCGTGATTTAGATGATATATATATATATATATATATATATATATATATATATATATATATATATATATATATATACTCGTAATCTGAATCTATATCTGAATAATATATATATATATATATATTTATATATATAAACAAGAATTGCTCGTTTAAATATATTAAATAATATTTATATGGTGTAAATGTATTCTCTTATTATCTTATTCTCAGACTTCTTCCCATTGGACCAAAGCCAAATAAAGAGCAGTACCCGGTGTTCAACGCGTTAGTTGACAGGGTCAGGGAGGCCTTAAATATTCCTGGTAAGTTATCTGTATTTTATACCTTTTTCTTTATATTTTTTCTATCAATATATGTACACAAAAATATATAAAAAAAAATCTGTGAATCAACAATTAATTTTTCCACAATATATTGTTAATGTTCATATAAAAGGTAAATATTAAATAACCCAACAAAATAATTTTGACAAAAATTACAATCAAAATAACCTAATAAGTAAAAACTGTATATCTATTCTCTTTCGCTCTTAGTATTAAAAAAAACATTAAAATTGTCGAAGGCATCTTTTAGTATATACTGCAAATTACCGATTAAGTAAATAAACCTTTAATTGATAAAACTATAGAGAATGCACCAAATAAGCAATAGCCATGAATGCGAGCAGACATGTTTTCAGACGACTCTACAGAGCGCACGGACTCCAGCGAGCACGAACCCGTGCGCCCGCGCCGCCTCGCGCCGCCCGCCGCGCCGCCCTCCGCCCCGCCCTCCGCACCGCCCGCCCACGCCGCCTACGCCGCGCCGCCCGCCCAGCTCCCCACTCAGCACGCCGCCCAGCCCGCCGACGAGAAGGAGCGGTATGATTTTAATTTTTTAAAACTTTGCACTATTGATTTACTCTCGTTTTATATAAAATTATGTATGACAATCGGTCACTCCTGATCTACGTATGTCTCGCACGTTCCCCATGGTTGCCATTTTTTTACGAATGCCACCTGTATACATACAGATGGTTATGTGGGACTCACCGGCTAGAAAAGCCAATACTACCCACTAAAACCCAACAGAACCTCCTCCGTCACCGTCAACTGTCCCCAACTGGCTTGCCGAAGCAGACCACACAACCAAGGGATTGCTTCCACGGTCTATTCTGCTGTCAGAGAAGTACCAGGAGCAACTACACCAAGCAGCGGGCAAGACAAAAGATACACTGAGAAGTGGCCTTCACCCCGTGGGTCTTTTGGCTTTGCGCTCGGCTGGATTGCCGGATGCTAATGAACCTCCCCACCACAACAAAACCAACACACATCGGGAGTCCCCACGGTTGTTCTATACCAAAATCTTCATTAGACGACTATGGATTAGTAGACTATTAATATATTAATCCATACTTAATATTATAAATGTGGAAGTGTGTTTGTTGGTCCTTCTTTCACGTCGAAACGGAGTGACGGATTGGCGTGATGTTTTGTGTGGAAATAGTTGGAAAGCTGGAGAGTGACATAGGCTACTTTGTACCGCGGGAGATTATCTCATTCCCACGGGAAAACACGATATAATACAATCCAAAAAAATATTTATGATCAGAATTACTTGAAACTTGGTCTGCTCTTTAATAAAATTAAATAAATACGTGTTTTAGCATTTTTTGCAATTTACTCTATAAGGGAGTAAAATAGGGGATGAAAGTTTGTATGAAACTATCTTTTTAGATATTTTTTTGTAGTTTTATTTAATATATTCATATTGGCAGGTCGCCGCGCCGCCTCGCGCGCCAGATGGCGCAGCTGGGCTCGCCGCCGCCCGCGCCCGCCAGACCTCTGTCCACTGGTAGCTAACTATTATATTATGTCTATCCTATATACATAAATAAAAATGAATGTTGATAATCGCAAAACTCGAGAACGGCTCGACGAATTCAGCATTTTTTTTTCGTATGTTCCTTAAGGTCTACGGAAAGTTTTAATAAAGAGAAAAAATATAAAATAAGGTATATATAATTATATATACTCGGTAATTAATCATATTAATTTAAATGTTAAACCCTTTAAAGTTAAATAATTATGACCAACTGATTTGTATGGTGCAGAGAGCGGGCAGGCGTGGTGGGGCGGCGCGAGGCGCGCGGCGCGGCGCGCGGCGCACGCGCAGGCCGCGCCGCGCCGCCCCGACGCCACGCTGCGCTACCGCTGTACGTGTGCACGTGCCTTTATATTGTACTCTTATTATTTGTAACAATTCATATACAGGGTCATTTTTAATTTACTGAAAACCTTTTGGGAATATACTATTTACACATCATAACAACAACATCTGTAAGAAAAAAAAATATATATCTTAAAGTTAAGAAAAATAAAAATATTTTTATTGCACCTTCTAAACAGTAATAGTCCAGTATTAGCAAAAGGAAGTGCGTGTCCGGTGGAGGGGGAGGGGCGGAGGGGTGTAGGAAGCCGCGCTTACTCATTTAAACTTGGCCAGATGCTAGAACTTTAAAGTTTAGAAGGTGCAATAAATATTTTTATTTTTGTATGAAAATAAAAAAGTAAATAGTATATTCCCAAAAAGTTTTCAGTAAATTAAAAATGACCCTGTATAAAAATATAGATACACATTTCCTAACGAATATTTCTTCCACAAATCACATCGACAAGTAACGTTGAGTTAAACAAAAAAATTAAATTAAAAAATAAATTTTCAAACTTATTGTCTAAACACAAATACGAACTTACGCACACCGCATAAAGTGCTTTTTTAGATGAAACAATGTACGTTTTAATTTTGTTATCTGAAATGCAATGAAGAAAAGAATTTGAAAGGAGCACAATTCAATTTTAAATTATGCACTTCTTTTTAAAGACACTTTTGAGATGCTTAAATTGTATATCTTAAATTAAATATCAAGTTATTACTTTTTAACTGATTAATCTTGACTAAGTAAAACTTTAAAAGTTGATTTTATTGTTCATATATTATATATATATATATATATATATATATATATATATATATATATATAAATATATGAATTCTTTGAACTCTTTCTTTATTCTACAATTATATAAATCATATTCATGGTATCGCTCTATATGTGATATATTTATAATTTAAAGTAAAATTGATTTAATTTTAAATTAATTGTAATATTTTACCGGTCACAAAAATGTATTAACTGTGTGTAATTAAATATATATAATTACACACACACACACACACACACACATATATATATATATATATATATATATATATATATATATATATTCTTTTAGAGGTTAATGTTGTACTAATATAATAGCATGTTGTAATTACCTGTAATAAAAAGTGCAATCATCATGTTTTTATACTAGTGAAAATATTTCTATATGTAATTTATTGTAACTTTTGTCGGTAATCCTACTAAATAAATAAATATTTAGTATCGACGTGTATGAGAGTGCGTGTGTGTCCGCAGGCGGGGAGTGCGGCGGCGCGGAGGAGCAGTACAGCGACGAGGAGCTGGGGCTGTGCGTGATCGTGCTGGCCACGTTCGTGCGCCGCGAGCCCGCCGCCGCCGCCGCGCTGCTGCCCGCGCTGCTGCACAGCGTCACCAGGTCCCGCCCACTCGCGACCATTACATTTTTCACTGTCTTCATTTATCTTTTCATTTTGTTTCTTGTTATTTGTTCACACCCCTGTGACGTGAATTATTTTTTTAGTATTTTTGATTTTTAATGGTATTTTATCACTTTCTGATTTTTAAATATATCGTTAAAAATTACTTAACTTTTTTGCTCCATTATGTACTTTTGAACAAAACAAAAAAAAATCGTCGAATTGTTGACAACCTGGTAAGTACGTATGTGAAAAAAGGGATGGTAATACAATAATTCAATACCATCAAGGTCGTCTGGTGAGACAGAGTATGTATGTATGTATGTATGTATGTGGTGTGTGCAGGGTGGTGCAGCTGGGCAGCTACGCGTGGCAGGCGGAGAGCAGCACGCGGCTGCCGGGCAGCGCCGTGCAGGTGGCGCACCAGTTCCTGCGCTGCGTGCTGCACCAGCTGGCGCCGCACAACGTCTTCCTGCAGCTCTTCCTGCAGCGCACGCCCGGTACGCACGCACCTCACTGCGCGTGTGTGGCTTATGTTCATTCCGATCTATAAATAATTATGCGAAAATTATTGTCGGTGTTATATTGCAAATGAAAAAACTAATTTGAATATTTTTAGTCAAATTTTTACACTTATTTGTTTATAATGGATCAAGTAATTTGATATTTGCTAATTTGAGTCAAATTCAGAATATTGTCTAAAACTTATATCTTACATTAATATATAGGATAGCTTTTATTGGCATATCTATTGTCTACCGCGCGAGTTAAGTCACAGGCAAAACTTGTTTTTTTATTAACAAGTTATAGTTAAGTGTTGCATGCCTCATGTCCATCGCAAATATATCGACATTTATTTATCGATAACAATCATAAGCTTGGTTTCCATACCCGCAGAAAAACAACGGCAGATGTTCTTCAAAAGCGTGGCACAAGCATTCGTAGATTTTAACGAGCTGTACCCGTGCGGGCCGCTGCAGCTGCTCATCGAACACCTCAACTCGAAGAAGACTCTGCCTATTGATGTGAGAAATCGTTTCAAGTATATTATAGTCAATTATTAGTTTTACATTAAATCAAACTGCATAATAAAGTGCTGAGAACAGCAACAACTGGATTATCCACAGTTTTGTAAATATTTATTCAAGTATAAATTATTTTCAACCAAATCAAAATATAAAAATTCAAATAGAAATTTATGAGCACTTTTAAATATTAATGTTACAATTTTTAAAATTTAAATTGAATGTTAGTGAGTTTGTGACGCATCTACCACCGGCTCGGAAGGCAGTTCTGCTGAGAAAAGCCGGCAAGAAACTCAATCGTTGCTCTTTATAGAGAACTAAACTAATATAGCTTACGTGTGTTTGATACGATGATATGACGCGTCGTCAGCAAATGGGCGTGATCGCGGGCAACATGGCGATGTACCTGGAGTGCCTGGCGCCCGAGGCGCTGGGCCCGCTGAGCGCGTGCAGCGCGCTGCTGGCGGCGCTGGACACGCTGCTGCGCGCGCTGGCGCTGGCGCCCGCGCCCGACGACGCCGCGCCGCTGCTGCGCGCCGCCGCCGCCGCGCTGCGCGTGCCCGGCGCCGCGCACCACCGCGCGCTGCTGGAGCCCGTCAGCAAGCTGCTGGTGCGCGCGCTGCACGCCTGCGTGCTGCCGCTGGCGCTGCTCACCGAGCTCAGCGCCGCCGCCGCGCGCGCCTTCGTGCGCGACCGCGACAAGCTGCTGCTGTGCCGCGTGCTCGTCTACGAGCTGCTGCACGCGCTGCGCACCAAGACCGCCGTGCCCGACGAGAACTTGTTCGTCCTGCTCCAGTTTGTGTTGCAAGGTGGGGACGTTTTTGTCAGTTACGTTGAGTTAAAGTTTATGCTATTTTTAAAAAAATAACAAAGTAAGAATACAGTAAGGTATAAGCATGTGGCGGGCAGGGCACGGCGTGACGCTGCTGCTGCCGCCGGCGCTGCGCACGGGCGCGCTGCTGGCGGCGGGCGGCGCCGAGCGCGAGCTGGGCGCGGCGCCGGGCGACGCGCTGCGCCCGCACCTGCCCGACATGCTGGACCTGCTGCACGACCCCCACCTCCTCAACAAGATCAAGGTGACGCACACACGAGCAACACTTACTCACATCGAGCACTCGACTTCTAGTTTAAATTGAATTATTCCAATTAGATGATTAAAAATGAAATACATTTAACTTAAATTTAATAAAAATATTTTTTTTATTATTTATTACGGTACAGTCGTTACAATATTACATAAATAATATAACGACACATAGACCAATCGAGTTTTCACTTTTAGCTAATACTAATAAAAGCAAAACATTTATTCAAATAAACTTTTACAAGCACTTTTGACACATAAAAAAGTTACCCAGTACACTACCCAGCCCAGTATTCAAACCCGTAGTCGTAAATAAATCTAAAACAATAAGTTCCTACACAAGTAGCTAACATAACCTCACCAACTGTAAAGCTCAGTGTTCAAACCCATAGTCTATACATATAATAAAATGGTAAATGAGTCGAATCTGTGTATTAAATAAGTTTTGGAAAATCTTATTTAAATAGTCATTATCGATACAAAGACTGACACTATAATTTTTTTTTAAATTTGTCTGTCTGTCTATGACCGCATCACGAGAAAACCACTGGACAGATTTTGGTGAAATTTAATACAATAATAGCTGATTATTCCGGGTCAACATATAAGATACTTTTTACTGCGGGAAATTATCTCATCTCTGAGAACGAACCCGAGCGGAGCGAGTGAGGCGCTAGTTGTGAATGAGTGTAACACAGTAAGTAGCTAACGCTGGCGGCCGCAGGGCTCCGTGTCCAAGTCCATAGTGAACCGCAACGCGATCTGCCTGAACGAGGACACGCTGGGCGCCATCGTGAAGGGCGGCGTGGCGCAGTACGTGGCCGTGGAGCTGGCGCTGGAGGGCCGCGGCAAGGAGCGCGGGCCCGCGCGCCACCCGCTGCCCTGGCTCTCCACCACCCTGCCGGGGTTTGCACTTAGTTATACTACATTTTATTTACTTAAAGAAAATAAATAATAATATAGAACATACAATTTACGATATAAACACGCAACCAATGAAGTTTTTACAAGTAAGAAACATATAATTAGAGTAGAAAATATTAGAATAAATTAAGCAAGATTGGCAAAGTACATACAAAAAAAAAATTAAAATTTATTTGACTAATTCTATTTCTTTCTGTGTCTCTCTCTCTCTTTCTCTTTCTTTATCGTAATGTTATACATAGGCTATGCACCCCTTTGAGCTTACATAGCTTTTTTCTAACTACTCAGCACATTCTATCATTAGTAATCCAGTCGCCCGTCAATCTATTTAGTCTCCATCCATCCTACATCCACGCCAGTCGGCTGTCTCTTTCCATACAAATTATAATTTTATTTTTTATTTCAATTTCCTTTTTTTTAAAAACATATTTATCCAGACACTCGTAACATTTTTGGTGGCAGCGATAAGGGATTTTAAAAGTCCCCGGTACCGTCTCCTAGTTTACGCGAATTCGACGCGTGTGTAAAAGTGTTAATATCTTTGTGCAAAAACATAAAATAATAATATGTGAAATAAAGAAAAATAAAAGTACAAAGTGTATAAGTGTTAGTGCACCCTAGACCTAACCACAGCCCATACAGTGTCTTCAAAACTTCACTGCTGCATTCTGCTCATGCTCTAGGCAGAGTCCTTCTTCGCCATCAGATCATATCCACTGTCACATATAGCCCTGTGTTGTGACCAGACACGACCACCCAACGATTACGTTGAAAGCTGATCAATACAGCCAACGATCCACAAGGAGCTTCGAGTATCATAAGTGAAATTCAATCCGCAACGGTTATCTACGTCTCGCCATACCTTCGAAGGAATGTTACCCGTCGTTATCGCTTTGTCTGTATTCAAGTAAGTGATGTTTTGCATTTGGTCATTGCGAATATTAAACTTTTAATTACTGTTTTATTTTGATTTAAATTTCTATTGTGAACATTTAATTTTATTTTAAATTTATAATTGTATAATCTGCCTAAAAAAATATTTTATCTTTAAAATGTCTGAGAGTAGAGCCCAAAGTCCAAAATTCGAAAGACCAGAAATTGCCGTCACTGACACAGAGGACGATGGCCTTTGTCCTCCTCCTTCTGGACCTACTACTAGATCAATTTCAAAAAAGAAATTAGCAGTGGCGAATAAAATTGAGTTAGATTTATCCACTCTACTTAAATTTATAAAGCCATATGATGGTTGTAGGGAATCACTTAACTCATTTTTAGTCAACTGTAATAATGCCTACGACCTAGCCACAGAACCACAAAAGGATATTTTATTTAAATATATATTGTGCCAATTACAAGGCAAGGCACAAACCGCGTGCTCTGTAAAAGAGTTTACCAATTGGCCGCAGCTTAAAGAGTTCTTAAAAACACAATTTAGCGAAAGGAAACATTATACCCACTTACTTACAGACCTACAAGAATGTAAACAACAAATTAACGAACCTGTGAGCCAGTATGCTCTTAGAATTGAAACATGTTTATCTCAACTGCTCACAGAAATTTCTATTTCACATGGCCATAAAAGTAGGGAAATGATAGGACGTACAGCAGCCATGGAAGAATTAGCCCTCCATCATTTTCAAATGGGTTTGATACCCCGTTTATCAAATATAGTCAGATGTAAATCACCAAAAACACTCAATGAAGCCGTCAACATCGCGATCTCAGAAGAAAAGATTCAACAATTCCTATTTAAACAAAGTTCGTCTACCACACGTCAAGGACGATCTAATACTTCAAGGCCAAATTTCACTTCTCTTTTTAATTCTCGCAATCATCCACTTACATCGAACTCTAATCAGATAAAGCCTAAGTCAAATTTCTATTTCAATCGACCTTCTAATACAAATAACTCCCCTGCAACAATTTGCAGATATTGCAAATCACCAGGACATACCCTGGAACAATGTCGTAAACGAGAATATAACAATAATCGTTTTAAATTTGATCAAAATCAGTCCAGGTTACCTCAACGTGTCCATTTTGCTTCTAACACCCCTAATGACGAATATCCAAATGACTCACATGAAGAAGAAGGCTATGACACTGTAGATGCTCAATCAAAAAACGAATAACTGTCTCGTCCCGGTGTCGTACGGGGCCAAATAATATCAAAACCGACACCGCAAGCTTAATTTCTAAACCCAAATTAACTTCGCCATATGGAAATTATAAGACCAATATGGCAAAACAATTGCAACCATCGCTACATGATGGTCTGCCAAAATCCACTGTATCCGTGCAGCAACGCAGAGCTGTTGGTCTGCCAAAGTCCACTGTATCCGTGCAACAACACAGAGGTGTTGATCTGCCAAAATCCACTGTATCCGTGCAGCAACGTAGAGCTGTTGGTCTGCCAAAGTCCACTGTATCCGTGCAACAACACAAAGGTGTTGATCTGCCAAAATCCACTGTATCCGTGAAACAACACAAAGGTGTTGGTCTGCCAAATCCCACTGTATCCATAAAGCAACATAATGATGTTGGTCTTCCAAAATCTTCCATATCCTCACAGAATGTGAATCATTCAAAGTTTCCTAAATCCAATGTATTTGAAATTACCAATAATCCTGCAAAAATGCTATTACCTCATGTTCTCGTTGAATCTCCAGTATCAGATATCCCATTATCCTTACTCGTAGACTCAGGTTCCTCTGTAAGCCTACTGAAACACTCCTGTATTAAAAAACATCCTCAACTTGTAAAAGAAACAATTCAGTTAAAAGGTATTGATTCATCCGATGAATCCATTCAAACTCGAGGACATTTTCAGCTAAAATTACGTCTACCTAAATCCAGTATATTTCATAAATTTCACGTCATCGATAAAATTCATCTGCCTTACGACGGCATCATAGGTTCTGACATGCTTAACGCCCATAGCTGTAATATAGATTATACTAATAATTCACTACATTTTGGTAAATCAGCTTTAAAACTGTATTTTCATGAACCTGCATATCTAATACCCGCGAGAACTGAAACTGTCATTGAATCCTCTGTTAGAAACCCTGAAATCAAAGAAGGATTAGTCCTCGATCAAAAAATTTCTGAATCACTATTGATTGCAAATTGCTTAGTGCGTGTTAATGAAAATAATAGAGTAAATATATCCGTAGTAAATACTTCTGAAAATCCTGTAACCCTAAAATCTGATCTTAGCCTTGAATTAATCCCAATCGATATCCCGGAATATAAGGAACAATCAACTGAAGTCATAAATCATATAAATCACAGCAGTAGTTTTACACGGACCAGAGAAGTGCTCAAACAGGTTCGTGTTGATCACCTAAATGATGAAGAAAAAGAAGCTCTTCTAGAACTTTGTTCTGAATTCTCCGATATTTTCCATCTCCCCGGAGAAAACCTTACCTATACAAGTGCCCTGAAACATGAAATCAAAACTAATACCGATACACCCATTCATACTAAATCTTATCGATTCCCAGAAGTTCACAAAACAGAAGTTCGTAATCAAATTAATAAGATGCTAGAACAAAACATTATTGAACCCTCTGATTCACCCTGGTCTTCACCCATATGGGTTGTTCCTAAAAAAACTTGATGCATCCAACACGCAAAAATGGCGAGTCGTGATCGATTATAGAAAACTTAACGACGTTACTATCGGTGACACTTACCCCATACCACAGATCACAGAGATACTTGATCAGCTTGGAAATAGTAAATACTTCTCTACATTAGATCTAGCATCCGGGTTCCACCAGATCCTTTTAAATGAAGATGACAAGGTTAAAACAGCCTTTAACGTCCCAGAAGGCCATTTCCAATTTTTAAGAATGCCATTCGGGCTTAAAAATGCTCCCTCTACCTTTCAGAGGTTAATGAATTCTGCCTTAACCGGGCTCCAAGGCATCCGATGTTTTGTATATTTGGATGACATAGTTTGCTACGCATATGACCTTCGAACTCATATGACAAATTTAAAATTAATTTTTCAAAGAATCCGAGATTTTAACTTAAAACTACAGCCAGATAAGTGTGAATTTCTACGTCGTGAAGTCTGTTATCTAGGTCATGTGATTACTGAACATGGTGTTAAACCAAATCCCAGTAAAATTAAAGCTGTTACCGAATTTCCAATTCCCAAATCCCCCAAAGATATAAAATCTTTCCTCGGCTTAGTTTCCTATTACCGTCGTTTCATTCCTGACTTCTCCAAAACAGCTAAAACTCTTACCTCTCTCCTGAAAAAGGATGTACCCTTTAAATGGGAAAATCAACAACAACTAGCCTTTGACACATTGAAACATAAATTAACAACTGCTCCTTTGCTTATATATCCTGATTTCACCAAGTCCTTCATCCTCACTTGTGATGCCTCAAATTATGCTGTAGGTGCTGTATTATCTCAAGGACCTATTGGTAAAGATCAACCCGTAGCCTTTGCATCACGTACACTTAATAAGAGCGAATCCAATTACAATACAACTGAAAAAGAGTTGTTAGCTATTCTCTATGGTTGCAAAACGTTTCGTCCTTACCTTTATGGGCACAAATTTCAAATTGTAACCGATCATAGACCGCTAAAATGGCTATTTAATTATAAAGATCCCAGTAGTAAGCTTCAACGCTGGAGGTTAAAACTAGAAGAATACGAATACGAAATCATATACCGCAAGGGCAAGTTGAACTCTGCTGCAGACGCTCTTTCTAGATATCCTGTGAATCATGTATATCCTATAAACAATGATAACCTTAACCTTTACCCTATTAATGCAACTGATCCCGTTGCTGAGCCTCAACCCGAATCACCAATGACTGAAATTCCTCAAGAAATCCTCGATGAATTACTAGGAAGGGATTCTAATTCTACAGATGATGAAATTGTTCATTCTAACCCTCTAAATTCCCCTTCTGTTCCCATAGATACCTTAGCGATACCTGATGAACCTTACTCTCAAACAGAACCAGAACCGCAACCTTCGACTAGTTGGCAAAATCCTGAAACCTTACCTGTATCAACTTACCCAAGTCCAGAAACTCCTCATTCAGTTCCTGAAAGTACATTATTATCCGACGAAACCTATAACAAATTTTTAAAATCACCTGCAAAATTATATGATACATCCATTACAGAACATAATGAAAATTTACTGAAAGGAATACAGAAATTGGTAATAATACCAACCTCATTGGACTTGGACGAATCTATGCCCTATGTCCAAGAAGTAATTAGTAATTGTCCAAACCCCGAACGTGATGAGTTTTTGAGATTAGAAAGAAGTTTACATACATTTTTACCTCTTACAATAGACAATAAAACTTATCTTTTCTTATTCACGAAAGTGCATCATTTTGATAATCACTCGTATCCCGATATATTTAAATCCCTAAAATATGCACGTGATGAAATAATCATGTCTTATCCAACAATAAACGAGATTGGTACATCTGATTTTAAAAACCCTTTCGATAGACACTCGTTTGTTAAAATATATAATATGATAGCTTATCTATTTGATGGAACTAGGATAAGTATCCACATTTATCATAATAATATTATATATCCTTCACTTAGCGAAATCCCTAAAATCCTTAAAGAAAATCATGACATCCCTATCGCAGGGCATTTAGGTTCATCAAGAATGCTCAGTCGTATCAAAGAGAAATTTTATTGGAAAAACATGTCAAGCGACATCGAAAAATATGTCAAGAATTGTTCATCCTGCCAGACAAATAAAGCCTTACGTAAAATTAATAGAGCCCCAATGGTAATAACATCCACGTCTACATCCCCATTCGAGAGAGTAGCCCTTGATATTGTGGGCCCTCTGCCTGAGTCTGGCACAGCGAAGCTTAAGTACATATTAACTATGCAAGACGATTTAACAAAGTACTCGATAGCATATCCTATTCGCTGTAACACGGCTGAAGAAGCAAGCGACTGTCTTCTTCATTTCATATCCTTATTCGGAATCCCTAAGCATATACTCACTGATCAAGGCACCAATTTCACAGCTGAACTTTTTAAGAAAACATGCGAGGTTTTTAAAATTAAACAACTCTGGTCATCACCCTACCATCCGCAAACGCAAGGTGCTTTAGAAAGATCACATTCAACCCTTAAAGAATACCTTAAATCTTATGTAAACGAAAATCAAGATAATTGGCCTCAATATGTATATACTTCCATGTTAGCATATAATACCGCTGTACATTCAACCACGCACTATACTCCATACGAATTAGTATTTGGTCACAAACCTCACATTCCAAATTCAATTTACAATTCTTCTGATACTACCTATCCCGAATACGTAAGACGATTACAACATCGTATGAAACACGCCCGCGATAAAGCTTTAGAATACATTCATAAGTCAAAAGCAAATTCTAAAACTTATTATGATAAACGCACTCGTCCTGTTGAGTATAAGGTAGGAGATTACGTCCTGTTAAAAAATCATCTAAGATTACGCAAAGCCTTATCTCCTGTATGGAAAGGTCCATACAAGGTCGTTAAAATACATGGTAATCATACATTATCATTACTTATAAATAGACGTCATGTGAAACACCACTATGACGAAGTCAAACATGTAGAAGTACAGGAAGTGCATTCTTCTTCTTAGAATAGATTTTTACTATACTCGTATTTACATTAATTTTTTCCTTTACATTTTATAGTACTTATGTATTATCCTGTTCTATGTTATATACCTGTTAGGAATAATTTAGTGACAAAATCAAGGAATATAAATTTCTAGGAGTAATTCCATCTCTATATTTTATTTACAGCATACTGGCCCAAGGTCACCAAGAATATGTCCAACCAATCAACTCGAGCTCTGGTATCTACTTTGATCCAATTGGTGAACTTAAAATTAATATTGGTTACTTAGACGTAGTTATCCCATTTGATATCTCACACATTGAACCTCATATTCAAAACATTAATTCTATATTAGGTACAGTTCGTTTTTTTATGCAGTCAAATCCAAATTGAAACCGCAAGTAACTTAGAGTGTCATAACGTTTTAGAACCACTCACAGTTAGATATAACGATATAGTTTCCGAATATTCTTCCATTGCTCATTTATTAAATAATAACAGATTTAAGCGTGGGGCATGGTTAGGTGGTATAGGCACACTTTCAAAAACAATCTTTGGGACTCTAGACGAAGACGATGCTGTCAGATATGACAACGCTATACGAAGTATCCAAATGAATGAGAAAAGTCTGGGTTCATTAATGAAGGAAAATATTTTAATAACAACCTTTACTTTGTCAAAAATTAATAATACCATAAATAAAATAAAATTTAATGAAGACAGGCTTAATGAAGCTATTGACAAACTCTCGTTAACTTTAAAAAATCTATCAATTATTGCTAATGATTTAAATACGAAATCAAACATTAACTCAATCTTAAACACTCTAGAAACCTCCATACTCACTTTATCTTTCCAATTAGAAGACATAATAAATGCTATCATGTTTAGTAGTCAAAACATCCTTCACCCTGCTATAATACCACCCACACAGTTATACCAAGAGCTTGTCGATAACTATAGATACTTACCTGAAAATGTAAAATTACCTGTAAGCCTAGAATTAAGTAATATTCATATATTAATAAATGTATCTAGAATAGTTTGTTATAGTTTAAATAATAAGATAGTTTTTATACTAAGTATACCGTTAGTGTCTCCCAAAGTATATCATTTATTTCATAATATTGCATTGCCGACTCCTCATAATAGTGCTAAACCAAAATCGTTTAGTTTTATAATTCCTAGCAGTAAGTACATCGCAATGACCAAAGATAAATTAGAATATTGTAATCTTGACTCACTAAAAGAATGCAAAGCGATAAGCCCTCGCGACTACATCTGTGACATTATGAGCGTATTTTCTACTAGTGCAAATCCCAGTTGTGAAAGTGAGCTAATGTCAAAAGTTATTAGTGTTTTACCAGTGCAGTGCCAAACGGAGTTTATTTACGGAAATATAGATATATGGAAACCACTTTCCAATAATAAATGGATTTATGTACAATCTGTAAGCAATAAACTATATATTGAATGTCCCACTCAAAGAAATCTAGAAATAAATATTATTGGAACCGGAATTGTAAAAATCCTTAATAATTGTATTGCATATTGTAAGAGTACCAAATTAATTCGTAAATTAAATAGTATTAAGATTAATATCTCTGTATCCCACTCTGATTTTAATATAATAAATGATTCCTGCTGTAGTTTAGATAAGTTTAAAAAAGAGATGAGTAATGAACCTCGTATAAAACTTCAAAATTTTGATTTAGACATTTTCACCATGGAAACAAAATCTAAGTTAAAATCCATATCGGATGAAGCCAATAAAATTATAAACCAACATAATATAATTAAATATGAGACTCATTACTCCATTATATTAATCTTAATAGCATGTATTATTTTTTATTTACTGTGTAATTAAGTTGTTTATTTATATTAAATTGCACAGCCGCCTGTCCTGTCACTTTCCTAAGTTTTTCCAATCAACCCCAGTAGAACCACCCGAAAGTCAAACACCAAATCCAGATCCTATCATACCTATTAAAATTCATAAACGTCAGATAAATCCGGAAAATATTCCCAGTCCTAACATTAGAAGAAACATATAAGATTAAATACGTTGTTTTCCTAAACTTCGAAATTTTAACCCCGAAGTTTAGTCCACCCCAGGGAGGTGTTATACATAGGCTATGCACCCCTTTGAGCTTACATAGCTTTTTTCTAACTACTCAGCACATTCTATCATTAGTAATCCAGTCGCCCGTCAATCTATTTAGTCTCCATCCATCCTACATCCACGCCAGTCGGCTGTCTCTTTCCATACAAATTATAATTTTATTTTTTATTTCAATTTCCTTTTTTTTAAAAACATATTTATCCAGACACTCGTAACAGTAAGAAATATTCTTACGCTTCCATGCTTTAATAAATATATATATAATATATATAAATGGAATGGATATTTGATTTGATTGCACTTTGTGGAATGGGGAAAAATATATAATGTAATAATTTAAAATTATATTTTAATATTGAATTAATTAAACCTTACACATGAATCAAATAATTCATTTTCATCCTTACGTTATAATTATTTTAATCAAAGACAATTGAAACTATATATATTGCTGAATTTTTGTAAGTACAACGCATGTGTCTCATATAAACAACTAGACAATCACCTAGTCAAATTTTGAAAAAAATTATGACGTTTCACTCGTTACATATAATTTTTAATACTACAAGCATAGCCGTAAACAATTTTGTTCCTCATACAAAATTTTTAAAGAAAAGTAAATGTATATATATATATATATATATATATATATATATATATATATATTTGCCATTGTCAAAGTAAATGTTGTAAATGATAAATGTTTATAGAGTTACATATGTGTAGTGTATCAACTATCTGGTATCCAATGAGTACCCGGCGCCAGGTCGCGCGACGCGGCGGAGTGCGCGGGGCGCGTGCGGCAGGTGTCGTGGGTGCTGCTGGGCGCGCTGAGCAACGCGCGGCGCCGCCCGCTGCAGCTGCCCGTGCCGCTCGACGCCGCCTGCCACCTCACCGACCTCATACAGGTCTGGATGCTGACGCGGTCATACTATAGTTTTTATTATGCTCAAAAATTGTAGCGTTTACTATTCTATATCACTTTGAATGTTATTTTTTTAAATAAAATGACATTTTTTTGTTCTTGTCGTGGTATTTTTTTTTTCGTTTACTTAATTAGATATTTTGATTTTGTTGCTGTGTTTACTTTTGTTTAATATGTACTAGCATTAAGTTTTTTGTCAATTACGTCGTTTGTGAGGCGGGCGCTAATAACTGCGACACAGTTTTTTACTAATGTAGTTATTATTGTTAAGTTGTATTTGTTATACATGTACTGTTTTAACTCTTCCAGGTAAATTTCTAAGAAATTAATTAAATTTCTAAGAAACCTCTTGTTAACTGTAACACCGGTGTGCTCGCGGTCGTTGAGGGATTAAATGAATTTATGCCCACAGTGCATCATGTCGTCGTACATCGACCAGAGCCCGGAGGCGGGCGGCAAGGGCGGGGGCGGGGGCGGGGGCGGCGGCGGCGGCGAGGGCGGGCGCATGGCGGCGCTGTGCGGCGCCTTCCTGCTGTGCCAGCTGTGGACGCTGTACGCGCAGCGCGCCGCGCCCGACCTGCTGCTGCACTTCTGGTGCAAGCTGGTGCCCACCATCACGCAGCTCACGCACGCCTCCAAGCTGGTCAGCCGACTCACTTGTATTCAGACCATTTTTAAGTCCCACCGCTAGGCACGGGCCTCCCTTCAATATGAGGGGGACCGAGCCATAGTTACCCTAGCCAAACGCGTGTTGGCGGACTTCACACATCTCTCGAAATCTTGCTAGGTTCTCTCAGACATGCACGTTTCCTCACGATGTTTTCCTTCACCATAAGACAAGTTTAATCATGTTAGAAATGATTCGCATTACCTATACCAACTTACTGGCTTATAGTTTTACTAGTGGCTTACCTTTACGTAACAGTAGATGTATTATTTAAAGTCCTGCTCTGTCTAAGTATGTAGGAAATGAATTTAAACTCGCATTCATAAATTTAATTTAAAAGTGGTCCGATGCGTTTGTTACAATTAATTCATTGAGAACAATAAATTTCATGTATGAAATTTTACAATTTTAACTATTACTTTTGTGAATACGGTGTAGGAGATAATCTATACTAATATTATAAGGAGGCAGAGTTTGTTTGTTTGTTTGTTTGTTTGTTTGTTTGTTTGGAAGTACTAATCTCAAGAACTACTAACCCGATATGAAAATATATTTTTGCATTAGATAGCCCGTTTATTGAGGAAGGCATACATACATATGTCATATAATATATTCCATACTAACCGTTAAAACGTACCTAGGGACGAACCCGAGCGAAGCGAGGGCGAGTCGCTTGTATAGGATATATAACCTTCAGACTAGTTGTAGAAAGATGTACAAAATCCGCCAACTTGAATGTGGCTAGTGTGGTAAATGGCATATTCCTCATTACGTTATTAAAAGGCGGAATTTCATTATTTAACTTAATAAAATTGCCATATTATATCGTTACTTTTCAAAAAAACTGATTGTTAAATTTTAACTATTTTCCAGTTGGCTGAAACAGTGAATCTGCATTTCTTAAGTCTGCTAGAATCCCTGTTGGAGTGCAACTCGACGGTGCTCAACAAACTGCTGCCACTCTGGACGCCCATACTACATTCACCTCTATTTAATGTAAGTATAAAAAATATACCTACGACACTAATGCATTTGTATAAAGTAAATTAAATTATATCTTAGATTTTAGATTTACTTGAATATTTGTCATTTTTAAATAAAACTACTTTTTTCGGTTTTTTTTGCCGATTTATTTTATATATTTTTTTCTCTCGTGACCATAATTGCTGTAAAAAATGTTATTTATACCTGAATATTAATATTGTTTGACATACCATCTGTGCTACACCTTTCTTACTTCTTTACTGATTTAATTTTTTCTTAGCGGTTATATAAGTTATTGTCCGTTTATTTGATACACATGTCATGCATTCTTTTAAATGTTACTAAAATACACTGATATTCAAAAGGGTCTTCTTAATGTACCACAAAAATAAGTAGCTTGTAACTTTCCGAACATTACACTATATCTAAATCCATGAATTATGTGGATTGCGTGAATCCCATGTTTTCTATTACTACATATTAATATATTAAAACCAAATCAGCAAACACATGTTACATGTAGGTACTTAATATAAATAAGTCACCATCTCCCTGCCCATTTCCCAAATCACTTGGGGTCGGCGCAGTACATCTTTCGTACTACTGAAAGGTTTTGGCAAAAAACTTACATCAACCACTCCTTGGGAGTACTTAATATAAATAAGTATAACAAAAGTATCAAAACCACAATTCCTTAGATGCCGCGTCACGTGGCGCAGCGCCTGGACGCGTGCCGCGAGATGAAGCCCGAGGTGGTGGCGGCGGCTCCCCCCGCGCCCCCCGGCCTCCCCGCGCCGCCCGCGCTGCCCGCGCCGCCCGACGCGCGCGAGCACCGCCGCCTCTACCGCCTGCTCACTAAGATGGCGCAGCTGGAGATGCAGCCGCACTCATTCTACTTCATATAGGCTATACCTTCTTCATAAATAATCCATACTATATTATAAATGAGACAGTGTGTTTGTTTGTTTGTTTGTCCTTTCACGTAGAAACGGAGTGACGGATTTGCGTGATTTTTTGTATGGAGATAGTTGGAGGGCTGGAGAGTGACATAGGCTGCTTTTTAGCGCGGGAGATCATCTAATTCCCACGGGAAAATTTATGAATTTATGATCAGAATGATTTGAAACTTGGCGTTAATGCTGAAAAATACAATTAAATGAATACGTGTTTTAGCATTTTTCGAGATTCATCCCATAAAGGGTACCTTTTTAGAGGTTTTTTTGTAGTTTTAGCGCGAGCGAAGCCGCGGGTCCTGCTAGTGTAGTTATAAATCCTAAATCTTCTATATAAAAAAAAATGAATGTTCGTATGTTTATCCAATATGCGTTCCTAAACCATTGATCTGATTGTGATGAAACTCTGGTGGATTATCCTGTATACGCCTGTGAAGGTTCCTGGCACAAAAAAATGAATTTGTCTTTAGACGTTTTCCTTATATGTGTCCCTAAATCATACAAGCTTAGTAATAAATTGTGTCACAGTACTGTCAAAAAGAAAATGACATAATCTAATGGAAAAAAGACAAAAAAAATTGTTGAGATGATTAAATATGGGTATTAGTATAGGTACTGGTTTGTTTATGGATGTTAGAATTTATTGTTTTTTTTTAAATAAATGTATTGATATATACTTTGATGTTTTATTTGCTAATTTATTTCAAAAGATAGTTAAGTATATTAAATAGAAATTAATTTGATATAAGAAAATTGAATCTGATTTTGTACAATTTATTGATGACCTTTTATTTTTTAACAACATTACAGCAAAGGAATATAATTTTTACATAGAAAAATATTTTTATTCGCCATTTTTAATTTAAATATTGTTATTTATTAACTGGTCTCCTCCACTCCTATATCACTATAAATGTCCACGTTCACGACACAGCACAGCGACAGCTAGTTCCATGGTAAGCTACGAGGCTTGTGTTATGGATACCAGATAGTTGATACACTACACATATATAACTTTTTAAATACATACATATTATAAATATAAACACCCATGACTGGAGTATAAGCATTCGAGCATATCACACAAATAAATGCCTCCAGTAGGACTCGAACCCGCTACCGCAGGCACAGCAAGTAGGGTCACTACAAACTGAGCCAAACGTATCGCCAATACAGGGTCACCATCTAAATAAGACCGGTTTCGGTTACAGCGGCCAATCTCATTGAGACTAGCCAACTGCGCAGGAGATATTATAGTGCTCAAATGTATGCGCAGGCCCATTTGCGCTCTTTATTCCTATCATCCTCACATTCCGGTGGGACGCCAACTCGATATTCGGGTGAGAGATAAGGTGCAGAACCGACGGACGATCTTCACTTGCTCTCCGAGGCATCCGTACCAACCGGTAATTTAATTTTCATGACTGAATACCCCGGTAATCATAAATGAACAAAATATATAGGTATTTTTACTAAAAAAGCTAATAACAATAAATTATAATCATAAAATTTTAGTATATATATTATTATATAATTTATTTCTTTGTAAATAAAAAAAATTCCAATTAATAAAGGCAAAGAAGCAAATAAAGTATAAAATAAAAGATATATTCCTGCTTGAATGTAATTATTTAGGTCCCAGACTCGAACCCTGGACCTCTTGATCTGCCGTATATATGCTAGTCACTAGACCTACATCAACGAGACAGTTTAGAATAGTGGGGGTCATTTAGTGTGTAGCATTTTTTGTTTAGGTGTAAGCGGGAGTAAATTTATTTTATGTAACAATGTTTACCCTGCGCGAGAATCAAACGCACAACCTCTGGCAAATGGCAATACCAGCCAGCAAATTTGCTTCAGCGCATTTTTTATTACATTTAAAGTAAAGGTTTTTATTTTTTTAAATAAAATATTTAAAAAATATATTTTAATAAAAAAATTAAATTTAACGTTAATTAACAATTGTCTTATATTTATACAGATTAGGTAAACTAGTTGAAAATAAATTCAGATACTACATAAAGAAGTTTATCCAATGTATGGTCAAAATTTATAAGCAAACTTTCAATTATTTGATCCAATAAACTTAAAATCATTCTAAAATAAAAATCCTTAATATGTGAAAGAAGAACATGTTGTTCTTCCAATATATTACCTTCTCTATATAAAGTATCGCCATACATTTTAATTAACAACACCTAAAAATAGATAACAAAAATTAAAATCTATAGAAAATACAAATAGTAAATAAAAAAAATATTAAGTTATAGACTAATATATGAATTTCAAAGGTTATCAAAATACCTGGTCGATCGATATATAAAAACAGGAACTGATTTTAAGTTGATGGAAAAATATAAAAATTACAAATTACTTCTAATAAATATTACATACATACATACATACATTAAAAGTTAATAATTTATAGTAAAAATAGTTTAAAACAGAAAAAATACTGATTAAAATCATCTTAAAAATATCTTCTTGAGCAAAAACATTTTGAACTTGGCAACACTAATATATTAAATAATAGCTATTTATTTATTGTATAACCTTTAGTTAAGATTTTTATATAATTGTCAAAAACTTAATGGCAATGTCCTAACTAGGCGGTGGTCGAGTTTATTCTTCGCAATCTTCTTCTTCTTCAGCCTCTACTTCTTCTTCTTCGCCTGCTTCAACTGATTCTTCTTTGACTTCTGAAATCAGAAGATAATATTTGTGCGTCTGGACATATGTAATTTTTTGTTTAATCAATTAAAAAAAATATTTAGGTATGTGTGTGAAGTGTGATATGATTTTATCTTTTCTATAAATGTAGTTAAACAATTACGCAAAGCTTTACTTAATGCTTATTCAGAAATGAACTTTATTAGGAACTAGCCCGACAGACATTGGCCTGTCCAAATTTTTTCGTGTTTTTTGATTTCATACAAAAACACCTATAGAAAAAAAATATTTTTTTCCTTTTTTCCGGATATCTCAATTTTTCTTACAATTTTTTTTCTCTTTCAAAGTCTTATGGACTATGTACAACTGATATTTAAAAAAAAAATAGGCAAACCGGTCCAGCCGTTGTTGCCAGCCGATCGATACAAATGATTCACTGATCAAATAACTGAATATTTAAAGCGGCAAAAACAAAACTTTTTATAGCATTTACTTAAAAAATCTGTCATGTTAAACTTAAAACTACAATAATTTTAACTGGTTAAACTGGCCATACAGTAAAGTAACATATACAGATGGCTTAAAAAAAGTAGTTTCCAGAAGTAGTATTTGAGGATTTTCATTAACTTTATGACAATGAGTTAATAAAAATATTTAACTTAGGTGTTAATAAAACATGTACAGTGCACATCAACTAATAGATTCTCTAAGCATCGCAAAAAAAATCAAAGTTAGTAAATCATACTCACACCTACCTCCCATTGCTCGCAGATCTACCACTTGTACCTATATTCGACCCCCGGACTGAACATGTACCCACTATTTATGAACGTGGGGAACTTTTTTTTTCCCTGAGAGTTCATGAAAGGGATTAATTGACTTTTTGATATTTTTAGAGGTTTGCTATTGACTATATGGTATGCTATTTGTGGACTGGGCGTCGGGTCGGGAATGGTTTTGGAATATGAAGGCAGGTAGTAAGTTAGATCAGTGTGGTTGGTTTTTGCTGCATTTTCTTGATATTCGTGTAATATTTGCAACGGTTTACTCTCTTGAGGCTGGATTGGACCGGACTCTGTAAATATGGAAATTGTTATCGAATCCTTGATTCTTTTAGGGAAGTTTTTTTTTGGAAAATAAGGAAGATTAGATGGCGTTGCTTGGAAGAGAAGGAAGAGTAGATCAGATGTTCAAGATTGGTCTAGAAAATATTGCTATAAAACTTGTACTTTAAAGCCTGCTTAGCTACTTAATCTAATGCAAGAGTGGGGGTTAGTCCTGAGTCAGTCAATAAGTGAGATGTCAAGTCAAAAATCAAGTCACGAGTTGAGTCGAGTCATAAAAAAATAAACGATTTTTAACAAAAAAAAAATGTTTATTAAATAATTAATTCTCGTTCCATATTAACTTATTTTGGGACATCGCACTTATGTTTTGTTAGACTTCAAAGTTAAACAGCTGTTTGCGAACGAAATGAGAGTAGTGAGCATTTTTATAAATATTACTTAGAATCGTAAAAAAGATGTAAAAAAATATATCACAAATTAGCCTACAGCGAATTAACTAATACTATTTACATTATATTAGTTGATATTGGAACAGAACATTACACAACACACATACACACAACGTTAGAAAAAAGAAGTACATAAAGATTTTAGGAAGAAAGAAGGAGAAGGTCATATTTTTAGATGACCTTTTAAATTTAAATGAAAAATCATGACTTAAACAAGTTCCATCCAATTACAACAAATACGTTTTATATTTTGCACGCTTTATATCGGTATTGCCAGATTATCAACCAAAAATAATAAAGGAAAAGAACTAAAAAACAAAAAATCGGGAAAAATATGAATATTATGATGTTTTTGAAGTTATACTTCTTTTGGCACGTTTGGAAAAAATATGAGAGTTAAATTTTTACGATGCGCGCGCGCACACCGACAGCCAAAAAGCGACATGTTGAAGTTAGCTGCATTCCTTTTATAAACAGAGAGTTGTGACATACGGGATGAAAACTTTAGCTATTTTTGTTCTGTTACGCCCAAATATAACATCTTACGTGCGTACATAAATACACAAACGTTTTTTTTTATATATAGTATCAAAGTAACCGATTATAAAGCGTACAGCGTAGGAACATAAGCTACTAGTGCTGGTAGTCCGACTGGTAGTACTGCTGGGTTTCTGGGGCTGACTTGTACTCTTCGTGGTTAGTACCTTCGTGGGAGGCGTCGTGCTTGCCGAGGCCGGCCGCCGCGGCCTTCGCGGCCGCCTCCGCCGCGTTCGCTTGCGCTTGCTGGGCCGCGGCCTGAGGGGTTAGGTTCGTGGTAAATATGATATAAAAATAATTAAAGGGTAATTGGTAAATGCGGACTTTTGCCCAAAATAAGGGTGACTGGTACATGTGGTCTTATGTTCAAAATAAATATTTGTCTTTCTATTATTTGGGCTATTAGATACAGATCTTGCATTACTATAATGGGTGCTTGTGACCGATTTCTATCTCTAGGAGGTTAAACAAAAGATTGGTTATTAATAAAATCCGCTAATACGTAAGACAAAATTCTGTAGCTTTTGGACTTCCTTTGATTTGAAGTTTTGAAGATAATTTTAGATCTTTCTCGAAAGGAATTTTAAATATAATTTATTATGCGATCGATTTAATTTCAAGTGGGGCAAAATAAAGAAAAGAAATCTAAATGTAGAAGGTTTATTCAATTTGTCAATCTAACTTGATATATTTTTAGGGTTTTTTAAAAGAAAATGGATATTTTGACGTCTTCCATTAAGTATATTCTGGAGTTCCTCGTTTCCTGTTTACGAAACATTAGTACTCAGACTCATAGAATTTTAATATTAAGCTTGATCCATTCATTTTTTGCTTACTTCTTTTTTTTAAATGTGATGAATAACTGTCAATTGGATCACATAGCTAGGTCGTAGGTTGAATTCCCGCACGTGGCAAAATGCTAAATTAGGTTATGTTTTAATTTTGAGTAATATAAAGAAAATAGAAATATTATTATGAAATTACTCCTTAATTTAAGTCTAAAGAAAAAAATTGCTATAACACAAAAGTTTTTAGAACTTTGGATTGTATCCTATCAAATCATTCAACTTATAAAATGGCTATTTTTGCGGAATATCATCTACTAGAAAACTAACAGTCTTATAATACATTCTGTCAATGTCAAATCGTACCTACTATTTGACATTTCATTTCAATCAAAATAAAAAAAAAATGGTACTAATGGCTCTATATGCTAACTGTTTAGTCCATAGGCCTTACCTGAGCTTTTCTGGCAGCAGCCTGAGTGGCCTCGAAGTCGATCCTGACGCCCTTGAGCTGCTCCTGCAGGGTCTGCAGGCGCTGGCGCGCGGCGCCCACCATGGCGGTCTGCGCGCCGAGCTCGCCCGCGGCCTGCGACGCCGCCTCGTTCGCGTTCTCCGATGTGGCCTGTGCTGCGTTGAGGGCTGCTTGGATCACGTTCACCTGGGTTTTGAAAAGGATTAGAAAATAATTATTATTATGCGTGTTTTAGGGTTCCGTACCTCAAAAGAAAAAAAAATCTTTATAGGATCACTTTGCTGTAAGTTTGTCGGTCTGTCTGTCAATAACCTTTTCCTTAGGAACGTTGGAGGTTTCAAGTTGAAATTAATATCGAATATTTAGGTCCGCAACCTGTTGGAGCTGTAAAAAAATCTATCCGTTTATGTCGTATTATTATTTGACATCCCGTTGACAAGTAAAGGGAGAAATCTGAAAACCGTAAATTTCTAATTAAAATTTGTATTTTATTATTAATTTAATGGGGAATAAATTCAAAATAAATTTTAATATATAATATTATGCTAATTAAAATTTCGCATATAAATAAATAACATTAAAACCGATCTACATAAATAAATAAATTCAGCTCATTTAGCTGAATTAAAAAAAAACTAAAATATATACTATTTTTTGAAGTCGGTTTAAAATGTAAGATATTTAACAAGTACAATAATAATGATTGTTTTTAATATATTGCTATTGAACTTCATATTTCTTACTTTAAAATGTACAACAAAAACTATTACTAACACTTACATAAGCTAATAAAATACAAATAAATTGATAGATATGTATATTACATTTAAACATGCGATAACCACCTTTCATACAAGTAGAATAAATTCTTGCAAAATGAATTCTTTCCCATTTAGAAAGTCAATAAACGCAATTTGATTTATAAACTATTTTATGTTTAAAATATATAATTACAGCTTACAAAAACTTTTTATTAAGTTTTTCTAATTGTGAATTTTATTAAAATTTAAAATTGGAAGCAAAAACCCCGTGATAATAATCTTATAAAAAGTTTGTATACAAAAAGTTTATAATTTAACGGTTAGTATAAATTTCTCAGAAATGAGACATTTTCCCGCGGTAAAAAGTATCCTATATGTTGACCCGGATAACCATTTTTCCGTGAAGCGGTAACAGACAGACAGACAAAAATTCTAAAAATCAAAATTTGGCCACTGTATCAATAATAATGCCTATTTCAATAAGATTCTCCAAAAAAATATTTAATGTACAGATTCGACTCAAAATTATATGTATAGATATAACGATATCTTTATTTAATCAATCAATCAAAAATAGATTCAGAAAAATCTATTGAAAAATATAATTAAAAGAGTGTTCCGACATTTTCTGTGTCACAGTTATTGGAGCGTGTCGTTACGTCAGTAGGAATCGGTCGAACTCCACTTTTCTGTATGACAGATAACTGATGTTAAGAAATAAAAAGGTGACTTTGAAAACGATAAATTAATTATTTGTATTCAATGTTACCTTGAATTTGTTATTTTTTTTTTACAAGAAAAATATCGATTTGATTTTGAAAGCTATATATGATTTTACGGGATTTGTCAACAGGAGTACGTTATCCGTATTATATTTTAATATTAGAAATATGAAAGTTTGTGAGTATGTATGGATGTTCGTTACTCTTTCACGCCAGAACGGCTAAACGGATCTGGATGAAATTTGACACAGAGATAGATTATAGTCTGTAATAACATATAGGATTTTTATCCCGGAAAAATGTACGGTTCCCGTGGGATAGGTTTGTTTTTGTTTTCCTAGGAGTGAACCCGAGCGAAGCGAGGGTGAGCCGCTAGTTATTTATATACCTAAGTAAAGAGCAATACAACCCCTAATACAACTAAGTGGTGTTAACTGTTGGAAATAAAAAAAAATAGTTTTTATAATTTAACTTTTTCATTTCATTATATTATAAATATATATTTTTAAATTTTAAACTTTTAAAAACTTGAAGTATTACAAAAACAAATATTCGTGGTTTGCAATAACTCATGTAAATCGTACTTATGCACGGAAGGCATAGTTTACGCTTGTTAGAATTATATTTATCCTCATTCCGTGTAGAATGAACTCTTTAACCATTATGTATATATACATATATTAGTCACTTTATTTTCAATGTTAGTAAATTAGTAGAACCCACGGCTTTGCTTGCGCTAAAACTACAAAAAAAGTCTGGCTTTATGCTTTTAGTAATAATGTATGAAACTCTGCCAGATTTGTTGACATTTATGATTACTGCCCAGCTCTATTGGGTAGTAGTCTTCATCAATAAACGGGTTATCTAATGCAAAAAGAGTTTTTCAAATCAGATTAGTAGTTCCTGAGATTAGCGCATTCAAACAAACAAACAAATGAAACAAAAAAAAATTGTGTGTGTACTTATGTACGCACATACGTAACAAGTTATATGCGTAACAACAACAAAAATAGCTAAAGATTTCATCCCGTATGTCACAGCTATCTGTTTGCAAAAGGAATGCAGCTAACTTCATCATGTCGCTTTTTGACTGTCGGTGTGCGCGCGTGCATCGTAAAAATTTTACTCTCATATTTTTTTCCAAACGTGCCAAAAGAAGTATAACTTCAAAAACAAACATAAGCTCTACCTCTTTATAATATTAACTAGCATTGCCCGCGGCTCCGCCCGCGTTCAGATGACCAAAACCCAAATTCTTAGGTTTTACATGTTAGTATACTAATATGTAAAACTCAAATCTAAGAATTTGGTTAATGTAAAAGTATACTCTTACATTGCAGTTTTTGGCTTTTTTCTTAGAAATGAGACATTTTCCCGTGGTAAAAAGTATCCTATATGTTGACCCGGATAACCAGCTATCACCATACCAAATTTCATCAAAATCCCCCCAGTGGTTTTTCCGTGATGCGGTAACAGACAGACAGACAAAAATTCTAAAAGCTATAGATTCGGCTTCTGCATCGATAATATTAATGTCTATTTCAAAAAAAAAAATATAAAAAATAATTAAAGTACAGATTCGGCTTAGTTACAATCTTATTATATGTATATGTGAAAAGGGGTTTCAGACGAAGCATGCACGTAAATCAATTTCCATCGTCGATATTTCACCACTTTTGTGCAATAATTTCAATATAGTACAATGTCGTAAAATAAGATAGATTTTTTGCATCTTTGCTGTTGCGAGATACAATCAACGGTAAGAAATTGTATTGGTTTTTCAACTCATTACACAGTTCTTTTACATTGAAAATACTTTTAACAAAGCAGTTAATAGTTAGTACCATATTAGGCGATTTCATATTTTTTAAGTTATTATTTTCTTATTATTTATGAAACTAAATGATAACATTTAACTAAATATATCAAGGCTTTATAGTTATATTTTTAGTTCTTTCAGATCTGTATGAATGGCAAATTCATCAACCAATCAAGGTCAAGCAGTTACAGGTAATTTTTTTACAGGTAAAATTTTATTACAGCAGTAACAAGATTTCATACAGCAGAACAAAGTATTTGAATTTTACGTGGATTACATATATGATCCAGTTTAGGACAATCATATCATCAGTATGATGTACCATACATTGTTAATAGATCTACATATATATTAATACGAGAAGAGAAAATTTTGAACCTCTTTTGAAGCATATTGCATGAACGGAGGAGTGTGAGCTTTGACATAGTTAAAGTTTATATGGAGAAGGACTGCAGAAAGCCAAAATTAATTGACTTCCTTTTACTCGCGGTTCCGCTCGCGCATTTTATTTATATATAATTACTTCACTGCTACAAGATGTAGCATGATGTTAGCTATCTTTCATCAAAATTATACGAGTAATTACATAGTATAAAGATAAAAAGTTTGTTTGTCTGTACGACCAAATCTCTGAATTTTCTTACGGAAAAATTTCTTATGGATTTTATAGGCATCTTTATAAGTTTAAAAAAAGAACCTCAATATGGTTCAAACTTAATGATTATGGTTGATTCTCAACCACGGAACGATCACTAATATGTACAAATATACTATTGATTGTTATTTCGGCCGCAGAGTATTTTTTATATCGATACACGAATTTCGATCCAAGGTCAAGGAAAGCTAGTCTAACTGCCACTGCGCCTAATGGACAATATCAAAAACATATGTAATTATATAAATATTTTTATTTCAACACTAGCAACTCACTCTCGCTTCGCCCCTAGCTTGATTCCCCATACAAACTTTCATCCCCATTTTCGCTCCCTTTAAGGATGGTTTCCGGGATAAAAAGTATTCTATGTCCTTCCCAGGGTCTCAAACTATCTTCTTACCAAATTTAATCTAAATCGGTTCAGTAGATCCAGAGATTACCCCCTACAACGTCACAAACTCACAAAGTCACAATTCACAAATTTTACCTCTTTATAATATTATTAGGATATATAAATCTTAAACTTACATCACAATGACAGTTTCATATTCAACATAGATTTGTTAAGAAAAATCGGAGCAACACTTACGTAAATTAATCGAAGCCTTTCGATTACTATTTTATTTTACGTTTTACGTTTTTTTACGCAATTGGGTTTCAGATGGAATTTATCTCTTAAAAATGCTTCAATAAAATTGGCAATAATACTTAGCTTTTTTTACAATTACTGAGAGATATCTATTAAAGATTTCTTTACAAAAATTTATGTAATTATAGTTTGAATTCGATCATACGTTTGAAACAATTATTTAAATTTTAACATTTGCAAGAAGAACTTTGATAGAGTTGATTACAATATGATTAATTATGTACATACCTGGTGCATAGCCTGTTGGGCAGCTTGGGCGGCAGCTTGGGCGGCTCTCTTAGCTTGTTGCAGCTGCATCTCCTCCCCCTGGAGGCCGACCTTTGCGTCACGCACTTGCTGCTCCAACCCAGAGAGGATGACCTGCTTCCCGGCCAAAGCCGCCTGCGCTGTCGCACTCGACTGAGCCGCTGATTGAGCCAACGTGTTCTTAGCAACATAAGCCGCTTGGTAACCCGCTGCCTGTTGATTCCCAAGCGCTGTTTTCGCTTGATTGGCCGAACCAACTGCTATAGTTCTTAAACCACTGCCTCGACTGAAGCCTTTCTTCGCATTGTTTCCTCCAGAGGCAGCAGATTGAACGTCCTGGATATACGCGTCGTAGTGGCTGGCAGACTCCTCGGGCTCACTCGCTTGGTTGGGCTTTGAGCTTTCATACTCATAATCGTATTCTGCTCGGGATTGCGAGTTCTGTTGATTGATCGGTGCTGAAGAGACGAGGGTGAGAGTGCCTACAACAATATAGTGATTTGCTAAATTATTTACATATAGCTCTAAAGCTATATGGGCAAATGGCTAAAATATACCACCATATAACCTAGCCCACTTTAGGTATATAAAAACTTATATGGTAATGTATCAAATGATAGTCTCAAGTCCCAATCGAAGAAACATTATGTATAGCGATCACGCTGCGTGAAATTTTAATCTAATTAGTAATTGTAACTAAGTATATACTAAATAGATAAAGGAGCGTTTACACAATATGTGTATACACACGCACGATCATCTCGCGCAGCGGACCGCGACGGCATCGGCATTTCGGAAGTAGACTCACACAGTTCCTACCATCTTAGATAACATTCATTAATTGTGTCGGACCATTTGATTCATACGTAATGTGCGTGTTATTGACATTACGTGTTAGCGTTTGATTTTGGTAACTTAAATCTATTGGGGTAATATTGGGGCTTAGTCAAGATTTTGGGGCAAGTCAAGATGTGTATGTCCAAGCTTAAAGAGAAATAGAAATATAAAAATTGTATTAAAATACTTAATCTATGTCCTAATATCTTATTATGTCCCATATTATTCTTTTTAGATATCTATTTTTCATTGGTGTAGAATAAAATATTATTTAAGCCTCCTACTTTGTAGTCTTATCCACCTTTGCCATATCCTATATAAAATGGACAATTCTGGTATAAAATATATAAATTTATTTCCTGTATTTCGGATACGACTCTAACGATTTAGATCAAATCTCATTAATTTAATATATTAATTTTGATCAAATTTTGTATTTAAATAAGGGTTTGCCTATACCTATAGGTGTATTTTCTAAAAAAAAACGCATTTTTTATAACATTTCCGAAATACACCGAGCGAAACTCGGTCGCCCAGGTACTATCAAAATATAATATCTATAACAATTAAATAACAGCAATTACGATACAAATAATTTTATTATTATTATTGAGTAACATAATAGTATTATAGTAATAGACTAATTATATTTTATAAAACATAATACATAGGTCAGGTATCAAGGGCAGCGGTGGCGCTCTTTACATCAGAAAAAAAAAACAATATTCATTTTTGTGAAAATCACCAAATGTAAGAGCTCTATATAAGAGTAATAAGTTAAAAAGAAGTAAATAATACAGATTTCTAACTTGTATTTGAAAACAGAGAAAAAAACGACAAAAATCTATGTCATGCCCACCGGTGTTGTCAAAAATAAAACCCTAACCCCGAAAAAATTCTAGGCCAAAATTTTATTTAACCAGCCTTTAGCCCTTACTTTTTCGTGCTATCAATATTTTCCGAGTTGAGGGCGAAAAACGTGGAGAAATTAGTTTTTTACCTCGTTTATTATTGACTTTTGTGATCAAAGTTGTGTGGAATTAAAATTCCTACATCTTTGATCTCCATTTTTTTCGTAAAACTAATATTTAAGGTCCAGGCTTCGAACATCTGATGAGGAAACACCCCATAACGAGAGACCGTTAATCAATTTTTTCGAGCCGAATGTTCTGTTCGACTTAGCACCAACGCCTATTTTCAATGAAGAAGTAAAAGTTTGAGGACTTAACTATCTTTTTAACCAGAGTAAAGTCTCCTTCATTCATTTTTATTAGCTTATTCAGGTTAAATTGATGTTCTTCAGCGTTTTCCTTAATATAATTGTAAAGGTACTCCATAGGTGGTGAAATAAAATTTTGGCCTAGAGTTTTTTCGGGGTCCAATGCTAACCCGACTGAGCCATGTAGGTACCTTTCATTTTTTGGACAACAGATCTGCTTAAACCACTGAACACCATGACCTTTGACTTAGAAGTTCAAAGTAAGCCGCAGCTTGTGGTTTATATGCACATATTTTAAGGAGAAAGCTATATCACTTTACAGGATATAATTTGATATACATAACTACGAGCATGCTTTACTTGCATTTCTCAGACTCTACCCCTAACAATTTTTATAATAATAAGTTTCGCAATAATAAAAAATACCGGTTAAACACATATCTTTCTCCTTTTTGAAAGTTTAGGCCTAACCCACCCCCCAACTATCGACTTATACCGAAACTCTGGGAAAAAAAATAGTTTGGACCGTTGCTGCGTTAAATGAGAAAAAATCAACAGAGTCACAATTATAATATTACTAAGAATATAAAAATATCAGATAAATCATTCAAAACTTTGTGAACAATCTTTTTAAGTTAATTAATTTGAGGCGATTGAATTTCATTGGATAAAATTAAAGTCGACTGTACTTTTAAATTTCCACTAAATATTTTTATTAAAGCTACAACTGTACGAATCAGTTAAGTTCATTGCGTCAAGTACATTTAAATTTACATCAAGTAAGAATACGAGTTGTGATATTACAGCTTAATTATTTAGTATCGTTTAAAAATGTACATAATAGAGCTTTTAGTGAAAGCCTTAAATTACTTAATTTTTTTATCCCCAAATTATTCCTCCCTTATGGGTGGATAATTTTTTTATAATTCACGGGACCACCTAGATGTCGCGTAATATACCTATATACATAAAAAAACATACCCGAATTGGAAACCACCTCCTTTTTGACGTCGGTTAAAAATACATATTGAAACGATTGTTAAATAATAGATTTTTTTCAAATATTACTAACCCAAACGTACAAAAAAAAATTAATACCAGTAACTAAAAAAATAGGCAAAAGTTACAAATTTACTTTTATAGATGAAGTCATATAATATTTTTTTTTTCAAAATTTAATTGATATTAAAATAAAATACATCTTAATTTATAATAAATAAATATTAAAATAAAATTAATTTTAATATTTGCAACTCACCAACGCACAATAAAACAGTAAAAGCCTTCATTTCCAGTCGAACTGAAAACACAATGCACTATTAATTTGAAATATTATATAAATAAAAAATGATTTAAAATAAATATTATTCACCAAAAATCACTTAATACCTTCCAATACTTTCACGAACTTTAGATTTGATTAGATTGTGGGGTCTAAAGTACCCCTAGCTCAAGTTGTGAGGCAATGTGCTGACGGACTGCGAACATTCGTATTTATAGAGAATGTGCTATCGGCCGCAACTGCCAGATGTTAGATAATTGTATAGAGCTGATTGTTACTTGAATCACGATATTTTTAAACGTTTTACTTTTAAACCTTTATAAAGTAAATGGTAAATGAAGAAAATTGAGTCGGTTATGATGTAATTGAATACAATCGAAAAGAGGATGAAATATGATTTTATTTGTTAGTAAGTTGGGTTGTGTGTTATTTGACGGGATTAAATGTTTTTTTTTTAATCTGTATTGTACTAAGTTAATGGCATAAGCATAATGACATAATGAGCCAACAGATGCGAACAAGTAAAATAGTTTTTAATTGCGATAATGGGTATAAAAATACTTATTTATACTTTTTATAATAACTAATTGTATTAAATATAATAAAAAATATATTTACTATTTGTTTTTTTATCTGTACAATTACTAACTATATGTTGTATCAGCACGTGTAATATACAGAGATCTATGTTTTACAAAAGGGTGTAAATGACGCAAAAATTATATCATAAACTAAATTACTTTGTATTATAACTTGATTAGGTTTTAAATTCCTTTTCTAACTAAAGTTAGATATAGAAAGGTTAATTTAAATTTTCAAAGGTTTATTTTTGGGAACAAGTCAATTCTATTACTATTTAATTAAATAATACCAGGGCGACCCAGCTTTGCTAAGGTTAAGCTGTAGACAATGCAAGTACCGCAAAAAATTACGAGATGGCGCAATATGACATTGTCAGCATGAGAGCAAATAGAAAAAAGATCGAGTAATTAATTATTAGTAATAATTAGTTAAAAAGTATTTATATAAGGTTTCAATTTTTCCTAAACTTCGTACATATAGAGCTATATTTGTAGGGTGGTTCATGTTTTGGAAAAGCGTACATTTAATTTCAGTAATACAAGTCCACTTAGTAGGAGTGTCTTAGATTTGTATAAATGATTTTTTTTATTTGGTAAATGAATAAATAAAAAATAAAATAAATAGTTTTTTAAGAATAAATATTTTTTTATTTTAAATTTTATAAATATCGACTTATTTTTTTAAATTATATTTTTAACAAAAAAAAATCAGTAGGTACTGTACATTCTGTATATGTAAAAAAAAAACTAAAATATGTTCATCCATCTCTCACAGCTACCAATTTTTACTTTTATTCCTTATTACGTCAGTTTGGAGCACCCGACAGGTTACAGATACAAGTTTAGGCGAGTTTCGACGTGTTAGTCAAAATAGTAAAAAAAAATAAACAAATAAGGCATATTTAAGTTTCACGACATTTAAGTACATTTTACTTGATACACAAGACAAAATAAATTGTATTCGTAGAGTCAGCAAAAATAGTTTTACATAAATTCAATAAAAGTATAGTAATTAAACAATTAAAATAAGAAAGATACGAGTTCAATAATTTATATGTACTGAAATAATTCCACTACCTATACCATTGTAAAATTAAAATAGTTATCATATTGATTCATCATAATTATATTAGATTCGATTTTTCTAACTAAACATGTTGTGGAAAATCCTTCCTGTTGAATAATTTACATAATCGAACATCGGAAATGTTAAAAGTTATGATCATTTTCATATAGACGTTACACAAACAGAAGCTACAACTTATAATTAAATCGCATATTACTTAGAATGTTTCAGTAACATATGTATTATATTAGCCTCTGGTCTATTGGTTAACATGTAGGATGTCCTGGATTCGTATCCGGTTTGGACCAAAATAGCTATTTAACTTTTCTGTCAAATTCTTAATAACCGGATGTTGAGTCGCGAGCTTCATTTTTTTACATTTTTAAATGACTTCAAAAATGAAGGTGGTCAATTCATGTGGCATTTTCAAGGTTGTTAATTATTATGAATTCGGTGTTCCATACTAACAGTTAAACGTACCTAGGGACGAACCCGAGCGAAGCGAGCGCAACTTTTTCATATAAATTTTTCATATAAATATAACAATTCTTAGTCAAGAAAGCTTCAAAATCAATCCCCATGAGTAAAATTTCGCGTTTTGATTAGAATTTTCGAATATAATCTAAGAACGTAATAAGCGTATTTTTATTATTTGGAATAATCTAAAATACTCAATTTTAGACTTCAGTTTAGATTAGTAAGTGGGTAGCTGTTATATAACATTTAACATTGTCTAAAAAAAATGAAAACTTACTCAATATAAAAATTGGGTAAGAAAGTTGTAGATAATAATAAAAAACCCGACTGAGTAAAAAACGAACCAAAAAGAAGAGAACAAGTTGACGAAGAAACAAAATTTATGCAGTCGGAGACACACATACACGTAGCAAAACCAGCAGCTAGTCTATAACATGTACAATGTACATTATATGTCTCCGACTATATAATCTGTACATACCTATAATAAAATTGTAACTAAGTCAAATCTGTACATTAAATATTTTTTGGAAAGTCTTATTGAAATAGACATTATTATCGATACAGAGTCCGAAAGAAACTTTTTAGAATTTTTGTCTGTCTGTCTGTTACCGCATCACGAGAAAACCACTAGAAAGATTTTGATGAAATTTGGTATGATGATAGCTGGTTATCCGGGTCAACATATAGGATACTTTTTACCGCGGGAAAATATCTCATTTCTGAGAAAAGATACAAAAACTCCATTGTAAGAGTATACTAATATGTAAAGCCTAAGAATTTTGGTTTTTGGTCAATTTTAGTACTACATAATACGTTTCTTCATCAACCTGTTCTCATTTTTTCAGTTCGCTTTTTACGCAGTCAGGTTTTTTATTTTCATAAATATTTATTTTATTTACAGCTTTTTATTTTTGATCAGTTAGGCATTTTTGGATAAAGGGAGCTACAATGGACCAAAACTGGTCGACGTAGCTAGGGCCGACCTCGGCACCACACCCAACAAAAATAATAATAATAATAGGCATTTTTGATTTTATTTAACAATTTATTATCCTAAACTATTTTTAAACATATAAGTTGTGTATATGTTTATAATCGCCTCTTAAAAACCTGTATTTTGATACTGCACTCAATTGTTCGAACTATTATTTTATCAAGACACAAATAGGCGTCTAGGCCGAAATGCAACGACGGATTGATGTGTTTTTGTATGGAAATAGTCGGAAAGTGAGATAGACTACTATTTGCCGCGGAAGTTAATCTATCCATGAACTAATTTAAAAAAAAGTGTCATCGTGATATCAAAATAACCAAATATAGAGCTTTTACTATATCTTATAGGTACTTGAGCCTACAAGCCTTCGGGCTCTGTTCGAAACCATAAAAAAATGTTCTGCCCATCTTTTTGTGCCCTAATGTCGGATCTACTCTCTGAAATAGCGGAAATGGTTTTAGCGAAACTTACACTGTAAAAATAACATTTGACTACGTTTAATCCCAGTTAAAGAAAATGTTTCCAACTGGAAAGCAAATATTTTTTTATGAATTTTTGGCATAGAGTGCATTGAGTGACGGAGTGAAAGATACAGTAGTTTGAGCAGACTTCGAAGGTCGCAAGTTCTATTTCGTTTAAAAAACAGTAACTTGTATATTATTTAAGGTTTAGTCTTATATTATGTTAGTCATAAAATCTGTTTATTTTTTTAATATGACATGACCGTCAAATAACTAAACACGCTGCCATTCTCAGAGAAAAATAAATAAATTTAATATTTTGAATCATGATAAAAACTTGTAGCAAAATCGCACATTTTACAATAGAAATATTTTACACAATTATTGTGAAAACTAGGAAGCGTTGTTATCAAATGATTTGAAAGTATTATATTATTGAATCGTGCAGACGAAATAGACGTTCATGACCAAGAAAGAAAAAGCATGAAAAAGGATGATCATGCTCTATGAAATAAGTAATAACTGTGAAACCCTATAATGTTGCCGTTATGTCAGCATGGTAAATATATATATATATATATATATATATATATATAAATGAATCCCTATTTCCCTTGGTCACGCCATCACGCGTGAACGGCTGGACCGATAATACTTTTTTATTTTGTTGTGTTTGTTATTGTCAGAAGGTTCTTATGAAAGAAAAAAATGAAAAATTAACGAAAAAAACAAAATAAAATGTATATGGCTAACGCTGGCTAATAACTATTTATTTATATTTAAAATGTACCTAGCGACGAACCCGAGCGAAGCGAGGGTGAGCCGCTAGTATTAAATATATAGCTTAACCTGTAAAGTAATATAAAAGTATATTTGATTTAAATATGTTAGAATTTGGCAAACGGCAAACAGTACATTAAAATGACATTTAACAAAATAAAAAAATATAGTGCATAGTTGCTATAATGAATATTTAAGATTATTTAAGAATGATTCCTATAATTCATTCATAAGGTAGCAAATTGTGTATTTGTGGAAAGTGTTCGCGTTGACCTGACCATGGCCCTCTTACTTTTTTTAATGAGAAAAAAATGCTCTGATTTATATATATATATATATATATGTGTGTATATATATATATATATATATACACATATATATATATATACACACACATATATATATATATATATATATATATATATATATTGTAGAGGCGTAGATATTAGAAGATAGATAGTAGAAATATAAAAAAATTGTCCAAAATTTGAACAAGAAGTTTGACGTCACTCACAGAAATTGTATAGAAATAAATGAATAGTAAAAATTTTATCTACACCGGTAAATCTCGCGACAAGCTTTTATATCATATAAATTGTGTAATGTAAGAAATTGTTGGGTTTGATTTTTACTTTTAGCATTTAAATGAAAGCTTGTTTTTAAAAACGTTTTTACTATTAATTTATTTTTCAATTTTTTTTTGTTTTATTCTCAGCAAACATTTTATTTCATATCCATATCATAGGGGGTGCATAAAAAACATAGTCCGCAATCTTTGGAAGTCCGCCATATTGGATTTAGAGTGACGTCACTTTATTTTTCGAGTTATTCTCTCTCTCTCTCTGTCTTTTAAAAATTCACTTTCGTTTTCTCCCGAATTTCGAAATATTTTTCCCAAAAAAAAAATTCCCCAAAAAATTCGGACAAATATAAAAAATATATATATATAGACAAATCGGTCCAGTCCACCAACCAACAGTTTTCATTTTTATTATATAGATACTAGATAGAGGGAGAATATAATGATTTCTGATACTTTTAGTTTGTATTCAGCAGTCGCGAACGTCACGGCCAAGAAAAGAAAATTAGATTTGCAATTTATTTAATCACGTGCTAAATTGGGCAACTAGCGGCGCACTTTATGAAACTGATGTTCCGTAAGTGCGGTTACCAGTTCGATTCCTGGTTCTTTTACTTATTTTATAACGTCATTTTGTGTATTGATTGTGTTATATTTATTGAATTTAATTTTGTATGGGTGACTAATGTCTTAGACATAAATGTCTTAGACAGTCGAGTCTTTTTTTAATTAAAAAAATATTTATCATTTATTGTAATCATTTAAAGTTTATTTTATTAATTTTAGTTTGTGACACGTTTAGAATAAATATTAAATATTTATTTATTATAAAAAAAGTATAATATCGAATTATTATCTAAGATAATTAGTACATATGATTAGGAGTTTAATAATAAATATAATATTAATAAATTACACGACCTTCTACTATAATATGATTTTTAGGGTACCATAACCGGAAGGTAAATTTTTTTTATTATTTCGTCATATCTAATTTGCTTGGAGACTCTTTACTACTGTTTTGTTTTGTGTTTCATTACCCGGATAAATACTTGTGACAACTGAGGTGAAAAAAATACGCCCATACCTACTCGTGAGTATTAGTACGGTAATGTTACATATAACATTACCTTGGGTGTCTTTGAATAGATTTTTAAAATGTGACGACACATTTGGCTCAGTTTGTAGTGACCCTACTTGCTGTGCCAGCGGTCGCGGGTTCGAGTCCTGCTGGGGGCATTCATTTGTGTGATGTGCACAAATGTTTGTACTTCAGTCATGGGTGTTTATAAATTGGGACATTAACATCAAACATGTGTAGTGTATCAACTATCTGATATCCATTATCCATAAGGGAAAGCCGCGTAGATTACTATGAAACTGATGGTGCTGTGTGTTACTGTCCCAACATATTTATTTATTTACTTTATTTTTAAATGTATTTATACTTCTAAATACTGCTCAATTTTGCAGTTATACTTTGTACTTTGGGATATTTATAAGTACCTACCTACCAACGACGTACATACATATATAGCACGTAAACTGCAAACCAATTTCAATAATCATTTTTTAACCGACTTCCAAAAACGAGGAGGTTCTTAATTCGTCGGAATCTTTTTTTTTCATGTATGATCACCGATTACTCGAAGACGCCTGAACCGATTTGGAAAATTTGTTTTTTTGTTTCAAAGGGTTCCCTTCCCAAGGACTTCGAAAATATCTGATTAGGTATCTATTCTAAATGAAAACCCCCGTTTAGTTATTTTTTACATTTTAGTGTCTGGAAGTCGGTTTTTTTTTAAGTTTTTATTCGTAGATACATTGACAAGCTTGATGAAATTAATAATGATTTTTTCATAATAAATTACTTATATTATTATATTTACTTTACTGAACCTATTTATAATCTCCTTTTATAAACGTAAAATTAATGGAGTGGCATAAAATCTAAATAAAAAACAAGAAAATGGTACAATACCTAGATGTAATCAGAAGTAGTTGTCTAGTCTCTCCGTTCTGGTGACTAAACAAGAGTTTATTTATTTATATCTTAGGCTTCCTATTGATTGAATAATCATTTTGTAATTTGGAACGAAGGAAGTTAGCAAAAGTGCACAAATAATGTGTAAATAAGCACATGCACACAAACGCACACGCGCACGCAATCATGCACGCAAGCACGCACGCACGCACGCACGCACGCACGCACGCACGCACACATAAGCATTTTAAAATTAAGATAGAGAATAGTTTTCTCTTTTCAAAATATTCACGTAATGGGCCTGTTCCTATATCATTTCTGACAAATCTATACTAACCGATAAAACGTATAGTAATAGGGACAAACCCGGGTGGAGCGAGGATAAATCGCTAGTGTTAAATAAACTTATATTACATGAGATTTCAAAATTACTACCTCATATTGATCACATTATAATTTGTACCCACTAATATCCTGACAAAGCAGTGGTAGCCCAGTGGCAACACGCTCGCTTGGGAAACCGAGTGAAGCGAGTTCAAATCCCGGGTCTAGCCTACCTCTGATATTTTCATGTTTGAAACATTAGCAACATGATTACCACTTGTCTTAACGGTGAAGTAAAACATCGTGAGGAAACTGCACGTCTGAGAGAACCTAGCAAGTTTTTAAAAGACATGTGAAGTCAGCCAACCCGTACTTGGCCAGCGTGGTGGACTATGGCCCGATTCCCCTCGTACTGAACGGAGGCCCCTGCCCAGCAGTAGGATGTCAAAAAGGGCTGTATACAATATCCTGTCGATCTAGCGACTTGCCAACTTTTAACGCTATAGTGCTGATAATAATAGGCCTTTCTCCGTTCGATATCGGTCTGGTAAAGTATTTTTATATTTTATACACACGAAACGACCCTGGAGTGTGATTCAACTGGAACTTAGCTCTTACTGATAGTGTGAATGCACTGCACTCATTGTTTCTTGTATAAAAATAATTTACCAGACCAATATTGGACCGAGAAAGAACCGTGATTGGTACTATAGTGTGGATCGGGCCTAAAATTAATTAACAGCCAGTTTTTTTTTTCAAATTCAAATAAAATGCTTATGACTCCGCACTTTTTGCGACACATTTTTTTGAAAGAATAAATAATATATAGCACTCGTAATATAGCTTTCTATTAGTGAAAGAATTACGGAATCGGAGCAGTTGTCTTAAGGTAATCTCTGAAATTACCTACTGAACTGAATATTCAAACTTATAAACCTTATCTATACATATAATAAAATTGTAACAAAGTCGAATCTGTACATTAAATATTTTTTGGAAAATATTATTGAAAAATACATTATTATCGATACAGAGGCCGAATCTATAGTTTTTAGAATTTTTGTCAGTCTCTCTGTCTGTCTGTCTGTCTGTTACCGCATCACGGAAAAACCACTGGAGGGATTTTGATGAAGTTTGGTATGATGATAGCTGGTTATCCGGGTCAACATATAGGATACTTTTTACCGCGAGAGTTTACCTAATTCCCACGGGAAAACACTTTATAATACAATCCAAAAAAATAATTGATCAGAATTACATGAAACTAGGTATTAATGCTATTCAATAAAATTAAATAAATACGTGTTTGAGCATTTTTCGAAAGTTATCCTATAATGGGGTAAAATAGAGGATGAAAGTTTCTATGAAACACCTTTTTAGAGATTTTTCGTAGTTTTAGCGCGAACTGAGCCGCGGGTTCTGCTAGTTTCTTTATAAGTGTTAATATGGATGTTTTTAATTACCGCCAAAAGCTTCGTACGATGATGTTTGACGATGACGCGAATCATAAAGTCAACTTAATGTGAAAAACTTTTGAGTTTGTAATTATTGATAATAAATAACTATGTTGGGACATTAACACAGCGCCATCTAGTTACATAGTAAGCTACGAGGCTTATGTTATGGGAACCAGATAGTTGATACACTACAAACTAAATACGTACATATTATAAATATAAACACCCATGACTGGAGTACAAACATTCGTGCTCATCACATAATAATATTAATAATAAAAAAATAAAAAGAATAAGTTTTTTTTAGTCACAATTAAAGTAATTATTTGTTTATTCACATAATTTTGAATATTATCACATAATTTAGGTTACCTGATTTATCTGAAGTGGTTTCTAAATTGTCGCAATTCTCGTTTATAGTTTGAGAAGCGCTTTCAGTCCCTTCTGTGAATTCGTCTTGTCGATGTTTTAAAGGAGCGGTTCGAGTAATAGTACAAAATGGTAGACTTCTTTGTCGATCTGGATGACAATCAAATCTTGAAGGCAGGCATCCAGGTTTCATCAGTACTCTCTTAACGGAACCCGTTATTTTGTACTTTGTGTAATTTAACATATCGTACGGCAACTGCATTAAAAATATAATATTTTTATAACAACTATTAAGTACTAACTTAATCCAAATAGTGTTATTAGATTTTCGATTCGTTATTTTTTTTATAACAATTGCAATTTTTGTTTGCAGAAAAAAAATGTCTAATAATCGCTCATAATTTTCTGACTTTTCTATTTTTCGCAGAACTTCCGACTAGACTAAAAATTGACACATAAAATATTGTAAATGAGATGAAATTTTCAAGTTTCAGAGTAAATACGCAAATAAATACTACGAAGACGACATGTAAGTACAAAAATATGACGAAATTTTAGTGCAGCATCTACCCTTATTTCAAGTTTTAACCATTTTTACCCGACTGCGCGATGCAAAGGAGGGTAATGAGTTAATCAGCCTATGTATGTATGTATGTATGTATGTTGGTTTGTACCTTTGTGGAACTATTTAGATCAACTTTAATAAATAACACGTCGTTTGATTCGTCATGATGGCGCGAATGTCATAGAAAGCATAAAAATTTGGAAAAATTGAAAATTGACGATTTTGGACGCCATAATGTGAAAAAAATAATTAAATTAAATCGACCGATCCGGGGGTATTGTTGAATAGTTATTTAAAAATTATTTTTAGGTTTCTTACATCATTTTTCATTTAAATAACAGTTTGGGATATATAATGATTTAAAGTTTTTTTTTTATTTTTTATTACCGCTAGTTTAAAAGTCAGTGATATAAACACTTTATACAGCGCAGTTTTAGATGTATTTGTACAACGAAACACCAATAATACCTTTTTCTATTACATAATTTGTAATACAAAAATACTATTTTTTCTTTAATGGATTAGTACGAAAATACTTAAAAATTATAAAAAGGGTTACATACTCTATGATTACAAACGCGAATTTCGTGTCTAGAAATTTACCGTTTATAACCTCGCACAAAGTTGACGTCACGCGGTAACGTCATTGGGCAAATTGTACTTGGCAGTTAATTCAAAACCACTGTAAATAATTTGGATTTTATTCTTTTATAACGTAGAAATTGGACATTGTTTTCATTCATTTCAACTACATTTTTTTTAATGTTTCTTTCCAGTCTTAAAAACAGTTACACAATGACGAAGAAGAAAATTTGCGATGTCTGTCAGTGGCGTTACTTTATGCTTTTGCTAACTTGTTGCGAATTGCGATATTATCTACTCTTTAATGTTCTAGTACCTTACCAGTGATACTATTATTTTTTATATTCATCATTAGGTCTTTGTTTATCTACCTGATTTTTTTTGATTGAACTTTGTAAAATCAAATAGCGGAAAAAATTAATATATAGGCGGGTTATAATAATGTTTACTTACATTGAAATGATCTTCACAGAAAAAAACAGTTGAATGGTCTCGTATACCGTCTGGATTTCTACGAGCGAGTTTTAACCACATTTTGCGCATTTTCGGATTTTTCGGTACACCTACAAATACTTTTTTTGGTGTTTTAATTGTACTACTTGTGCATCCTGGCACTAAACACCATTTGTACATTTTTTGGGGTAATATTAAATAATAACAAAAATATACTTTAACTTAACTGTGACAGTTGACACTTCATTGTTTATACTTCAATATGACGTCACTGACAAAGCTGCCATAAGGCAAGCAGACTACGTCAAATGACAACACTGAATAACTTTAAAACAACGAAACATGAAAATAAAAATATATAAATATTACTTAACACTAATTACCAATTATTTAAAAATGTCTGTGTATGTCAATGTATTCGTTTTCCTTATTATTATTAAATTAACAAGTATTTCTATAATTTATTAATAAGAAAGAGTTAATTAAGTAAGCTGGTAATTGACCATATTTCGTAATACTTAATTTATTGGCATATTATATCGTATCGAAGAAAATCTAAACACATACTTATTCGCACTTGCAATTTTAAAGAATACTTACATATTAATTTTTAGGAGTACAAGCAAATTCGTGCATGGTGGCAACGCTGAATCACTGACGCCAATATAGCATTTCGGTGCCCTTTTTAAATTATACTTTTTTAATGTTACTTTTTGAAGTATAATACTTATAAGAAATATTAACAATAATAATATTTTTTTACGCTCTCAATGGGGAAGAATTTTGCCTTTTTCTCCAGCCAGATTTCATGATAACTATGATCCTCTTTATATTGTAACGCTATAGCGTGGATGGATTTTATTTCGTTTTATTGAAAATTAAATTAAAAGGACAAATTGTGCAGTACCAAGATGCAAAGAAAATAAATATCATTTGTTCCCAAAAGATAAAAAGACTAACTTTCAGGTACAAGACATTGCACAAAGAAGGTACGAACTCAATAGAAGCAAAAAACAAAAGATATATCATAATAAATTCCTTAACCTCAGACTGAATGTAAATAGATAATACATGTAGCGCCCTCCTTGCAAGAAATCTTCCCTATTCAATTCTTTAGTTTCGTCGTGTTTAGGAGTGCCGTTTGGGCACAATTTACTTCGCCAATGTCGCGTAGAATGGAGAAGATACATTTTAAAATATATAATGATCGGTAAAAAATTTCTAAACTAAGAATTTTATTTCTTTAAACATAATTTTGTTATTTATCTATGAAAATGACACAATGACAGCTTCTGTCAACTGTCACTTGTAATTTAGGATTTTTGATCGTGTGTCGTTTCCATGTGATTTTATTGGAATATAAATAATTCAGAATGACTATAGTTCAGAAAAAGAAACGTGTGTCTAAAAAAAACAAAGCAGCATGGCGCAAGCATTGTGATATTGCTGATGTGGAAGAATACCTTGAAGATCAGCGATTAGAGGAAAGACTAGGGTAAGGTTATGTTTTAAAAAATGTTATAATTTGGATTTTTATCAATTCAATACTTTGCAGAATTTCGTAAAATGTTAGTTAACAATTTAATATTTGCTGGAAAATACTTCGATATTCAAAAAAATATGATGAATAATATAAATCATAAGTTGTCCAATATTGTACACATTTTATAAAAATTGTCAATTCTTAGGTAATAAAATTAAGGCGGCCGTTTAGAATTGGGGACTTGGCCCCTAGCGGAGTGGGTGGTATTTCTGGATAAGGGACGTGATAGGGAGTCGAAATGTTAAATAAATTTTTTAATACAACAAAAGAGTCAAAAGTTATTGAGACTTAAAGTTATAACATTTCCATACATTATTTTGACATTTGACATTACTACCATTTAGACACTTGGAGTCAAAACGTCACTTTCAATTGTCAAAATGATCTCCAGATGATTGTCTTTATTTGTACTTTGCGTGAAATTCGAATTTTCTAGTTTTCTAGTCATTTATGGCACTCGCCGGCCGCTACCGCGGCACGCTCGCTTCGCTCGCTCGGCTCGTGCGTTGTGGCAACTGTTCTAACCTAACCTAACCAAGATATGACGAATAATTAATAAATAATCTTAAATGTTCTAACCTAACCTAACCCAGATATGAGGAATAATAAATAAATAATCTTAAATGTTCTAACCTAACCTAACCCAGATATGAGGAATAATAAATAAATAATCTTAAATGTTCTAACCTAACCTAACCAAGATATGACGAATAATTAATAAATAATCTTAAATGTTCTAACCTAACCTAACCCAGATATGAGGAATAATAAATAAATAATCTTAAATGTTCTAACCTAACCTAACCCAGATATGACGAATAATAAATAAATAATTAAAAATATTCACAGATAAAAAAATGATTTTTTTTACTAAATGTACAATTGTAAAACAATATATTTTACATAAATCAAATAAAAAGTTATAAATGTATTTATAAAGTGAAAATAATATTTTTCTTTTTATTTATTTATTTATTAATATTAATATTTTACCAACAGAAAAAGCAAAAATAATCAAATATAATCTGTTGTCATTTAAGCGGTAATATAAAACAAAGTGTCAGTTTTGCTTTTGTCAAAATGTAAGATCATTTTGTTTGTGTTGTGAAATTATTAAAATATTAAATACAATAAAGCATTAATTGTTGTGAAAATGTGTAATGTACATAAAAAAGGATGCGTACTATTCGTTAAAGGTATGTTTATCTGTTGTAATCACTTATTTAGGTAAAGAAATGTATGGAAATGTGTTAGATATGTTATAACTTTAAGTCTCAATAACTTTTTAGTCGTACGTTTCCTCCAAATATTTTTAATATATTTTGACTCTCTGTCACCTCCCCTATCTAAAAATACCACCCACTCCGAATGGTGGTAAAGAAATATATGAAAATGTATGGAAATGTTGTAACTTTAAGTCTCAATAACTTTTGAATCTTTTGTTGTATTAAAAAATTTATTTAACATTTCGACTCCCTATCACGTCCCTTATCCAGAAATACCACCCACTCCGCTAGGGGCCAAGTCCCCAATTCTGAATTTGTGCCAAAATTAATTATAATACTATAATCTTAAATTATAATTTCATGTTTACTTTTTCATTTCAGTAAATTTGACTCAAAACCAGATTCAGAACTCTTCGTATTAGACACACATGGTAATGATACACCAGAAGAAAAATCTGATATAAAGCCAGATGTAAAACTTTTGTCAGCCAAACTTAGAAAAAGAGCGAAATTATCAGAGACACCTAAGTGCTTTGAAGTGCTATTACCAACTTCTAAGGTATGTAGCACAATAAAAAAACTAGCTTTATAATATTACTAGCTGCCTTGAGGTTTCATCCCCGTTAAATTTGTCTGAATAGAAACATCAGTTGTACAATAATGTATAAATATGTAAAGCCCACCCAATTTGTTGACATTTATGATTACTGCTCCGCTACATTGGGTAGTAGCACAATGATATATAGCCTATAGCCTTCCTCAATAAACGGGCTATGTAATGCAGAAACATTGATTCAAATTGGATTAGTAGTTCCAGAGATTAGTGCGTTCAAACAAACAAACTCTGTCTCTATATAATATTAGTATAGATACTTTAAAAAACATTAAGTTTTTTACAATAAAATGTTATAATAAACATCATTTTTAAAGAAATTATATTACAGGTACAAGATCCAAATGCTAAAAGAAATCATGTGAAACCTGTTGGTTCAAAACCTACAGACTTGTCTAAACTTACAAAACAGCGGCAACTTGTCAAAGGTGTTTTAGAAAGAAAAATAGAACACACAAAGAAGAATAAGAGGCTTGTTGCAGCAAAACGGAAAAAGTCAAAGACAATAAGGCAGACCTTTGATAAGAATATTTGGGGAGAAGACGGTATTATTATTTATCATTTTAAAAGCATTATGTATTATAATATGATTTCATTTATTATTTTAAATAATATTAATTTTAATATTCAATGCAACATTAGATTAATGTAATTTTTTGATATGATTAAATAATCATAGTTAATGGACTTGAAAAGGACCACATTAATCCCGTTAGAGTAAGACAAGTATTTCCCATTCTTTATAGCCTTAGGGACATAAGACATTTATATGATAAAAATATATTATAATCCTTGGTAATTTCAGTGCTTGAAGCTAAAGGTATACCGGAGACACTTTGTGATGAATTCATATCTCCAGAAGCCCAGTTGCATAATGTACCAACCACTAAAAGATTAAGAACTAAGCCACCTCTACCGAAAACTTTAGTAACAAGAAAAGCTGTGGAACTGCCGCATCCCGGAGTCAGTTATAATCCATCATTCCAGGTACTCATTTATTGAATCTTATCCTACAATAAACCAGCTTGTGCCAATACCTACTGCCACAAGTGCTCTTCTGTTAAGGTTTTATTAAAACGAAATGTATCAATTAACTTGACGAGACCATAAATATCTATATTAAAATAAAAAACCGTGAACCAAAAGTTCTCATATTATAAGTAAACTAGCCTAAGATCCCAAGACCACAAGACATTACTTATTTTCAGAGTAACAAAAATGTGTGAGATAGAGTTATAAAGAGATGTCTATGCAATTTCTCTACCTTGTACTTATGATTTATTCCAGGTAGTTTGTGTCCAAAATCTTAGGAATATGACACTAACCTGTAAACTGGCCATTGGCTCAAGCTAACAGGAAGTACGCATACATTCACAGTGCACACTAACATTACTCTATCCCACTCATTTCTTACTCGGAAAATAAGTAACGTCTGGTGACCCTGGGATTTAATCTACACATGACAGAAGTGACCAGACAGACAAAAGACATGATATGTTAGATAATATTATACTTATAAATTTTGTTTAGCTTATAATAATTAAGCTTTGGATTTTTTCCAATATGATACTTGCCAATGATGACATGACAATATAGAAACAATAGATTTTGGCCAACTGAAATGTTGCATTCTGAGTGCACATATAATATTAAATATTGACAGTTATATTTTAAATTAAATTTTGTATGGTGTATTGAGTATATATTTTCCTATATTATCAAATAGTACACATTATTTGATGTAATAAATAAGCAATATTTCAGTAAAATAAAAAATGTATTAAAACATTAATCTATCTTCTATATATATATGTCGTGTTATCCATATACTACGAACATCATCTTTGGTGGTTACTCATCTTGTGGGCGTTATCAGGGCTCAAATAATAAAGTATTCAGTGCTCAATACACAATTTAATCAGGGAAGTCGCAATGTTATAAACTTGAAACGGTAATTCTAATGATTTAGAGCTAGCGGGTTCACAGTCACCGATCATCGACTTCCAACTACAATATCAAATATAACTCTTTATGATCAACCAACGTTACTAAGCCACGTATCTCCAAAGAATTCAAAATCCATTTAAAAGCTATAAAAAGTAAATTAAAGAACATAGTGACTTTAAACAATAATAAGGTTTCATAACAGAAAAAGGTAACTAAATCCTCCTCCGTCTTATATATAAAATCGATGTGTGTATGTATGTTTCCTATGAACACCGAAACTGCTGACATGATTTCGATGAAATTTTTAGGCATCTTCATTAGCCCTGTGAGTCATCCAAATTTGGTAGCGTTCGAAAGTTTGAACGCGGGCAAAGCCGCGGGAAGTGCTAGTATATTATAAATATTTACTTACTATTTATAGGAGCATCAAGAGCTACTACAAGAAGTAGTACAGCATGAGGAGAAAATGATGAAGCGTGAGGCGCACTTGCAGAGAGTCACTACTGGAATGTTCAAAAAAGTCACTCCACAAGAGAAAGAAGTGAGTATTTATAATTTTAAATAAAACTATCTTTTCTTATTATTTCGCGGATTTATTTTGATTTATGGTTCCCGACGTCTCGAATACTTTACAGCGATCATGGTCACGGGAGAGATTAAGGTTTTAGATGTTTCAAAGGCGTTGTCTGAAATAAGTATATGCAAATAAATCTGAAAAGATAGTTTTATTTAAAATGTCAAATATTCCCGTAATTCTAAGAAAGTATTTTGATTTATAATTTTTTTATTTATTTTTATTTATAATATTAAAAGTATTTTACGCTTTATGAAACTATTTTTTTAAACTTGTTAATATTTTTACATGTTGCTAATGCATCAATTTTTTTAAATAAAAAAAAATAATGATACATGTAAAACATAAAATAAAACCCGCACATAAAATTTGTATATAAGTATGATATTTTATCAATTGAATATGTCATTTTAGAACCAATGGCGTGAAGAGATGAGTGCAGGTTTGCCTCAACCACACAACCCAGCAACTGATCCTGATGCAGAAGAACCTTCGGACAACGAGTACAGAGCAATCAACCCGCCCGTCCAGAACAAGAAGAAGGATCACAAAGCTCGCAGAAAGCAAAGAGAGCAGATTGTAGAGAAGGAACGGTTGAAACGGGCGAAGATTGATAAGAAAAAAATCACTGATATTTATAGGTTAGTTTTATTAATGCCATTAATGTTATAAATGTGAAAGTTTCGATGTATGTTTGTTACTCAATTACTCTAGAATGTCTGAACGGATGTGGATAAAGTTTGGCGCAGAGATAGATTATAGTCTGGAATAACACATAGATTACTCTTTTTATCCTGGAAAAATGTATGGTTACCATGGGATAGATTTGTTTTTAGCGTATTATATATTTTTCTGTAGAAATAATTTCAAAATGCAATAGTATGCTATCAATTTCTTATTCTTTGTCTATTTCTTCAGTAGATTCTGCACCCAGGGCGTAGTTGTAGAAGTGCCATAGATTATTATAATATTAATTTAAATAATATAAATATTAATTTAACTGCCTCGGTGGTGTAGTGGCTAGCATGTACGGCTGCACACCCGGAGGTCCTGGGTTCGAGTCCCGGGTCGGGCCAAGTTTAGTTATTGAGTCTTTCTGTATAGTAAGTCTTACTAGCAGCCCGGAGTTGGGAAGTTGGCGGTGTCTCACCCCTGTGCCTCAGAGAGCACGTAAAGCCGTTGGTCCTGCGCCTTAACTCTCACCGGTCGTGTCGAGTGGTCGTCCCACCGGAGTATGAGAGTGATAGGAATAGAGAGTGCACGTTGTGTCTGCGCGTACACTTGAGCACTATAATATCTCCTGCGCAGTTGGCTAATCTCAATGATATTGGCCGCCGTAGCCGAAATCTGCTAGGAGAACATCATCATCATCATTATAATATTAAAACATGGCACCTGCAAATTACAAAATGTATTCAGCCCTGTTTTAACGTCCCACTGCTGGGCACGGGCTTCCCTTCAGTACGAGGGGAATTACAAAATGAAGGAAATAAAAAAAATTTTTTGGTATTGTAATTATATAATATGTACTTTACCATTATAGCTTTAATATTATAATTTCTAATTCATTCAACATATTATTTTCAGGCTTCGCAAGATCCAAGCGTCCCTAACAAAGAAAGAGTCCCGGGATGCAGAGCTGCGTACAAAAAGGACGACCAAGCGCAGTGAGATGGAAGAGAAAGCTCTCCCCGCATTGAATGCAAACAAGCCACCAGTGAAGGAGCCCGAGTTTGTTGACCCCAAACAGCTGACTGGTGACTTAAGGAGTTTAGCGGCAAATGGTGAATGTTTATACATATATCTAGTAAAACTAATACTGAACAACTGACTGACAGCACACAGTTTTAACGGCTCATTCTAAAAGCATGTTTTATACAAGAGTTCCTTATATAACAGAATCTTTTATTACTATTTAACTTTTTTTTAAAGTGTTTTTCGAATCGAAGGATACCCACAGTTTAAAAAACACGATTGACAACTTAAAATTTAAAATTCTCGATTAAAAACATTTTAAACAGTTTTTAATATTTTATTTTTTGTAAAGGTCATCCAAAAACCAACATTTTGAAAAAAAAGCTTAATTTTGACCATTATTAAGAAAGTTATGAGCAAAAAGACCAAAAAAAAGAGCGGTCTTGAAGCAGTGATAAAAAAATCTCTAAATTTACCAGGAAGCCTCTTTTGAAGGGTACTAAAAAATGCCAAAAATTAGGAAAATCAAACGTAAAAATTTTTGAAACCGTCATTTTTGGCGTGAAGTGCCCATATATAACATATAATATGTATTATATAAATATTATATAGTCCCCGTAATACATTATCAAATTACAGAAAGGTATTGTAGGATATTCCTGAATGAAGAGTTGCAGAGAGAGAGAGAGTGCAATTAATGATTTTAATGTAAAAAACAGATGATTTTTTTATTTTTTATTAAATTATTAATTTACACTTCTCTACGTAGCCAATCTTCTCCGAGACCGGTTCGAGTCCCTCCAGCGCCGAGGAGCGCTCGCAGCCTCAAAGATCATGATGAAGAAGAAGAGGAAGCTGAAGAGCTACTTCAAGGCCGGCCACAAGGTCACAGACCAAGACGTGCAGAAGTTCCTGAAGAAATCCTCCGCTAAAAAGGTCAAGGTTAAGGCTTAAAGGTGAATGTTGTCTTGAAAGGAACCAATAAATGTATAAATAAATGGTTGTTTTTTTTTTCGCGATATTATATATTAGTTCACTGACTTTATAAAAGGCGAACGAAAGCAGATTGGAAGCAGTAAATAATTTTTAATTTTATATTGTTTGTATGTTTCTCAATATTTCATCAAATTCACAAATTCTCATTTTTAAGTTTATCACTTCTTATGTTTCAAAATCAAAATTAACATCTTATGTTAAGTAGAATATTAATTATTTATCTTAATTAAGTCCAATAAAGAAAACATTGGATTTAAATATTAATTAAAAAAAATTAAAAGGCACATTTTAAAGCAAGTAAAATATGGGACTCATCATAAAGAATCAAATTTAACTCTCTCTAAGTATATTTCAATTTTTTTAGGACTTCTGACTTGGTCAGTTTTTTTTAAGTCAAAAGAAAATTTGCTATAGTTAACCCGGATAACCAGCTATCATCATACCAAATTTCATTAAAATCGGTTCAGTGATTTTCTCTTCCTGCATTCCCAGACAGACAGACAGACAGACAGATGAAAATTGAAAAAATATAGATTCGGCCTTTGTATCGATAATAATGACTATTTCAATATGATTTTCCAAAAAATATTTAATGGGTAGATTTGAATCAGAATTTTATTATATGTATGTATAGATATAGTTGGTAAAGGGGGATCTGATTCAAGTCATAGAAATGATATAAAATAATATAAAAATTGTGAATTTTATGAAAAAATTTATTATATAAAAATATCTTAAATTACATCTTAGTTAACCCTTAATATAATACAACTCGATTGGCAATGTCGAAGCTAAAGTACTGTAGGTAACTCTATCCCAAGTAGTCTAGACCTATATCTAATTAGAATACTAAGCGGCAAGTTATAATTAAAAAATATAAAACAATAAATTATGTGTATAAAACATTTTTGATCAGAGCTTATCAAACATTAAGATGGAGGCCTAATCGTATGTGGTATCTACAAATCACATTTTCTAGTTCTTATACGTAGGGTTCGTTTGAACGTTGAGCATTATAGAAGTTAATTTTTATTGATTTTAACTATAATGATAATTTAACGTATTTGGTCTTACTTCGAGTCTGAAGGCATTTGCTATCTAATATTTTATTGACCAGTTTAAAGGAGGTTCTTAATGTTTGGTTATTGGTTTTTTTGTGCGTCTGTTACATGATATCTTCGCCAATTGATAGTGAAACCTCCTTTTGTCCAAGTGGCAATAATTTTTTTTTAGTTACTAGGTTACCTGTGGTCTCAAATAAATTAAAAAAAATATTTTCACCGATGCTTTCTAAATTGGGTTTCCTTTGTAACTTAAAAAGTAATTATTTGTCAAAACAAGACCGAAAATAAATATATTCTGACTCAAAGTTTGGAGAATTACATCTAAATTACCTTATCATTAAAATACTTTCATGAATAATTTTATTAACTAATTATAACGAAATGAGTCTTAACTTTAATAGTCTTATTTGAGAAATAACGAACCCTAATTATAAATAAATTTACATTAATTTTTTAACCCCATCTTGCTGCGATTGTGTACAGAGATCGTAGTAGCTCTAACGCCCGAGTGTCTGATTGGACTTTTAATTCGCCTTGAGGAGCAACTCTCGCTTCGGCGATTGGTCGGTCGGGAATTGTTGTCCCGAATTGTTCGACTTCAGTTGTCTTAGCTACATACTTCCTTCCACCTCTACGTTTTGGAGTACTTCTTGACGTACTAGTTGTTGTGTACTGCGTAGTCTCCTCAGTCTTAAGACTCTCTGTTGTTGTGGGGCTTGATAAAGCATTTATTTCTTCAGCTTCTATATTCAAGTTCTTGCTTCGTCGATTTATATCTGGTATTCTGTCCAGACGACGTTGGAATTCTGTCGTTTTCACATATTCTACATCAGAAACTGTTGACGGAGCTTCTGTTAGATCCTCCTCTTTGGCGATTTCGTCCATATCTTTTTGCGAAACTGCCATCAGTGCTTCAAGTAAAGCCTTTTTGGACGCTTCAGCAGTAGAATTATGATCATCGTCACAAGTCTGTACTAATAATAAAATTAATCGCTTAACGGTTTTTGATTTCGTCTTTTTCATAACGTTCATTAGTTTTTGTGTAGTAGTGGCGTTCATTCCTCCCATTATTTCTTTAGCTTTTTCTACGATAGTATCAGTTACTGTTGACAAATCTTGTGCGGGCTCAGTGGATGTAGTAGAGTCTCTGAGAAATTTACCATATCGCTCGTTTTGCTTATCACTTGTGATAATTTCTACATTTACAGTTGATGAGACAACAGGCTCATTGGTTGTTAAAAATGTAGTAGGAGTAGGGGTAGTTGCAGTATCGAGTGTCCAGGAATTGGTTTGTTGAGCAATTTCTGATACTCCTTGTTCAGGACCTGTAGGGCTGAGTCCATCATTTAAAGTAATTGGATCAAGAATAGTGCTTTGCCAATTTCCGAACGTAGTTTGCCATTGGAAGTCGTTTGTCGATTTTTCACTATCCGGAGATGTAAATATATTGCTTACTAAAGGACTTGCTGTTGTTAAAGTTTCAGTTTGGTCACGAAGAGTAGTAGTTGCCTGAGTAGTGGTTTGTGCTGTAGTGGGATCTGCAGTTGATTGTGTTGGTGCTTCCAAATTTTCTGACGGTTTTCTTATATTTTTTTTATCCTCTTGTTTTAGTTGTTTACCTTGACGTAAACTGTTTGATTGAGGTGACACGAAAGATTGGCTGTGAGCACGTTGCAATTCTTCTTCATTTTCGAATTCAATACTATCTGTTTCAGTATTATATGCGGGTGTTGTGGTTGGAAAAAAGTTTGGAAATTTGATTTTTTTGCTTTCAAATAGTTGATGTGAATTAGTTATAGGGGATAAGGTAGACTCTATAACATCCAGGCCAAATGCTGTAGGCACAGTTGTTACATCTGATACATCATTAAAAGGCGTCACATCTGAAGAACTTACAGTTTTACCATAAGATGGGAAAACACTGTCTCTTATACTTCCATGCCTAAATGTCGTAATTTTCTCAGTAGTAGATGCACCTTCGCTATGAGTATTTGTTGCTAGCGTATTTACATTTACGGCTGCAGCTTTTGTGTATGGGAATAAAGTAGAATAAACATCCCTCGACGTAGAAGCAGTAGTGTAAGACGCAGAAATCCTGCCACAACATCTAAATGGACTTCTGGGAGTTGTTTGTCTTACCGAAAAATAGGTTGAAGGCAATTCGGTAGTTGGTTTAACTGTAGTACTTAATTCTTCTACTGTTGTGGGATAATCATTAATAATATTTAAAGCTTTACCTCCTCTTAGAGAATTTTGAGTTTCCCTTACTTTGTGATCATCAGAGAAACCCAACAATTCATCGTCTTCTTCGTTGACCATTGTTGTTGGTTCAGTATTAGATGGCTCTTCAGTGGTAGTAAAAACTTCTGCAAATGACGGATGTGTCGGTCTTATGTCTGAAAGTACTTTCCTAAACTGTACTGGATCTTGAAGATAAGCAGAAAGTGCATGTGTAAATACTTGGGCAAGTTCTCTTATTTGTGGGGATGTAGCTAATGGTCCTTGACTCATTTGGATAGATAAATCTTCTGCAAGTTCGTTGTATGTGCCATTAGGATCAAGTTTAATATCCTCTAATAATTCCGCATTATCTTTACCATGTCCAAAAAGGTTGCCATACTTAGTAATTGTTTGATGACTGAATAAAGCTGGCAAACTATGATCCAGTGATTCATATTCATCAATACTAGGTGTAGTAGTTTCGTCATCCTCTGGGTTCGAGGTAGTAGATAAATTATCTAAAGCAGTGGCATAGTAAATGGCTAAAGAATGTAATGTTTTAGGGGTTAACGATGGAGGTACGGCTAATCTCTGTCTTTGTTTGACTCCGAAATCTTTTTCTGTTGTGGCAGTAGTAGGTTCCTCGGTATCTGATGTCTCGAGATTTAATTTTCTCATAAGTCTATCTCGACGATATTGATAAGATTCTTCAGTTGTTGGTTCATTTTGGTTTAAGATAGAATATACTTCACCAGCAGTGGATGCAGTTTTGATAGGTTTATCGTCCCCTGTAGTATCTGGAATCTTAGTAACAGATTCGAAAGTATCTTTAGGATCGGCCGTTACTCCTTTTTCTGGATTAGGTTGACTTTCGAATTTATCGCTTCGGGCCGTAGCTGCAACTAATTTATCAGTAGTGGTTGATAATGTCTTATTTTTCTCTTTTTCAAGAAAATCTCTTAGCAATGATATTCCTGGCCTTGTGTAAGGCTCTCGTCTTTCATTGACTGTGCTCGCATAGCTTTTAGTATATGGGACTAATGTTTGTCGTTTTGTTGTCGCTTCTTGTAAGTATTGTGTTGTTTGTTTTGTATGAATATCATACAATGTTGTTAATGATGGGTTATTGGTTTTACTCTGTGAAGATGAATTGGGAGTATATACTGGAAATGGTCTAAAATTTTTGCTATTGTATTCTTGTAAGAATTGTCTATTTTGATTTTGTGCAAATGAAGCTGTTTCGGCTGCTACCTGCATTTCTCTAAGACTATTATGATCATACACAGGGACAGCAGTTCTATAAGTAGAGCTGTCAAAAACTGGTAATGTTGTTTTTGCAGGACCGTTTCCAAAATTATTGGAAATGAGTTGTACTAGATTTTTTCTTCTATTTTCGAATGCAGCGACAGTCTGAGCTCTTTGAGTTGGATTTACTTCAAATAGAGCTTGGTAATTTCTTGCTGTTGGTTTCCCATTAGGTTCATTTGATGAGGGATTATCACTTTGCAGCTTCTGTTTGTGTCTTAAGAATCTTTCAGTAGTGGTCGGTACGTTTACTGGAGCTCTTCTAGATTCTGCCCGAACATTAGTATCGGCACCAATTTGTTGGAGATCTGGATTTCTCACAACGTTATGGTTGCTTCTTTGCGACTTCTTTTGTTCGTTCGAATAATACTCAACGCTGGACTCGTAAAGAGCTGGAGCTGATGCGCAGTCCACCTTGAACCACCAATCACAGATAAGATGCGACTGGCTGAAGATGGTGCCATTTGGACATAAGAAGGAGATCTTGCGAGAAGTGTCACAGATATGGAACACCTGAAAATGAACAAATGGTTTTTAAATTATTGAATGGAATTGATCGTGCTATAATCAAGTATTTTTAATTATTCATGTTATTGACATGTATCTTAATCTAAACTTGTATGTATATCTTTGTTTTGGTAAAACTAGTTACAAGTCGTTAAGTAGGTATATTTAAGTATTTCTTCAATTAAAAAACACCCAGACACAATTACATTATTAATTATTTATTGTTACCTGGCAATCTGTCTCCAGGTCAGCATAATATCCAGTGGGCACGTTCTTGCAATTAAAACCAGTACTAGGGATATTGGGCAGTGCCGGGAAGTCTACACCCGCTCTGCCAATCACACCTGAAAGGAGGAAAAACAAACATATTTTAATACTAGCTATGCCCCGCGGTTTTACCGTGTTAAATTTTGATTATAGACATCAGTTTTACAATAATGTATGGAAGTCTGCCTGATTTGTTGACATTTCTGATTACTGCTCCGCTTGGGTAGTAGCATGATGATATCTAGCCTATGCCTTCATCAATAAACAGAACTAATGCAAAAAAAATTTCAAATCGGATTAGTAGTTCCTGAGATTAGCGCGTTCAAACAAACAAACTACCTTTTTATAATATTAAGTATAGATTTATTGATATTTACAATAACAATGCCTTCTAAAGACAACGGATGTTAGGATAGATCATCATACAAAAATAAATTTACTAGAAGAAAAAGAAGTCACATACATGGTTATTGTATTATGAAATGTTGTTATTTATCCTATTATTTTCGAGCTATTTTAAATAAATTGGTTGTGACATTATTTTGGTTGCTTAGTAGGTTATTGCTTAGTAAACGTCCCCTTAGAGGAACTTAGATTTTAACTAGCGATTTACCCTCGCTCCGCTCGGGTTCGTCCCTCCTCACGTTTTATCGTTTACATTTCTCAGAGATGAGATATTTTCCCGTAGTAAAGAGTATGTTGACCCGGATAACCAGCTATCATCATACCAAATTTCATCAAAATCCCTCCAGTGGTATTTCCGTGATATGGTAACAGACAGACAAAAAACCTAAAAACTATAGATTCGGCCTCTGTATCGATAATAATGTTTATTTCAATAAGATTTACCAAAAAATATTCAATGTACAGTTTCGGCTCAGTTACAATTTTATTATTATTATATATATATATATATATATATATGTGTATATATATATATATATATATATATATATATATATATATATATATATATGTATATATATATGTGCATCTTTCGATTCATATACATACAATATTCATATATTAACAATAGTAAAGGATATGTAGACGAATAGTAATAGCATTATACTAATGATACAATAGAAAAGCCGCTATTGTGTTTGAATCGTTCAACGACATAGGCTAGTTCCTGTTCCTGAACTTTCTGAACTTTCGAGTGAAAGTAAGGACTCAAGTATGCACGTTCACACACTAATAGCTAAATGTTAGAATATTTTTGACCGCCTTCAACAAAGAGTAGTTTGGTGCTCAATTTTGGTGTATGTGTCTGTATGTTAAGAAATAACTCTGTTAATTATATTTATTTTTTACGATAAATGTTTCAATTGATTCAAAAAATACAGTCTTTATGGTGGAATTATTAACATGATTTTGAACTTAATTTACTTTCAGTTAGATATAATATTTAATGTAGATATAATATTTTCAAAAAGATTTTACGGGTTTTGAGTATTTCCTTTTGATCTGCTAACGATTGAAATGTCAATTTATTAAGGGCTCAGGCATAAATATCGTATAATTAGGGACAATTGTAGCTAGTTTTAAATTACAGACCAATTCTAATTTGATATAAAATATGTAGTTACATACCAAGATGTTCAACAATGTCTAGATCAGGCTGGTTATCAGCAGGTATCAGTCTCTTGACGAGGGCCTTTCCTTCAGTGTAGTCTTCGAACCCAGCTGCACCCATCGCTTGAGCGATTGCTGTAAGCGATTCCGCACTTGGTTCTGGTAGGTAAATGTCTGGGGTATCCTGGAAAATATATTAAATATTAAGATTTTCTATTCTTTTCTTTGAAAAATCTAGTGTCTATATATAGATTTAGTCTATTCATCTTCAAGACTTATTTGTCTATAGCTAATAAAATTAATTATAAGTTATTAAAAAATGAATATAGTTATAAGGAAAGTAAAAATACACGTTTTTTTTTGGTCAACTTTGCACAAAATTTCCGATCCAATTTTTTTATAAGGTTTAGGATTACTGAGTCTAAATCACAAAATGTTGACAGATTCCGGTGGAGCTTCAGCCGCCATCTTTAAAAAACGTTTTTGGCCGATATCTCGGAAACTATGCACTTTAGGGCAAAAGTCATTCAGATCATTTTTGTAGAAAATAAAATCTCGCATCTTTTGTTTCCTGCAATTTTTTTTGTAAAACTTACCATTTACGATTTTTAGCACATTTAATGAATCAGTTTTTCTATCTCGGCTGATAACTCTTAAAATATTGGTTTAATCAATAAAATGTGTCTCCGAGATATCGGCCAAAATCATTTTTTCAAGATGGCGCCTGAATCTCCACCGGAATCTGTCAGTTTTCTGATTTTATACAAATTGTATCAGAAATTTAGTGCAAAGTAAAATTCTATTTTTACTGGCCTATATCACGTTGTCGTCTTTACTGTCTAATGAAGGCTTGGTGTGACTACTATAGAAGAAAATAAGAAATATAACATAATACATACTTTTCTCCGCTGCGAACGCCGAGCCGCGTCACAGATTTGTAGGGCATCTGAAATGAGCAATTATTGATTTAAATAAAACTTATTAATCTTTTGAGATTTTATTTGCAAATTTAATTTTGGTTCTCGTTTCATGAGCTTAATTATGCGTATATCATTAAGCATACGTCATCTCGTGTAATGTCTTTAGCCGCGTCCCCCTTTACTATAATTGAACACTTTTATCGTTCCATGGATCAATGCGAGGAAAATCAGGCCGTAATCCATCATGCTTGCCAAATGCGGGTTGGCACTTAGCGGAATAACCATATCTTTCAAGAACTTGTTAGATTTTTTCAGACATACAGGTTTCCTCACGATGTTTTTTTTACCAAAAATCATGTTGAAATATAATTTACACATGAGAATCTTAGAGGTGAGAGATTCTCGGAGTTTGAACCCGCTTCCCTAAGTTTTTTAATCGACCGGGTTATCAATTGGCTACCATTGCCCAACTTTAAAACCGTCTAATATCCCACGAGTATCTTTTGTTATATGGAGATAAACAGTATCTCCGTGTAAAATCGATTCGTTGCTGCGTGAAAGGAGGACGCACAAACAAACACAATATTGGATTTGTAAGATTAGTAAAGACTTCATGATGATATGATATTGATCCTACTTCTCGCAAAACAATTACATCTCCGATCATATTATAATACCAGTTATCACCATACTAAATTTCATCAAAATCCCTCCAGTGGTTTTATTGTGATGCGGTAACAGACAAACATACAGACAGACAAAAATTCTAAAACTATAGATTAGGCCTTTGTATCGATAATGTTTATTTCAATAAGATTTTCCCAAAAAATATTTAATGTACAGATTCGGCTTTGTTACAATTTTATTATATGTATAGATAATACATCAATACGAGTATAAGCGACGGATAAATATAAAACACTATACAAAATACAAGGACCATTCAGAGCTTTCTTAAATGAACTAATCTGTCTAAGCCTCTGAGGCTTTCTAATCAACGGCTTAAGTATGTGGTGTTAGAAATGTATTTGTACCTTATTTTGCTTATAGACTAATTAGTATTAAATATCTTTTTATATATAATTCTTCTGTGAGTGTGTATGTCACTGAACTTCTCTCAAACTACTGGACCGATTTTGATGAAATTTTTTGTGTGTGTTCAAGGGGATCTGGGAATGGTTTAGATTCACAATTTGAATAATAATTTTCATCAAAAAAATTAATAAAAAAAGTTTGAAATTTTCAAATTAAAGACGTGTAGACAGGACAACGTCTGTCGGGTCCGCTAGTTATGTATATATTCAATGCAATGCTTATAAAATCCTACATAATTTTTGTACAAATGGTTTTATGTTACTTCTATCGCAATAATAATAAGCTTTCACAGACAGAAACGTGTTTGATTCTTTAACGGTTTCGCTTTAAATACATTTTTTATTATTAAACCCTAAAAAACTGATATTTTCTTTTGAAGTCTAAACAAAATGTAACATTCGCTATTGTCTAATTAAAAAAAAACTTAAAAAAAACCGACTTCCAGGCACCTAAATGGTAAAAATAACTAAACGGGGGGTTTCATTTAGAATATATATCTAATCATATATTTTCGAAGTCGGTGCCGGATGGAACAACCTGGGAAGTATACCCGTCGAAATAAAAAAAAATTCAAATCGGCTCAGGCGTCTTCGAGTAATCGGTGAACATACATAAAAAAAGATTCCGACGAATTGAGAATCTCCTCCTTTCTGAAAGTCGGTTAAAAAATCTGCACAAGTCCTGTATTTATCTTTAAAATGAAAAAAAGGTATTATTTTATTTTAAAATTTTGTAGTAGATATAAAAAACTAAAATAAAATAAAACGAGTGATATTTAATAATCACAGTGCAGACGACTGTAACATCGCACTCTGGTGGTCAGGGGTTCCATTCCCAATAAAAACATTAAAACATATTTATGACAGTTATTTTTGTTGAAGTCTTCACAAGACAAAATATTTTTATAAGTACGGACAGAATCGTGATGAGAGTTAGTGTTTCGTAAAGCTTTCTTATTCTATGTCTTAGTGAGTCAGCGAGCTTTCACTAACTTCCGATACTAACACACTTGTTATCCTTATTCACGTTTATATGTAGGTGTTTCATGTTAAGTGACTAGTAAGAAAGAGACGAGAATTGGCGACTAAACATAAGGTCGTGCATTCAATTCCGTTTAAAGCAAAATATAATTGTATTATCTTTGCCATTTTCATCTAAAGCTGATCTTGGCCAAGGAAACTTGCGTAAGCATGTGTTAATTCAATTAAAATATAGTAAAGTTTCTAATATTACTTGTATAGGCTGGAAGAAAAAATCATAGAAATTTTATGTGTTTATAAAATATTTACAAATTTATTTCACAAAAATAAATAAATAAATACGTTGGGACATTAACACGCAGCGCCATCTAGTTCCATGGTAAGCTACGAGGCTTGTGTTATGGATACCAGATAGTTGATACACTACACATATATAACTTTAAATATATACATATTATAAATATAAACAGCCATGACTGGAGTACAAACATTCGTCATTACACAAATGATTGCCCCCAGCGGGACTCGAACCGCGACCGCTGGCGCAGCAAGTAGGGTCACTACAAACTGAGCCAAACGTGTTAATAAAAAGTTATAATAAGGTTCAAGGCAGTGTAGCCAATTTTTTATTTATATTTATATTACATGTATATGTATCGAAAAAATATCATTAGTCCCTCCACGACCGCGGACACGCCGGCGTTACAGTTAATAATAGATTTCTTAGAAAATTAAATAATTTCTTAGAAATTTACCTGAAGGTGTTAAATAATACAGTAACTTTTGTATAAGATATTTTAACGCAAAGAATTGTTTTAATATACGTTGCTATATTATTTCTACGTAACAGGTCGATTTACGAGTATGGTTATATTATAGAATAGCTTACTTCCTCTGATATTTTTTCTATGAATTTGTTAACACTTATTCAGTTCAATTTCAATAATTGAAATACATTGTACAAATTGTGTATAATACACTAAGTACCATTCTGACAAAGCAAGTCAAACAAAATAAACATCTATACATGGTTATACTTAATATATATATATATATATATAGTATATATATATATATATATATATATATATATATATATATATATATATATATATAGTATAAACAATGAATGTTTGTGGGAGCCCTAGTGTTCATCTCCACTTTAATAAAATCTAATGACTATTGGGCAGCCATTCAAGTCCTAATGAGTGCTATTACATAAATTGTGTGTCAGATCTAAATGCCATATACCTACTCATAATATGGCTATAAAGTTGGCTAACGTGACAATAGTCTGCTTTTATTGAAAATTGCGAAACCGACTATACTCATGTGCCATCTGTGGTTGATTTGCATAGCTATATATTGTTCATATTAAAATGAATGAATTGGTACAGACGTATGTGGTTGTGGGTTCTATTCCATCGAAGCTAAAATACTTTTTGGAATTCTCATATATTCTCCAAAAAAATTCTCAAAGCGTTGTTCTTTATTTAGAATTAACATTTGTGCGTTTTTTTTTTCGCTTGAATGGATAATATAAAAATAGACTTAATAGAAACAAATATACTCAAAAACTTACATGAACCAATTTTCATGTCGATGCGTTGAACAATGTAGAAGTTAATGCTGCATCGTTCGTTCGAGTTTCAGGAAAATGGATAATTAAAATTTCAGAGCTTTGGAAGATTTGTAAAAAATATTTGGAAATGTTCATCTTTAAACATTCAGATACAAGAGTTTTAAAGGAAATATTTCAAAATCTTGAAACTTACAAAAGCTCATTCGAACCTATTATTTCAAAGGAGACCTAGTTTTTAAGCATCTCATCTGTTGAAATTATAATTTCCAAATGACACTCCTGACATTTCCTACTCACAATCGATACAATTGTAGGGTATAGAAAATTATGGGGTCACTGGATAGCTATTTACTTGTCGTCTCATCGCTCTGTGGGAACGGAAAAATTTAGTACTGTCGTGTTCAACTTCAATATCTATTTACTTTTTGGGTTTTGGGAACCCTTTTATTATCATGATTGTTTTCTAAGAACGTTTAAGAAAATAACTAACTCATGCTATCTCGCTAAAAGCATGCAAGTTTTGAACAATGAGGTTTTCCGGGTTCGTACTTCTGCGATTTTTATATGCGAACTAGCATTGCCCGCGGCTCCGCCCGCGTTCAGATGACCAAAAACCAAATTCTTAGGTTTTACATATTAGTATACTCTTACAATGCAGTTTTTGTATTTTTTCTCAGAAATGAGATATTTTCCTGTGGTTAAAAGTACTAGGATATAGGATAACCAGCTATTATCATACCAAATTTCATAAAAATCTGTCCAGTGATTTTCTCGCAATGCGGTAACAGACAGACAGACAAAAATTCTAAAAACTATAGATTCGGACTCTGTATCGGTTATTACTGTATTATATAATAATGTACCGACATTATTATGTCTATTTTAATTAGATTTTCCAAAAAATATTTAATGTACAGATTCGACTTAGTTACAATTTTATTATATGTATAGATCTTATGTAAATGAATATATCACTATGGTTATTAGGTGAACGTGAAACAATGTGAGGAACCTTGAATATCTGAGTAAGCCAGTAGATTGATCGTGAATCCGCATATGACCAGCGTAGTGAAGTAGAAAACCTCTCTAATGCAGGAGAGATTCCTACCCAGCAAGAAGGGGGTGGCAGTGCTGAATTATTATTATTATAGACTAAAACGTTGAAACTGAAAACTAAACATACTTGTGCTATGTATACTTATATAGATAATAGTTATTATCTGTGACCTATGTCTTGGTCTCGCAGCAATGGTAAAAACGTATATACTTAACTGGGGAATATTTGATCCATTACATGAAGTCGATTTGTAATAATAAATAATAAATATGTTGGGACATTAACACACAGCGCCATGTAGTTCCATGATAAGCTACGAGGCTTGTGTTATGGATACCAGATAGTTGATACACTACACATATATAACTTTAAATACATACATATCTATATAAATAAAAATGAATGTTGCTAAGCGCAAAACACGAGAACGGCTCGACCAATTCATTTAATATTTTTTTTCGTATGTTTCTTAAGGTACACGGAAACCTTTAATAAAGAGAAAAAAATCTATACAGATAAATAAAATCTATATATAAATATAAACACCCATGACTGGAGTACAAACATTCGTGCTTATCACACAAATGAATGCCCCGCGGGACTCGAACCCGCGACTGCTGGCACAGCAAGTAGGGTCAGTACCAACTGAGCCAAACGTGTCGTCATATTTGTGGAAAATAAGTTAAAATTAGTGGTTAGTGCTTGAATAAAACACATGCGGTTTAAATAGAAATAGTACCCTCCAACAGCGTGAAGTTTCTTTAACTATTAGGGAAAGTCGACTTATCAAGTGATCGACCGCTGTTTTTCAACTGACATTTAAAATAAACATAAATAAGTATATATATATTTATTATATATAAATATTCATATCTATTGGTTACTTATTAAATTAATTATTTATCAATTTCAATCGTAAAATTGTAAGTTTTTGCACTGAAGATAATACATATAATATGTATATAGCCAGCAGATAATTAATTTAATACAAAAAATACTCTTAAGACACTTTCTTTAGATTGCATAAGAATAAGGCAATGATACTACTGTAGTACAGTTAGGGTAACTGATCTTACATATTAAAGCTATATTTCGCAGGTTTGAATCCTGTATGGGTTAATTTTAGTATAATTTATTATGATTGTAAATCATTTTTTTTACATGAATGTAACCACACAATTTCTTGGTAGCTTTTGCATTATAAGCATTTTTTTTAATAATTTTTCGGGAGAGAAAGAGAGAGAGAACATATCTTTTAAAGATCTACTTGTGTCATACTAATTTAAATATATCATATATATATATATATATATATATATATATATATATATATATATATATATGTGGCTGGGTGAATCTGTTTGTCCTTTATTACTCTGTAACATTTCAACAAAGGGTCAAAAGAATCTTATACCACTTTTGATTAACTTATGTACTTTTTTTTATGATTTACTTATAATTTTACAATGAACCCACAAAACTGTTTGCACAGTTTGTCTGTGGGATCATAGTCTCAGATAGATATTTAAGGATATTTATATATAGATATTTTACATTCATATATATATTATGAGACTTTGACTATGTTTAATTATATTAAGCTGTCCATATAATATTTTTTTAATAATTTGGCGAATTTACTTAAGACGTGCGGGTAAGATTTAGTATAGTGTATTTTGAGGACGAATTGAAAGAACGTTATAAAAAGCCAAGTCGCGAGGCGCAGACCATTCTATCAACAGTTATCAACGAGTTTTCATCACAACTAATACAGATAATATAATCAGCTTTGAAAAGACACTTGCACAATGTCATTTATTGTAACCTTTCGATACTCGTAGGTCAATTATCGATGTTATAAATCGGTCATTTCAACATTTCACGGGTTCGAAATGATTTTCTTTGTTGTATTTGAGCTTATTACGATCAATTGGATGAAGCGTACAAACTTTATAGTGATTTATTTCTACATATTTTTTATTTGTTCTATAAATGATTAGAATAAAAAAATACATAACTTAAAGTGTAAAACTGTCCCATTACTGAGTGATAGTACTGAGTAAATCAGGTGTAACAAGAAATTTTAAAATTAGAGAACATGCTGTATTGGAGATTTTAGAGAATTTATATATAAATATAAAACTAGCGACTCACTCTCGCTTCGCTCAGGTTCGTCCCTAGCTTGTTTCCCTATACAAACATTTATCCCCATTTTCAACCGGACGATTTCCGGGATAAAAAGTATCCTATGTCCTTCCCAGGGTCTCAAATCTTCTTGCCAAATTTCATCTAAATCGGTTCAGCAGATTCAGAGATTTTTATTTTTGATTAGCTTGTATTTGGTCAATATAATATCACGTAATATCCTAGTATAAAATATCACATAATACTAGTTAGTAGGTACAGTACTTACGTCTAAATAGATACATTCTCTTTGAAATTAATCAAAAAAGATGCATGTTGAAATTAATATTTATTAGCTCACAGGTCGCAATTTGACCATAATCATTATATAAAAAAAAACTAGCTGTTTCCAAAAAAAAAATAAAAACACTAAAACTCGTCAATAACTATTAAACAAAAAAGAATCAGTTGAAAACAAAGTAGCAAAAGGCACTGACAAGTTTTGTCTTTGCCTATTTATATAAAGACTAGCATTGCCCGCGGCTCCGCCCGCGTTCAGATGACCAAAAATGAAATTCTTAGGTTAGGTACTCTTACATTGCAGTTTTTGTATTTTTTCTCAGAAATGAGATATTTTTGCGCGGTAAAAAGTATCCTATATGTTGACCTGGATAACCAGCTTTCACCATACCAAATTTCATCAAAATCCCTCCAGTGGTTTTTCTGTGATGCGATAACAGACAGACAGACAGACAAACAAAAAATCTAAAAACTGTAGATTCAGCCTCTGTATCGATAATAATGTTTATTTCAATAAGATTTTCCAAAAAATATTTAATGTACAGATTCGGCTTAGTTACAATTTTATTATATGTATAGATTAGAAAGACATGTACTATACACGATATATTTTAATAAATAAGCTCTGGCCAATATGTCGAACCAGAGCTTTCCAAAGAGCTTTTAGCTTATTTTTTGTTGCAATATAGCCATTGATTTTATAATAAGGTAACCTATCTATACTATAATAAAACTGTAGAGGTCGAATTTCTGTACATAGAAAAAAAATGCTAAAAACCGAGTCAGGGGGATGTAAGAAGACAAATAGAACAAATCCAGATTTTTTTCAAATTTTTTGTTTCTCTGTCTGCTTGTCTGTTTGTACCGGCTAATCTCCGAATCTATTGGACCGATTTAAATGAAATTTTGCATGGTGGTACCTTATATCTCCGGACAACATCTTAGATACTTTTAATCCCGGAAAATTAGAGAGTTCCCGTGGGATAGTTAAAAAAACTATAGCAACTTATAGCTTAGTACACAACAACTTATGCATCTAATTTAGTAAAATTTGGCATGCTATACCTTATATTCTCGGTCAAACAACAGGTTACTTTGCATCCCGGAAAAATGAACGGTTTCCGTGGGATAAATCTGTTTGTGCTGTTATAGAGGCTAACCCGAGCGAAGCGAGGGTGAGCGGCTAGTTTATTAATAATATTTGATGTGTGAGATAGAACATATTACGGGTATGTACGAAACAAGATGTTGCGAGAGTCTTTTGTTAGGACGCTCATAAATACTCGTAAGCGGTACTTCGATTACTTCACACTATTTACGCGTTCCTCCCGATGCATTTTGTTATGTTTAAATAATTTATGTTTTGTATTATGTATATAACTTGTGTACTACTTTGTATATTTAACAATTATAATCGAATAAATAGCCTTAATCTATACATATAATAAAATTGTAACTAAGCCGAATCTGTTCATTAAATATTTTTTATAAAATCTTATTGAAATAGTCATTATTATCGATACAGAGGTTGAATC